CTAACGACCCTGCTGAGGCTAACGACCCTAAATCCTTAGCCATGTCACAGACCTATTGTCTGCTGGGATGCTCAAGTGGAGTGCAGGTCTCACCCCTCCTAACTCATTAGCAGTGACCTTGTCCCAAGTTAGGGGCGTTGTTTTTAGGATGTCGTCATAGATGCGAGGCAAAACAAATCTTAACCCTCCTCCTCTGTTAAGAGAAGGTTTTTGTTTCCTCACAAAAATGGCTTCTTTCATCCTCTCTAAACCAATTCTTCTCCCGAGCCTGAATTTGAACCTTGTGTCTATCCACGTGTGGTTGGAGGCCTTGAGGTGGAGGCCACAGTCGGCCACTGTCGGCTGTTCATCTCCACCTCCAAGGCCTCCAACCAAACGCCCAAACTTGGTACAAGGAATGTCAGTTGACATGCTAATGAGTTAGGAGGGGTGAGACCTGAGCAACTCCATACTGCAGAACCAGCAAGACAATAGGTCTGGACCATGCTAAGGATGTTTGGGTCGTTAGCCTCAGCAGGGTCGCTGACCTGCTCCCTTCTACATAAGCAGACCTGAGATTGTTTATGAGTTAGTATCAGATAGGGGTTGTGGCTAACCACACCCATTAGGTTATAAATCTCCACGCGCGGTCGAGAAATTTCATTCCCTGAAGAAGTCCCCAGGTGAGGAGAAACGTCGGGAAAAACTGTAAGAAGTTACAGATGAGGGTGAGAAACCTTCCTTTGCTATCCTATATACAACGAAAAGCCTCACAGAGAAATATACAATAGAGGATGCCTGGTCTACAGTCAGATTAAATGCCTTTACAGTGCAGACAACAATCAGAAGCTATAAGATACATGAGGCTGCCAAAGTTGTTTAACCCATTCCGAGCTAGTTAATGGCGACAAGTTCTGTAGTAAACACAGAGAGATTATTTGTTAATCCTTCGCTTCACTGCTATGTCAAAGTTGGGACAAAGAAGGCAGAACCCTGTACGTCCACTCTCTGGATCTTTGGGTATCCATCAGTAAAAACAAAAAATGCTCAGAATGTCATCGATCAGTCTTGTAAAGAAATTGCGGCTGCCCGTTTTTGTTTTCATCTTTGAGTTTATGTTGGAGTCTAATATCAACTGGTGCGGAATAAACCTTCCAGGGGCAATGTTGACCCCCAAAGTCGGTATAGGGCACATACTATTCACTTAAACTCAGAAAGTTGAGCTTTGGCCTTTGCTATCCCAACCAAAACTATAGCTATCTCTCTTTTCATGTTCCCACCTTCCTTTAAGGACTTTGTTCCTGGGGTGCGACCCAAATTTTGCCTTCCTAATTCACCCCAATACTGCCCACCTGAGTTACAATCTACTATTTCTCAAAGGCACATTTTCCTAAACTGACCCTGCATGCAGAAATAGATGTTTTAAGAGCTCTGCACTTTGACGCGTAGGGCTTAGCTTGTTCCCTATATCTAGTTGTATTAAAGTAGGTCACAGGCGCAGACAAAAAGCTATAACACCCTATAATCGAGAGTAGGACGCATCACAGCCGGTTTCTATGCTTAACGGTGATTTCCTACTGCTCCCCGTCCTGGCCAGATAAACAACGCAACAAATTATTCACTTTTACATTATTTTGAAACTTTTCCAATAGGGTTTCACAAAAAAATTACACCTAAAAAACTTTGTTCCTTCACTTTTTCCAGCCGCTCCAACTAGTTTCAGTGAAACTGCTTAGTGACGGCTGAAGAAACACAATCAACTTGGGACTTGGAGAAGTTTAACTCCTCGTCTAGAGTCCACCTTCTCCACCTGCTGTATTGCTCTATGCAGCTTCTTTACATTAAAATTCATGTTTCTTCCCCCTTAACCACAATGCTCATAATTGCATACAGACTTCGTTCAAAAGAACGTATCAACACCCTCCAAAAATATTATTTATCAATAACATTAAACAGGCTTGGGCTTCACACGCTTCCTGCGGAATACCATTTTCAACATCATAACAACATCAAACAGAAGCTTTAACCCCATTTTGTAGAATTACCCCAATACCAACTTTGCGCAATGAATGAGCGGGCCTTCTTTCCATCACCATGTCTTCGCCTTCAACATCAAAAAACTCTGCGATAACCCTTTCTTTATTTGTCTTGGCTTTTGGAAATTTCTGATTCCAGGCTTAATACAGAGTCCAATGGTATTCCTACCTTTACCAAAAGCCGCTTTGGTTGAGTGGAAAGAAAATTTGGTTTTCTTAAAACAAAATGGTAATCTTTCTGTTTCCATGCGCTCCATTAGTCTTTCCCAACAGTGACGTTAAACGGCAATAGGCCTTTAAGTTGACGGGTCGCAGATGGTGACATTCCCAGTTTCAACACTGGGACTACAAACAGGACTGTTTCCAATGCTCCTAGTGTCCAAACAAGATTGAACAACTCAGTAATAATTCAAGTGTCTCATCAGCCAATTGAAAATAGCATGTTTTAACATACTCATCGTTTTCCAGGGTTGTTGGTCTGCCTTAGACAGAGCTTCTCTTCAACTCAAAAGATTTAATGGAGGTCCGCGATTTCCTGAGCTGTAGGTGGTGATTGAATCAAATAACCAAACTGGGCCCAAGTGCTGCCCTCTTTCTCGTGCAGCAGGGTCAGTTTGTCAGAGCTGTGGTCCGGATACAAAAGTTTCAGCCCAAAAATTTTAGCTTTGTTGAAAATTGTTGTTTGCCTCAGTGCCAATCTTAGTTAAAAACTGGCATAGTGTAGTTCTCCGCACCCCATTCTCGTTTAACCATACATCATTTATATGTAACACACAGTGATTTCGCAGCCGTTTTTAATAAAAGAGCTACGCCTCCACCATCACCTCGTTCCTGTCATTCCTTTGCTTGTATGTCCCTTGAATAATAAAATCCATTTGGGGTTGTCGCCAAGTCTCTTGAACACCTTTGGACTTGAGGTTTTGTCCTGCCGAAACACTACAAAGGCAGATAATATTGGATGTTTACTTTCCTTGACCCATTGCAAGAGCTTCCTGGCGTTCCACTGACAGAACCGTCACCTCCATTAGGAACCACCAGAACATGGCTGTAGGTTTGCGGGTTTCTCTATTTTGGTTTTGTTGTTAACAGCTCTTGCAATTTCCAATCCTAGACCTTTATACCCAGAATCTTCTGACAGCCTTAAACAATTAATCACTATTCTTTCAGTTTTCTTTTTCTGTATGGGCAGCACCATTACATGGACCTCCACCATGAAGAGAAGAGAAGAGAAAAGGTAAGATGGCTTTTATTTATTTCACAATGGGAGATTTACATGTCCCATTGGCATGGATAGAGGACACTCCGATGAATAAAATCTTTATATTTCACACATAAAGTATCTTCTTTAAATTTGGGACTGGAGGGTTCAAAACACTATCCGTACTCCACTTACATTCGATGCGGATGTACTCCACACTTCCCTGGAAGAAACTGACCACTTTCCTTCACCGCCTCTGCGTAGGACACGCCTTGTGTGACTCTTTGCGACTCCGCAGCCTCTCCGCTAGCATCTCATCCTCGGAACGCTCGAACTATTCTCCCTCCCACAGTTGCAACACTTCACTTTGCTCCGTCTTGCATTGTCACAACTCATGTTCTCCAGAGATTTTCCGCCATATCTGTTTTCCGCATGTACGGCTTTCACTTCATAAGCTCATAACCCTTTTTTACAATAAACACTTTTATTGGCAAGCATCTCACATCAACACCTACAGACCAAACACTACATCTTCTCTAACCTAGTTGTTCATCCGGTAACTTTCGCTTCAGCTAAACTATTTAATTGTATCCATTAGTCTCATTATGGGGATCTTGAGATCACACCTCTAAACCCCTGAGCTAATATTTTTCTTATCAGCTAGTTGTTTAGCTTGACGGCTTTATTGCTGCACAGCGTTGTTTATCAAAGAACCATTAACGAACCAGTGGAGCGGACAGTGGCTCAGTTGGTAGAGCATTGGCCCTTTGAGCCTGGAAGGTTATGGGTTCAAGCCCACCATAAAGCCCTACTTCACGACTCCCCTGAGACTGCTATCGTTGGGTCCTTGGGCACGCCATTAAGTCCACTTTGCCTGAATCGGCCCACTGAAGATCTCAGCTTCCTGTGGACTCATCACCTGCAGGAGGCTCAGTGAGGGGCGATACCAAATCTTTCGATTTATTGGTGACATTTGTTGCTTTTTACGTTTCCGTCTATACCTTTGGTTCTTACTATGAGAAAGGTTTCTTTTCCTCATGTAAGCATCTCCCATTTCAGACCAAATCACTTCCCTCAGCCATCTCCTGTTCATTCCAGCCGCTTTCCCAAAGTGTTGACTACAGGTTCATTCACGCCACCCCTCCAGATAAAAGAATACTAATTACAACAATGATGATGATGATGATGATGATAAATAAATAATATAATGAAAATATTAACACATAAAATTAATAACATGATAATACTAATAATGGTATTATTGATCGGCTTCACAGGTTCATTCATTACTTCTTTGAAAGTTGTAGCTGAAAGAAATCAAAATCCTTTTCTTTATCAATGAGTCCCCGTTTTTCCTTTATGATCTGAATTTTAGAAACAAATCTATGTTGACTAATCTGTCCTGGTCACAGCCTCCCCCTCAGGCCTCCTCCTCCAGACTTCCCCCTCCAAACCTTCCCGGCCCTCCTCTCCAGCCCCCCTCCCCCCAGACCTCCCCACCAGAACAACAGTCAGTTCAAAGGAGACTTTTATTCCAGATCTGTTACAGATGATTCTCTGGAACAGGAGCAGATACATCAGTGTGAAATCAAAAGCATTTCTGTATTTTCATTTAAACAATCATTTCAGTCGCGTTGCTTTTGTTTAAAAGGTAGAAGTCGTTTATGGCAACGGGAACAAACTGGAGCAACAAGATTCAGTTAGAAAAGAGATTTCAGCATAAACCACATTGGATAAAACATGATATGGTTCTGTGGGATGTAGGGTCAAGGGTAAGGGTCTGTAGATCAGGGTCTGTGGGTCAGGGTCGTGGGGTCAGGGTCTGTGGGGTCAGGGGTCAGGGTCTGTAGGGTCAGGGTCTGTGGGGTCCGGGTCTGTGGATCAGGGTCTGTGGGATCAGGGTCTGTGGGGTCAGGGTCTGTGGGGTCAGGGTCTGTGGGGTCAGGGGACAGGGTCTGTAGGGTAGGTCTGTGGGGTCAGGTCTGTGGGGTCAGGGTCTGTGGGGGTCAGGGTCTGTGGGGTCAGGGTCTGTGGGTCAGGGGTCAGGGGTCAGGGTCTGTAGGGTCAGGGTCTGTGGGGTCAGGGTCTGTAGGATCAGGGTCTGTGGGATCAGGGGTCTGAGGGATCAGGGTCTGTGGGATCCTGGGTCTGTAGGATCAGGGTCTGTGGGGTCAGGGTCTGTGGGATCAGGGTCTGTTGGGTCAGGGGTCAAGGGTCTGTAGGGTCAGGGGTCTGTAGGGTCAGGGTCTGTAGGGTCAGGGGTCCTAGGGTGTGTAGTGTCTGGGGTCTGTAGGGGACAGTTGTCAGGTCAATATTTTCACAGAAATGAATGTCAAACATTTCTCCTTAAATCACCAAACCTAAAGTTGTGGGATGTGTACATATTTTCTTCCAGTCTCTGTCCCATTCAAGGACCAGCAGCCCGGAAACCCCGGCCCAAATGGTCGCATAGATCTGGGAGCCAATCACAGACCGAGGCCCAGACGACAACGACAATTATTAGTTATTAGTAGATCTGACCAATGCAGGCAGTTAGGGGCGTTCCGGGGTGTAAGATGTCATTATCCCACTATGCCATCACTAAGACATCCACTATGACATCACCTTTTAAAACACTTTTTCTGTCTTATAACAACGTTTTTCCCATAAATTAGTTTGGTATTTTCGCTGAAATAAGGTTCTTTACAATCCACAAGTTACAGGGGGGCACTAGACGCTGCTTCCCTCTCGGTGGCAGCATCAGAGTTACAGGGGGCTCTGACTGCAGACGCTGCTCACTCTGATTTGCAGCATCATGGTTGAGCTTGTTTCCATCACGTATTTTCTACTGAATATATTTTTTTCCTAAAACACGACAAAGTAAATAGTCTCAGTATTTCTTTTCTTTGAACAAAGTCTTGGTTTAACTTATTCTGTGACTCTGATCCAGTTCCAGGCAAAAATAAACTTTCCTTCTTCTCTTGCGTCAGACATGGCGGAACATGTTTGTGTGCAACAGTTAAAGTGTCCCCCTGTGTTGCGCGCGACGGGAACCTCAGAACTATGGCTTATCCTTACACTTTTACATCCAAAAAAACATCCAGGTGAGGATTATGGCTTTGGGACATCGGCGATTCTCCGTGAGGATCTCAGGGACATTTCGTTGGGGACAGAGGTCCTCAATCTCTCCAGTGGTTGTTTTTATGGCATTCCTGTTTTTGATTCTCTGATCGTCTGTTGCCAAATCCACCACTTTGTAAAGTCCTCGAGATGTGGTTCAGGGCGGAGACTAAATACATGAGTCAGGATTATGAGCTGTAGGTCTTTGGACGGATGGTGGTCAGGGGTCAGGAGTCAGGAGTCAAGGGTTCAAAGTCAGGGGTCAGGGGTCAGTCCTAGCAGTGTGAGTTGGGGAGGCGGGTCGGGAGCGGTGGCTGATGGCTTCCGTCGCCACCAGGGGAGCGCGGAGCCAGCGGGTTGTCGTGGGCTGGTTGTCGTTGGTGCCGGTGAAGGGCGGTTGTCATAGTGATGTCTCTGCCCCCAGCACCAGGCGCCGTTCTGCTCCTCCCTTCAGGAACAGCTCCACCTCGGAATACTTCTCTTTGTGGATCTGCCAAACTGATGTCTTTGGGAATGTCCGGGATCAGCCAGTCCACGAAGTAATCATCCAGCCATCACCCCGTTCACGGGAGAAGAGTTATTATGTAGCACGTTTTACCCACACCACGGTCTCCCCAAAGCGCTTTGCAACAGGGGGGTCCCAAATTTTAGTACGACTGTCCACTTCCCCAGACTGGTCCCAGGAGCCTGTTCTGAGGTTTATGATTATCTTATAACTGAGCTGAAGTTGGTCTGAATGACCATGTTTTACAATCCTCAGCAGCTTCATTAGCTCCAGTAATGGAAGTGACACCAGCAAAAACCATGAGTACAGTTTGTACAAATAAGTAAAAGTAAAGTCAAATAATACCTAAAACAGTTACGACTGTTTTATGGTCGAGCTGAAGTTGGATAGATGACACAGTGAATTTGTGTTTATGATCTCAAAGACAAAGACATGAAAGTCCAAGGCTATGCTCAACTCAGAGAGCAGCCGCCCTCCTGTGGGGGGAAACCTCACCCACCTGGCAAGAGGGGCTGGTGCTATGAGCATCCTTGGGTGGCATCTCTGATGTCACCCCCTGACCCAGAATTGGCTTAAAGGGTAGAAAATGGATGGATGGATCTCAAATGACTACTTGTGGGTTAGCGAGGCAGAGGGCCAGTACAATGACACTGAGGCCACTATTGGCCCCCCCGGACCTGAGCTTGGACATGATGGTTTACAATGTTCAGATTCAGATATTGTTCCAGTTCTTCACACCAGACAAACACACCGGACCATCAAGGGCTCCGACCCCAACCACCCTCCCATCCACTCATTACAAAGACCAGCATCAGGGACCGCATCAGAGACAGCACAGAGACCAGCTGCCGGACAGCACCAGAGACCAGCTACCAGAGACCAGCCCCAGAGACAGCACCAGAGACCAGCACCAGAGACCAGCATCAGAGACCATGTGAGTTTATAACTGGAAGACGATGACGAAGGCGAGGCGCGCGGGCAGATTCGCCCAAAACTCTTTGGAAAGGTCATACTTTGTGCTCGACCAGGGAGGCTCCTGTAGTCTTTAAATCTGAAACGCAACGCGCACACACACACGCACGCACGCCCGCACACACACACACACACACCGATTCAGATTCGTTTATTTGCCATTTGCAGTAAAAAAAACCACAGTAGCCAAACAAGTCTCCAGTGTGCACAGGACAAATACAGACATAAAAACAACATTAAAAAGTAAGGAAATAAAACAATAAAACAGTCACAAATGTCACTGTGAAAACGATCGACTAAAACAGTTTCACTCAAAACAAAGTGCAAATCATTAAAGTGCCTGTTTTTTTTTCACACTGATAACAGCTTGTGGATAAAAAACTGTTAGCGTAACGAGATGTCCTGCTTCAGAGTGCGATTTCTTCTGCCACGGGGAAGAGCTGGAAACAAGGCTTTTCAGGGTGGCCAGAAGCGTCATTGAGAATTCTTCGAGCTCTATTAAGAAGTCTGGATTTATAAAGAACCTCCTGAACAGGGCTCACATGCCACGGTCCTCTTGCAGAGGGAGCACCTTGTTTAAAGCCTCTCTTTCTGTATCTGTGATGTTTCCAAAACACACAGACACAGAACCAACAAGTAAACCTCTCCAATGGTGCAGCGATAAAAGTTAAGCAGAATCTTAGCGTTAGTGGTAAATTCTCTAAGTTTACGCATGAACGTAAAGACCGCTGACGAGTTCTTAACGACTCGGTCTGTCTATACGACCTGGAATATGGGTTAAAAACACTGGACCGCGTTATTGCGGTCGGTTAAGAAAGCTCGTCAGCGTCTTTACTTTCGCGTTATACTTAGAGAATTTACCTCCTAACTCTTGATTCTGCCTTAACTTTTATCGCTGCACCATTGAGAGTTTATTGTTGGTTTCTGGTGTCTGTGTGGTTTGGAAACATCACAGTAAAGAAAAGGCGCTTTAAAACAAGGTCTGCTCCGCCTTCTGCAAGAGGACCGTGGGCTGTGAGCTTCCTGTTCTGGAGGTTCTTTTTATAAATCCCAGTCTTCTTAATAGAGCTTCTAAGACTTATCAATGACTCCTTTGGCCACCCTGGAAAGCCTTGTTCCTGCTTCTTCCCTCTCGGCAGGAAGTTATCGCTCTCTGAGATGCAGGACTTCGCGTTACGTAACAGTTTTTATCCCAAGCTGTTTCAGTGTGGAACAGAGCCTTTAATGATTTGCACTTGTTTTTGAAACTGTTTTAGTCCGATGATTTCACCAGTGACATATGTTGACTGTTTTATTTGTTTTATTTTCCTTACTTTTAATGTTGTTTTATGTCTGTATTTGTCTTGCACACTGGAGACTTTTTGCTAATTGTGGTTTTTTTTTTTTTTTACTAGCAATTGGAAATAAACGGGATCTGAATCGTGTGTGTGTGTGTGTGTGCTGGTGCGTGCGTGCGGCGTGTGTGTTGTGTGCGCGTGCGTTCAGATTTAAAGACTACAGGGAGCTCCCCTGGTCGAGCACAAAGTATAGACCGTTCCAAAGGTTTGGGACGATTCCTGGGCGAGCGCGCCTCGCCTCGTATCGTCTTCCAGGTAAAACTCACGATGAGTCTCTGATGTGGTCTCGGTGCCTGGTCTCTGGTGCTGGTCTTGGTGCTGGTCTCTGGTGATGGTCTCTGGTGCTAGGTTCTCTGCTGCTGGTCTCTGGTGTGGTCTCTGATGCTGCGTCTCTGTTGCTGGTCTTTGTACTAATGGAGTGATGGAGGGTGTTGGTCCGGAGCCCTTGATGGTCCGGTGTGTTCTAGGTCTGTGAAGAGACTGAGGAACAAGATTGCATCTGGACATTGTAAAACCAGGGCATGTTAGTCCAAGCTCAGGTCCGGGGGGCCAAATAGTGGACCTCCCTGTGTCATTGTACGTGGCCCTCTGCCTGGATAACCCTCAGTAGTCTTTGTGATCCACCATCCCTTTTCCTACCCTTTAATCAATTCTGGTGTCAGGTGGGTGGTTCGACAGTCAGAGATGGCCACCCAAGTCTCATAGCACCCCAGCCCTCTGCAGGTGGTGAGTCCACAAGGAGGGCGGATGCTCTTGAGTGTTTGAGCATTAGCCTTGATCTTTCATGTCTGTTGTCTTTGAGATCATAACACCAAATTCACTGTGTTCATCTATCCAACTTCATGCCTCAGACCCATACAAAACTGACGTTAAACTGTTTTATGGGTTTTATTTGACTTTACTTATCTTTATTTGTACAAAACTGTATCATGGTTTTTGATTTGTGTCAGTCCATTATGGAGCTAATGAAGTGTGGAGGATTGTAAACATGTGTCATTTTCAGCCAACTTCAAGGCTCAGTTATAGATAATCATAAACCTCAGACCAGGCTCCTGGGACCCAGTCTGGGGAAGTGGCCATCTTACTAAAAAGTTTGGGACCACCCTGTTGCAAGCGCTTTGGGAGACCTTGGTGTGTAAAGTGCTACATACTTAACTCTTCTTCCCGTAGGAACGTGGTGATGCTGTGCGTGACTTCGTTGGACTGGCTGATCCCGGACATCTCCCAAAGACATCAGTTGCAGATCCAAAAGAAGAAGATCTGATGGAGGAGCTGTTCCTAAGGAGTGAGCAGGGAGGGTGGTTGCTGGGCAGAGACAGTCACTATGACAACGGGCCATCACCGTCACACGCACCAACACGACAACCGCTGCTCCGCGCCCTGTGTCGACGGAGCCAGTAGTCTGCCACGCTCCGGACCCGCCTCCCACTCCACCCTGCTAGGAGTGACCCTGACCCCTGACGTTTGACCCTTGACTCCTGACTTCCTGATCCCCTGACCCCCATCGTCACAAGACCTTACCGCTCATCATCCCTGACTTCATGATTTAAGTTCGCCGTCCTTGAACACAGTCTCGGGACTTTACAAAGTTGACGTATTTGCCAACAGGACGATTCCGAGAACAAATACAGGACAGTGCCATTAAAAACAACCAAGAGAGATTGAGACGCTCTGTCACACAAGTAAATGTCCTGGATCCTCACGGAAGATTCCAGATTTCCCAAGCCGATATTCCTCGACTTGGATGTGTTTTTTGGATGTAAAAAAGTGTAAAAGGTGAAGCCATCGTTCTGAGGTTCCCGTCGGCGCGACACACCAGGGGGCACTTTTTTCTGTGCACACAAACATGTTCCTGCCATTTCTGACGCAAATGAGAAGAGGAAAGGTTTTATATTTAGCCTGGAACTGATCTGGTCACAGAATAGAGTTAAACCAATGACTTTTGTTCAAAGAAGAATAATGGAGACTATGTACTTTGTCGTGTTTAGAAAAAAATATATTCAGTAGAAAATACGGATTGAGACAGCCACTCCATTGATGCTGCATCAGACGTGAGCCAGCGTATTGCAGTCAGAGGCCCTGTTAACTTGGATGCTGCACCAGAGGGGAGCAGCGTCTAGTCGCCCCCTGTAACCGTGTGATTGTAAGAACCTTATTTCAGCGGAAAAAATTACCAAAAACTAATTTTAGGAAAAAAAAAACGTTTGTATAGACAGAAAAAAGTTGTCTTTAAAGGTGATGGCATTAGTGATGTCATAGTGTTGTACATAGTGTGGGATAATGACCTCATACACCCTCCTGATCTCCCTACACTGCCTGCATTGTGTCTAGTTTACTCATTTAACAAATAATTGACGTTGTCGTGCTGTGCCTCGTTCTGTGATTTGGTCCCAGTTCTATGGACTTTGGGCCGGGGTTTCGGGGCTGCTGTCATTGATGGAAGAGTCTGGGGAAGAAAATAAGTACAAATCCCACAAACTTTAGGTTTTGATTGGTTTTAAGGAGAATGGTTTTTGAACATTTCATTTCTGTTAGAAAATATTGAACCTGACAACTGTCCCTAAGACCCCTGACCTACACACCCTGACCCACTGGACCCTAACAGACTGACCCTACAGACCCCTGACCCTCCAGCCTGACCCCTGACCCCCACTGACCCTGATCCCACAGACCCGGACCCACAGACCCTGATCCTTACCAGACCCTGATTCCCACAGACCTGATCCACATGACCTGAATCCCACAGACCCTGATCCTACGACCCTGACCCCACAGACCCTCTGACCCTACAGACCCTTATGACCTGACCCCTGACCCCACAGACCCTGACCCCACAGACCTGACCCCACAGAACCCAGACCCACAGACCCTGACCCACAGACCTGACCCTACAGACCCTGACCCCTGACCCACAGACCCTGACCCCACAGACCCTGACCCACAGACCCTGATCCACAGACCCTGATCTACAGACCTGACCCCACAGACCCTGACCCTACAGACCCTGACCCCTGACCCCCACAGACCCTGACCCCTCAGCCCCCTGACCCATCAGACCTGATCCTAAGGACCATGACCCTTGACCCTACATCCACAGAACCATATCATTTTTATCCAATGTGTTTATGCTGAAATCTCGCCTTAACTAAAACTGAAATCTTGTGTGCTCCAGTTTTTCCCGTTGCCTTAACGCCTTCACCTTTAAACCAAATAAGCAACCGACTGAAATGAATTGTTTATGAAATAAGAAATGCTTTTGATTTTGACACACTGTATGATCTGGCTCCTGTTCCAGAGGAATATCTGTAACAGATCTGGAATAAAAGTTCCTTTGAACTGCTGTTGTCTGTGGGGGAGGTCTGGGGGGGGGAGGGAGGCGGGGCTGGAGGAGGAGGCCGGGGATGAGGTTTGGAGGGGGACGTCTGGAGGAGGAGGCCTGGAGGGGGAGGCTGTTTGTGACCAGGACAGATTAGTCAACTTAGATTTGTTTCTAAGAATTTCAGATCATAAGAAAACTGGAGTCATTGATAAAGAAAAGGATTTTGATTTTCTTTAGGCTAACAAACTTTCAAAGAAAGTAAATGAATGAACCTTGTGAATAGCCTATAAAATTATACCATTATTATTATTTAATCATTGTTATGATTATGTGTTACTATTATATTATTATTATTTATTTATCATCATTCATCTCATCATCATTGTCTGTAATTAGTATATTCTTTATCGGGGGTGGCGGGTGAATGAACCTGTAAGTCAAACCTTTGGAAGGCGGCTGGACAAGACAGGAGTTGGTGAGGGAAGTGCTTTGTCGGGAAATGGGGAGATGCTTACCATGAGAAAAGCAACCCTCCTTTCTCTCATGTAAGATCCAAAGTTAGTGACGGAAACGTAAAAGCAAACAAATGTCTCCAATAAATCGGGGAAAAGTTGGTATCGCCCCTCACTGATCCTCTAGCAGGTGATGAGTTCCACAGGAGCTGGATCTTTCAGTGGGGCCAAGATTCCAGGCAAGTGGACCTTAGTGTCTTGCCCAAGGACACAAACGATTGCATCCTCAGTGGGAGTCGTGGAAGTAGGTTTTTATGGTGGCTTGACCCCTAAACCTTCAGGCACAAGGGCCAATGCTCTACCAACTGAGCCACTGTCGCTCACTGGTTTCTTAATGGTTATTTGTAAAAACGCTGTGCAGCAAAATAAAAGGCCCCGTCAAGCTAAACACTTGAGATAAGAAATTATTAGTCTCAGGGGTTTAGAGGTGTGATCTCAAGAATCCCCACTAATGGAGATATGGATACAATTAAATAGGTTGCTGAAAGCGAAAGTTAACCGATGACAACTAGGTTTGGAGAAAGATGTGAGAGTTTGGTCTGCAGTGTTGATTGTGAGATGCTTGCCAAATAAGTGAATATTGGATTATGAGCTATGAAGTGAAACCGTCCATGGCAGGAAAACATATTATGCGGAAAAAATGCTTGGAGAACATGAGTGTGGACAATGCGAAGAAAGGAGCAAAGTTGAAGGATGTTGCAACTGTGGGAGGGGAGAATAGTTTCAGCGTTCGAGGATGTGAGGCTGAGCGGTTGAGGGTCTGCCGGAGGTGCAAAGAGTCAAACAAGCGTTGTTCCTCGCAGAGGCGGTGAAGAAAGTGTCGAGTTCTTCCAGGGAAGTGAGAGTAAATCCTGCATCGAATGTAGTGAGTAATGATAGTGTTTTGAACCCTCCAGTCCCAAATTTAAAGAAGATATTTATGTGTGATAAGAAAGATTTTATTCATCTGAGTTTGAGTGTCTCGATCATGCCAAAGTGTGACATGTAATCTCTCCTTTGTGGATAAATAAAGCAATCTTACCTTTCTCTTCTCTTCTTTCATGCGTGGAGGTCATTCATTGTGCTGCCCAGACAGACAAAGAAAACTGAATGGAATAGTTATAATTGTTAACGGCTGCAGAAAGATATCTGGGTATTAAAGGTCAAGGATAGAAATTGAAGAGCTGTTAAAACAAGAACCAAATAGGAGAACCACTCAAACCTACAGCCATGTTCTGGTGGTTCCTATTGGTGGTGACGGTTCTGCAGTGGAACGCCAGGAGCCTTCTTTGCAACATGGTCAAGAATGTACAACATCATATTTCTGCCCTTGCAGAAAACCTCATGTCTATGTGTTCAAGAGACATTGGCTACCAACCCAAATGATTTTTTTATTCAAGGACATACAAGCATAAGATTGACAGGGAACGAGGTTGAAGGTGGAGGGTAGCTTGCTTTTATTAAAAACGGCTGAAAATCCTGTGTGTTACATATAAATGATGTATGGTTAAAGTTATGAATGGGCGTGGGAGAAAACTACACCTATGCAGGTTTTAAACTAAGATGGCACCAGAGGCAAACAACAATTTCATCAAAGCGAAATGTAGTCTGAAACTTTGTATCCGTCCCACAGCTCTGACAACCTGACGCCCTGCAGCCCGAGGAAAGTGGGCCGCACTTTGGCCCAGTCTTGGTTATTTGATTCAATCTCAACCATACAGTCAGGCAGGATCTCGACCTTCATTAAATCTTTTTGGAGTTGAAAGAGAGCTTGTCTAAGGCCGAGAACAAACCAAACCCTGGTAAAGATGATGTATGTTTTAAAACCATTCTATTTCAATTGGCTGAGAGTCACTTGAATTATTACTGGTTTGTTCAATCTTTGTTTGGGACCACTAGGAGCTTGGAAACAGTTGTTTGTGCAGTCCCAGTGTGTGAATTGAATTGGGAAAGTCACCTTCTGACCCCGTTCAACCTTAAAGGCCTAATGCGGTTAACGTCCAAAAAATACCAGTTGGGAAAGACCTATGGAGCGCATGGAACAGAAAGATTACATTTGTTTTTAGAAAGACCAGCATTTTCTTTCCACTCACCCCAAGCGGGCTTTGTGTAAGTAGGAATTACCATGGACTCGTGTATTATGCCTGGAATCAGAAATTCCAAAGCAAAGACAAATAAAGAAAGGTTAGCCTGAGTTTTTTGATGTGAGAAGGCGTTAGGACATTGGTTTGTGGAAAGATGGCCTGCTCATTCAGTTGCGACAAAGTTGGTCTAGGGGTGGTGGTAATTTACAAAATTGGTTAAAAAGCTTCCTGTTGGATGTTGTTATGATGTTGAAATGGTTTTATTCCGCCAGGAAGCGTGTGTGAAGCCCAAGCCCTGTTTACTGTTTTGACTCAATAATATATTTTGAGGGTTGGGTTGATCGTTCTTTTGAACGAAGTCTGTATGCGGCTTATGGAGCATTGTGGGTTAAGGGGAAGAAACCTTGAATTTATTGTTTAAGAAGTGCACAAGTAGCAATACAGCAGTTGGAGAAGTGGACTCTAGACGAGGTTTTTAACTGTCTCCAAAAGTCCCAAGTGATGTGTTTCTTCAGCCGTCACAAAGCGTTTCCTGACAACTATATGGATTGCGCTTGAAAAAGTGAACGGAAAAAACAACAGTATTTAGGTGTAATTTTTTTGTGAAACCCTATTGGAAAAAGTTCAAAATAATGTTAAAAGTGAATAATCTTGCTTGCGTGTTTATCTGGCCAGGACTGGGGGAGGCAGTAGGAAATCACCGGTTAAATATAAACCGGGGCTGTTGTCTGTGATGCCGTTCCTACTCTCGACTTATGGGTGTTTAGGCCTTTTTGTTGTCTGTGACTACTTTAATAAAATCTTGATAGGAACAAGTAAAGCCCTACGCGTTCATGCAGAGTCTTAAAACATCTATTTCTGCAATGCCCGGTCGGATTCGAGTTAGGGAAATGCCATTGAGAAATAGTAGATTGAAACTCATGTGGGCGTTATTGGGTGAATTTTAGAAGGGCAAATTTGGTCGCACCCAGGAAACAAAGGTCCTTTAAAAGAATGTGGGAACAGGAAAAGAGAGTATAGCTATAGTTTTGGTTGGATAGCAAAGGCCAAAGCTCAACTTGCTGAGTTAAGTGGAATTAGTATGTGCCCCTATAGCCGACTTTGTCAACTATTGCCCTTGGAAGTTTATTTCGCACCAGTTGATATTAGTCTCCAATATACTCAAAGAGAGAAACAAAAAGGCTGCCGCAATTTCTTGTACAGAACTGATCGAATGAACATTCTGAGGCATTTGTTTGTTTTTACTGATGGATCCAAAGATCATGTGTGTGGACGTACTGGTTGGCTGCCTTCTTTGTTCCAGAGCTTGGACATAGCTGTTGCAAGCGAGATTAACAAAATATCTCCTCTGTGTTTTTTACTACAGAACTTGTCGCACATAAAGCTGCTCTGGGAGGGTTAAAACAACTTGGCAGGCTCATTTACGTAATGTAGTGTGGTGTGAAGCAACGTGTGACGTCACGACGAGACTGCTCTGTTAAAGCATTTAATCTGATGTAGACCAGGCATCCTCTATTGTATATTCTTTGAGGCTTTGTTGTATCGTAGGGATAGCAAAGGAGGTTTTCACCCATCATCTGTACTTTTAGCAAGTTTTCCCGTCGTTTTCAGTCTCACCTGGGGACTTCTTCAGAGGAATGAATTCTCGGATACCACTAACCCCGCGCGTTGGAGATTTAGTAACTATGGGTTGTGGTTCGCACACCCTAATCCTGATACTAATCATATACAATCTCACGGTCCGGCTTGATGTTGAAGGGAGCAGGTTAACGGACCCTGCTGGGCTAACGACCCTTAACTCGCTTAGCATGTCACAGACCTATTGTCTGACTGGGATGCTCAAGTGGAGTGAGGTCTCACCCCTTCTCTAACTTCTATTAGCATGTCACTGACCTTGTCCCCCAAGTGTGTAGGGCGTTGTTTTCGGATGTCGTCATGATGCGAGGCAAAACAAATCTTAACCCTCCTCCTCTGTTAGGCGAAGGTTTTTGTTTCCTACAAAAAATGGCTTCTCTTCACTCCTCTCCTCAAACAATCTTCTCCGAGCCAGAATTGACCTCTGTGTCATCCACCGCTGTGGTTGGAGGCTTGAGGTGGAGGCCACAGGCGGCCACAGTCGGCTGTTCATCACCACCTCCACGGGCCTCCCAACGCCACAAACGCCCTAACTTGGGACCAGGTCCAGTGACATGCTAATGAGTTAGGAGGGGTGTAGACCTGCACTTCCACTTGAGCATCCAGCAGCAATAGGTCTGTTTCATGCTAAGGAGTTAGGGTCGTTAGCCTCAGCAGGGTCGCTAGACCAGCTCCCTTCTACATCCAGCAGACATGAGATGTTTATGAGTTAGTATCAGGGCTTAGGGTGTGGCTAACCACATACCCATAGGTTATAAATCTCCAACGCGCGGTCCGAGAATTCCATTCCTCTGAAGGATGTCCCTGGTTGAGGAGAAATGTCGGGAAAACTTGCTAAGAAGTACAGATGATGGGTGAGATAACTTCTTGCTATCCTACTATACAACGAAAGCTCACAGAGAATATACAATAGAGGATGCCTGGTCTAAGTCAGATTAAATGCTTTACAGAGCAGACAAACAATCAGAAGCCTTATAACGATCATGAGACGCTGCCAAAGTTGTTTTAACCATTCCAGTGCTAGCTTATTGCGACAAGTTCTGTAGAAACACAGAGAGCTTTTTGTTAAATCTTCGCTTCATGCTATGTCAAGTCTGGACCAAAGAAGGCAGAACCCAGTAACGTCATCTCACAGGATCTTTGGATCCTTCAGTAAAAACAAAACAAATGCTCAGAATGGTTCAGTCGATCAGTTCTTGTACAAGAAAATTGCGGCAGCCTTTTTGTTTTCTCTTTGAGTTTTGTTGGAGACTAATATCAAATCTGGTGCTCGGAAATAACTTCCAAAGGGGCAAATAGTTGACAAAGTCGGTATAGGGCCACTTACTAATTCCACTTAACTCAGCAAGTTGAGCTTTTGCCTTTGCGATCCAACCAAAACTATAGCTATCTCTCTTTTCTGTTCCCCAACATTCTTTTAAGGACCTTTGTTCCTGGGCTTTTCGTGTCCGCTGGGTGCGACCAACTTTGCCCTTCTAAATTCACCCATAGCCACCATGGTGTTCTAATCTAACTATTTCTCAATTGGCATTTCTCCTAACTCGACCTGCATTGCAGAAATAGTGTTTTAAGAGCTCTGCCATGACGCGTAGGGCTTTCGCTTGTTCCATATCAGTTTTATTCAAGTAGTCACAGGAGCAGACCAAAAGCTAAACACCCATAATCGAGTGTAGGACGCATCACAGCCCGGTTTATATTTATCGGTGTTTTTCTACTGCTTCCCCAGTCCTGGCCAGATAATACAACGCAACAACATTATTCAACTTTTAACATTATTGTGATCTTTCCCAATAGGTTTCACAAAAAAATTACACCTAAAAACTTTGTTTCCTTCACTTTTTCAAGCGCTCCATTAGTTTCTGAAAACGCTTGTGACGCGAGAAACACCTCACTTGGACTTTGGAGACGAGTTTTAGATCCTCAGTAGAGTCCACTTCTCACTGCTGTATTGGCTCTTTGCAGCTTCTTTACAATAAATTCAAAGGTTCATTCCCCTTACCCACAATGCTCCTAATCCGCCATACAGACTTCGTTCAACAAGAACGATCACGCACCCCTCAAAAATATTATTTATCAAAACATTAAAACTGGATGGGGCTCACACGCTTCCCTGGGAATACCATTTTCATACCATTCATAACAACATCCAAACAGGTAAAGCCTTTTAACCCAATTTGTAAATTACCCCCAATACCAACTTGCGCAACTGAAGAGGCAGGCATTCTTTCCACACCATGTCATACGCCTTCTCAACATCATAAAAATCAGCGATAACCTTTTCTTTTTTGTCTTTGCTTTTGGAATTTCTGATTTCAGGCATAATACCGAGTACATGGTTTTCCTACCTTTACAAAATGCCGCCTTTGGTGAGTGGATAGAAATTCTGGTTTTCTAAACAAAATGTAATCTTCTGTTCCATGCGCTCCAATAGTGTTTCGCAACTTGTGACGTTAACGCAATAGGCCTTTAAGTTGACGGGTCAGCAAGGTGACTTTCACAGTTTAACACTGGGACTACAAACAGACTGTTTCCAATGTCTCTGTGTTCCAAACCAAGATTGAACAAACTCAGTTAATTTTCAAGTGGTCTCATCAGCAATTGGAAATAGAAATGTTTTACATACATCATCTTTACACAGGGTTGTTTGTCTCGCCTCAGTCAGAGCTCTCTTCAACTCAAATAAGATTTAATGGAAGGTCGGAGTCTTCCTGAGCTGTAGGTTGTGATTGAATCAAATAACAAATACTGCGGCCAAAGTGTTGCCTACTTTCTCGGCGGCCAGGCGGGTTTTTTCGGTTGTCAGAGTGTGGACGGATACAAAAGTTTCAGCCAACATTTTAGCTTTGTTTGAAATTGTTGTTTGCATCTGTGCCATTCTTAGTTAAAACCTGGCCATAGTGTAGTTTATCCTCACCCTTCATACGTTTAACATACATCTTTTATATGTATAACTCACAGTGATTTCAGCCGTTTTTATATAAAAGCAGCCCTACGCCTCCACCTTCACCTCGTTCCCTGTCCATTCCTATGTTGTATGTCCTTGAATAATAAATCCTTTGGGTTGTCGCCAAGTCTCGTGAACACATAGACTTGGGTTTTGTCCTGCAGGGCTGAAATATGAGTTTAATAAAAAAATTTCTTGCCATTGCAAGAGGCTCCTGGCGTTCACTGCAGAACCGTCACCACCATTAGGAAACATCCAGTAAACGATGGCTGTAGGTTGAGGGTTCTCTTATTTTGGTTCTTTTGTTTAACTGCTCTTACAATTTCAATCCTGTCCTTTAAGACCTCTGTTATCTTTCTGCAGCTTAACAATTATCACTATTTTTCAGTTTTCTTTTCTGTCTCGGGCAGCACAAATTAATGACCCTCCACATGAGTGAAGAGAGAGAAAAGGTAAAGATGTGCTTTATTTATCTCACAAAGGAGAGATTTACATGTCACATTGGCATGGATAGAGACACTCAGATGAATAATATCTTTCATATTTTCACACATAAAGTATCTTCTTTAAATTTGGGATGGGGGGTTCAAAACACTATCATTACTCACTTCATTCGATGCAGGATTTACTCTCACTTCCCTGGAAGATCTCGACATTTCTTCCACCGCCTTGGTAGACTCGCTTGTGTGACTCTTTGCACCTCCGCCAGCCTCTCCGCTAGCCTCACATCCTCGGAACGCTGACTATTCCTCACCCTCCACAGTTGCAACACTTCAAACTTTGCTCTTCTTCGCATTGTCCACACTCATGTTCTCCAGAGCATTTCCGCATATCTGTTTTCCTGCATGTACGGTTTCACTTCATTAGCTCATTAATCCAATAATACTTTATTTTGGCAAGCATCTACATCAAACATATAGACAAACTCTCACATCTTTTCCAATACCAAGTTGTCCATCGGTAACTTTCGCTTAGGCTAAAAACTATTTAATTGTATCCATGTCTCCCTTATATTGGAGGATTCTTGAGGGATCACACCTCTATACCTGAGACTCATATTTTCTTCATTTTTTTTTTCATCTAAGATGTTTAGCTTGACGGCCTTTATTTGTGCCACAGCGTTTTTACAAATTCAACCATTAAAGAACAGTGAGCGCAGTGGCTCAGTTGGTAGCGCTAATAAAAAAAAAATAAAACCAAATATTCCAATTGGCTTTGAGCTGACGGTTATGGGTTCAAGCCACCATAAGACCTACTTCACGACTCCCAGCTGATGACTGCTATCGTCCTGTGTCCTAGGCAAGACTCATATATGTCCACTTGCCTGATTCGCCCACTGAAACGATTTCACTCCTGTGGACTCATCACTGCAGGAGGATCAGTGAGGGGCTGATCCAACTTGCGATTTATTGGAGACATTTGTTTGCTTTTTCGTTTCCGTCTACTACCTGGGCTCTTACATGAGAATAGGTTTTCTTTTCTCATGTAAGCATCTCCCATTTCCAGAAAAATCACTTCCCTCAGCCATCTACTGTTCATTCCCCAGCCGCCCCTTTCAAAGTGTTGACTTTACAGGTTCATTCACGACCTACCTCCAGATAAAGAATACTAATTACCAACAAGATGATGATGATGATGATGCTCAATAAATAATAAATAATGTAATATTATACACATAAATAATTAACCAATGATAATAATAATAATGGTATTATTTTATAGGCTTCACAGGTTCATTCATTACTTCTTTGAGTGGTAGCCTGAACAGAAAAATCAAATCCTTTTTTCTTTATCAATGAGTCCAGTTTTCTTTATGACTGATATTCTTAGGAAACAAATCTATGTTTGATAATCTGTCCTGGTCACAGCCTCCCCTCCAGCCTCCTCCTCCAGACTTCCCCTCCAAACCTCTCCCGGCCTCCTCTCCAGGCCCCCTCCCCCCAGACCTCCCCACAGACAACAGCAGTTCAAAGGAGACTTTATTCCCGATCTGTCTACAGATGATTCTCTGGAACGGAGCCGAAATTCATCAGTGTGCAAATTCAAAAGCATTTCTTTATTTTCATATCATTCATTTCAGTCGGTTGCTTTTGTTAAAGGTAGACAGTCGTTTAAGGCAACGGGAAAAACTGAGCAAAACAAGATTCAGTAGAATAGAGATTTCAGCATAAACACATTGGCTAAACATGCTATGGATCTGTGGGATGTAGGGTCAAGGGTCCAGGGTTCTGTAGGATCAGGGTCTGTGGGGTCAGGGTCTGTGGGGTCCAGGGTCTGTGGGGGTCTGGGGTGGGTCTGTAGGGTCAGGGTCTGTGGGTCAGGGTCTGTAGATCAGGGTCTTGTGGGATCAGGCGTTGTGGGGTCAGGGTCTTGTGGGGTCAGGGTCTGTGGTGGTCAGGGGTCAGGGTCTGTAGGGTCAGGGTCTGTGGGGTCAGGGTCTGTGGGGTCAGGGTCTTGTGGGTCAGGGTCTGTGGGTGTCAGGGTCTGTGGGTCAGGGGTCAGGGTCAGGGTCTGAGGGTCAGGGTTTCTGTGTGGGTCAGGGTCTGTGGATCAGGGTCTGGGGATCAGGGTTGTGGGATTCAGGAGTCTGTGGGATCAGGGTCTGTAGGATCAGGGTCTGTGGGTTCAGGGTCTGTGGGATCAGGGTCTGTGGGGTCGGGGTCAGGGTCTGTAGGGTCCGGGGTCTGGTAGGGTCGGGTCTGTAGGGTCTCAGGGGTCAGGGTGTGTTAGGGGTCAGGGTTCTGTAGGACAGTTGTCAGTGGTCAATATGTTCTACAGAAATACAATGTCAAACCATTTCTTCCCTAAAATCCACCAAACCTAAGTTTGTGGCGATTTGTACATTTTTCTCCGAGTTCTATTCCCATCACAAGACAGCAGCCCGGAACCCGGCCCAAATGGTCGCATGAACTGGGAAGCCATCACAGAACGATGGCACAGCACCGACAACGACAATTTTTCTGTTATTGAGTAGAACTCCACAATGCAGGCAGTTAGGGAGATCAGGGGTGTAAGATGTCATTATCCCACTATGACATCACTATGACATCACTATGACATCAACTTAATGACACTTTTTCTGTCTTCTATAACAAACGTTTTTCCCATAAATTAGTTATGGTAATTTTTCGCCGAACTACGGTTCTTACAATCCAAGGTTACAGGGGGCACTAGACGCTGCTCCTCTTCGGTGGCAGCTCAGGGTTACAGGGGGCTCTGACGGCAGACGCTGCTCACTCTGTTGGCCAGCATCATTGTAGTGCTTGTTTCATCAGTATTTTCTACTGAATATATTTTTTCTAACACACGACAAAGTAAATAGTCTCATTATTTCTTCTCTTGAACAAGTCATTGGGTTTAACTCTATTCTGTGACTCAGATCTGGTCCAGGCAAAATAAAACCTTTCCTTCTTCTCTTTTGTCAGAAAATGGCAGGACATGTTTGTGTGAACAGGAAAGTGTCCCCCTTGGGGCGCGCGACGGGAACTCAGAACGATGGCTTCATCCTATACATTTTCCCTCCCAAAAAACACATTCCAGAGTCGAGGAATATGGCTTTGGGACATCTGGAATCTTCCGTGAGGATCACAGGACATTTGTTTGTGGACAGAGGTCCTCAATCTTCTGTGGTTGTTTTTATGGCACTTCCTGTTTTGATTCTCTGATCGTTGTTGGCAAATCCACAACCTTTGTAAAGTCCTCGAGACTGTGGTTCAGGGCGAGACTTAAATCATGAGTTCAGGATTATGAGCTGTAGTCTTTGACGAGTGGGGTCAGGGGTCTGGAGTCAGGAGTCAAGGGTCCAACCGTCAGGGGTCAGGGGTCAGCTCCTAGCAGTGTGAGTGGGAGGCGGGTCGGGGAGCGTGGCTGACTGGCTCCTGTGCCACAGGGAGCGGAGCAGCGGTGTCGTGGTGGTTGTCGTGGTGACGGTGATGGCCGTTGTCATAGTGGCTGTCTCTTGCCCAGCACCTGGCGCCGTCCCTGCTCTCCTTCAAGGAACAGCTCCACCATCAGGTCTTCTCTTTGTGGATCGGCAAACCTGATGTCTTGGGAAGTCCGGGATCAGGCCAGTCACGAAGTCACTCATTTCAGCATCACAGTTCTACGGGAAGAAGAGTTTAATTATGTAGGACGTTTTACACTCCAAGGTCTCCCCAAAGAAGCGCTTTGCAACAGGGGGTCCCAAAAACTTTTTAGTTAAGATGGCCACTTCCCCAGACTGGTCCAGGAGTGTTCTGAGGTTTCTGCTTATCTATAAACTGAGCTGACAGTTGGCTGAATGAACATGTTTTCAATTCAGCAGCTTCATTAGCTCCAGTAATGGACGGTGACCAAAATCAAAAACCACGAGTACAGTTGTGTACAAATAATGTAAACAGTAAAGTCAAATAATACCAATAAACAGTTACGACATGTTTTATGGTCTGAGCTGAAGTTGGGATAGTGACACAGTGAAAATTTGAGTTTATGATCTCAAGACAACGACATGAAAGATTCAAGGCTTATGCTCAACACTCAGAGAGCAGCCGCCTCCTGTGGACTCACCACCTGCAGAGGGGTGGTGCTATGAGACTTGGGTGGCATCTCTGACTGTCACCCCCCTGACCCACGAAACCGGATTAATGGGTAGAAAATGGATGATGGATCTCAAAGACTCTGTGGGTTAGCGAGGCAGAGGGCCACGTACAAATGACACTGAGGGCCACTATGGCCCCCGACCTGAAGCTTGGAATGCTGGTTTACAATGTTCCGATCAGATACTGTTCCCATTCTCTTCCCCCCAGAAACACCCCGGACCATCAAGGGCTCCGACCAAACACCCTCCATCACTGCATTACAAAGACAGATCAGAGACCCAGCATCAGAGACCAGCACCAGAGACAGCAGCAGAGACCAGCACCAGAGACCAGCACCAGAGACCCGAGCACCAGAGACCAGCACAGAGACCAGCACCAGGAGCCCCAGCTCCAGAGACCATGTGGTTTTTACCTGGAAGACGGGGGGGGGGATGACGGGGGGGGGGGGGGGGCAGGGGGGCGGCGCGCTGCCAGAATCGCCCAAAACTCTTTGAAAGGTCCATACTTTGTGCTCCGTCCCAGGGGAGGCTCCCTGTAGTCTTTTAATCGAAACGCGACGCGCACCACACACACGGCAGCACGCACGCACTCACACACCACACACACGATCAGATTCCTGTTTATTTGCCATTTGCAGTAAAAAAAAAATCACATTAGCAAAAAGCTCAGTGTGCACAGACAAATACAGACATTAAACAACATTAAAAGTAAGGACATAAAACAAAATAAAACAGTCAAAACCCCAAAATTGGGGGTTTTCACTGTGAAATCGATCGACTAAAACAGTTTCAAAACAAGTGCAAGATCATTAAGTGCTCTGTTCACACTGATAACGCTTGTGGATTAACAACTGTTAGCGTAACGAGATGTCCTGCATCTCAGAGAGCGATATCTTCTGCCAGTGGGAAGAGCTGGAACAAGGCTTTTCCAGGGGTGGCCAGAAGATGTCTTGATAATTCCTTAGTGCTCTATTAAGACGTTGCATTTATAAAGACCTCCCAAGACAAGGAAGCTCACAGCCACGGTCCTCTTTGCAGAGCGGAGCACTTGTTTAAAGCTCTTCTTTTTCTTTATCATGTGATGTTTCCAAACCACCCAGACACAGAACAACAAGTAAACTCTCAATTGGTGCAGCGATAAATAGTTAAGCAGAATTTAGAGTTAGTGTAAATTCTCTTAAGTTTACGCAGGTAAGTAAGAGCTGACGAGTCTTTCTTAACGACTCGGTCTGTCTAACGACCTGAAATGGTGTTTAGAAAACTACTGACCGAGTGATATATTTGCTGTGTCGGTGACGTTCCTGCTCGTTATGAAAGCTCGTCAGCGTCTTTGCTTTCTGCGGTTATAACTTAGAGTTTTACCACTAACTCTAAGATTTGCTTCAACTTTTATCGCTCTGCACCATTGAGAGTTTCACTTGATGGTTCTGTGTCTGTGTGGGATTTCTTTGAAACTATCACCGCTAAAGAAAAAAGAGGCTTTAACAAGGTGCTCCGCTTCTGCAAAGCGGACCGTGGGCTGTGAGCTTCCTGGTTCTGGAGGGTCTTTATAAATCCAGACTTTTAATTAGAGCCTATGAATTATCAATGGAACTCTTCTGGCCACCCTGGAAAAAAGCCTTGGTCCCCAGCTTCTTCCTCTGGCAGGAAGATATCGCTCTCTGGATCCGCAGGACATTTCGTTACGTAACAGTTTTTATCCACAAGCTGTTATCAGGTGTGAACAGAGACACATTTAATGATTTGCACTGGTTTTGAAAACTGTTTTAGGCGATCGATTTCACAGTGACATTTGTTGACTGTTTTAATTTGTTTTTATTTCCGTACTTTTAATGGTTGTTTAATGTCTGTATTTGGTCTGTGCACACTGGGACTTTTTGCTAAAGTGGTTTTTTTTACTGCAAATGGCAAAATCAACGGAATCTGAATCGAGTCTTTTCATTTTTGAGTGTGTGTGGTATCTCCCCTGTGTGTGACGTGCGTGTGCTGTGCGTGTTTCGTGTGCGCGTTTGCGTTTAGATTTAAAGATACAGGGAGCATCCCTGGTCCGAGCAACCAAAGTATGGACCTTTCCAAGTGTTTTGGGCGATTCTGGCAGCGCGGCCTGCCTTCGTCATGTCTTCCAGGTAAAAAACTCTCATGGTCTTGATGCTGGTCTCTGGTGTTGGTCTCTGTGTGTCTTCTGGTGCTGGTCTCGGTGCTGGTTCTGGTGCTGGTCTCTTGCTGCTGGTCTCTGGTGCTGGTCTCTGATGCTGGTCTCTGATGCTGGGTCTTTGTAATGAGTTGAAGGGAGGGTGTTTGGTCGGAGCCCTTGATGGTCTGTGTGGATAGTTTGGTGTGAGAGAAGGGAACAATCTCTGAATTGAAACATTTGTAAACCCAGGGCCCATGTCCAGTCAGGTCCCGGGGGCCAATAGTGGCCCTCCAGTGTCATTGTACGTGGCCCTCTCTGCCTCGCTAAAGAACCCACAGTAGTTTTGAGATTCCCATCCATCCCCATTTTCTACCCTTTAATCGCATTTCTGGGTCCTGGGGGTGACAGTCAGAGTGCCACCCAAGTCTCATTAGCCACCAGCCCGCTGCAGGTGGTGAGTCCACAGGAGGGCCGGGCTGCTCTCAGAGTTGTGAGAATAGCTTGATCTGTTCATGTCTTTGTCTTTGAGATCATAAACACAAAATTCACCTGTGTCATCTAATCCAACTTCAGCTCAGACATATAACATGTGTAACTTTTTTTGTTATTATTTGGACTTTACTTTTACTTTATTTTGTACAAAACCTGTACTCATGTTTTTGATTGTGGTTCACGTCCATATCTGGAGGCTTAATGAAGCCTGCCTGAGATTGTAAACATGTGTCATTCAGCCAACTTCAGCTCAGTTATAGATAAATCTAAACCTCAGAACAGGCTCCTGGACCCAGTCTGGGGGGGAAGTGGCCATCTTACTAAAATGTTTGGGGACACCCTGTTGCAAAGCGCTTTGGGAGCCTTGGTTGTGTAAAACGTGCTACATTTTAATTAAACTTCTTCTTTCCGTGTAGAAGTGGTGCTGCTGTAGTGAGTGACTTCGTTGGACTGGCTGATCCCGGACATTCCCAAAAGACATTCAGTTTGCAGATCCAACAAAGAGGAAGATCCTGTGTGGGAGCTGTTCTGAAGGAGGAGCGGGACGGCGCCTGGTGCTGGCCGAGACAGTCACTATTGACAACGGCCTATCACCGTTCACCAAGACAACCACACGGACAACCGCTGGCTCTCGCGCCCTGTGGCGATCACTGAGTCCGTCAGCACGTCCCGACCCGCCTCCCACTCACACTGCTAGGAGCTGACCCCTGACCCCTGACGTTTGACCCTTGACTCCTGACTTGACCCCTGACCCATCGTCAAAGTCCCCTACAGTCATAATTGACTCATGTATTTTAAGTCTCGGCCCTGAACCACAGTCTCGAGGACTTTAACATAGTTGTGGCTTGCCAACTAGACGATCAGAGAATAAAAACAGGAAGTGCCATAAAAACAACCACAGAGAGATTGAGGACCTCTGTCCACCTAACGTAAATGTCCTGGATCCTCACGGAAGATTCCAGATTTCCCAAAGCCCATATTTCTCGACCTCTGAGATGTGTTTTTTGGATGTAAAAGTGTAAAGGATGGAAAGCCACGTTCTGAGGTTCCCGTCGCCTGCGCACAACAGGGGACACTTTTTACTGTTGCACACTACATGTCCTGCCCTTTCTGACGCAAAATAGTATGCACTGGTTGCGCTGCCTTCGCCGTACCTCTAAACGCGCCTGGATCCCTGTCACTACCTTTCCGTTCGATTTGTCATTTATTATCCTGAGACATCTCATTGACGAGGTGAGAAGAAGGAAAGTTTTATTTTTGCCTGGAAACTGATCTGAGACAGATAGAGTTAAACAAATGGACTTTTGTTCCAAAGAAGAAATAATGAGACTATTTACTTTGTCGTTGTTTAGAAAAAATATATTCAGTAGAAAATACGTTGATGATGACAACCACGCCCTACCATCGATGCTGCCTTCAGCCTACGAAGTGAGCAGGTCTGCGGGCTCAGAAGACCCCCTGTAACTCCTGATGCTGCCCCACCCCAGAGGGGCCCAGCGATAGTGCCCCCTGTAACTTGTGATTTGTAAGAACCTTATTTCCCAGCAACCCCCCCCCCCCCCCCCCCCCCCCCCCCCCCGACCCCCCACATCATCCCCCTCCATTACCCCTCCCCCCTCCACAACCCACCCCCCCCCCCCCCCCTCCCCCCCCTCCACCTCCCCCCCCCCATTACTGGGAAAAAAACGTTTGGTATCAAGACAGAAAAAGTGTCTTTAAAGGTGATGTTCATAGTGATGTCATAGTGATGTCATAGTGGTGATTAATGACATCTTCACCCTGATCTCCCCTAACTGCCTGGCATTGTGTCAGTTCTATCAATAACAGAATAAATTGGCGTTTGTCGTGCTGTGCCTGTTCTGTGATTGGGCTCCCAGTTCTATGCGACATTTGGGCGGGGTTTCCGGGCTGCTGTCTGTGGAAGAGGACTGGACAGAAACTATGTACAAATACCACAAACTTTAGGTTTTGTGGATGTAAGGAGAATGGTTTGACCTTTCATTTCTGTTTGAAAATATGGACCCTGACAATCTGTCCCTACAGACCCCTGACCCTACACACCCTGACCCCTGCCCTACAGACCCTGACCCTACAGACCCCTGACTCCTACAGGACCCTGACCCTGACCCCACAGACCCTGCGCCACAGACCCTGACCCCACAGACCCTGGAAATCCTACAGACCTGATCCCACAGACCTGATCCCACAGACCCTGATCCCACAGACCCCTGATCCACAGACCCTGACCCACAGACCCTGTACCCTACAGACCCGGACCCCTGGACCCTGGACCCCACAGACCCGCTGGAACCCACAGACCCTGACCCACAGACCCTGACCCCACAGACCCTGACCCCCACAGGACCCTGCCCCTACAGACCCTGACCCCTGACCCCCACAGACCCTGCCCCCACCGACCTGACCCCACAGACACTGATCCCACAGACCTGATCCTACAGGACCCTGACCCACAGACCCTGACCCTACAGACCCTGGACCCCTGGACCCACAGACCCTGACCACACAGACCCTGACCCGCACTGACCCTGATCCTACAGACCCTGACCCTTGACCCTACATCCCACAGAAAACCATATCATGTTTTATCCCCAATGTGTTATGCTGAACTTCTTTCTACTGAATCTTGTTTGCTCCCGTTTTTTCCCGTTGCCTTTAACCGATTTACCTTTAAACAAGAAGCAAACGGACTGAAATGAATTGTTATGAAAATAAAGAAATGCTTTTGATTTTGCACACTGGATGATTCTGCTCTGTTCCAGAGAATCATCTTAAAGAATTTCTGGAATACACAAGTTCCTTTGAACTGCTGTTGGTGTTGTGGGGTCGGTCTGGGGGGGAGGGGGGATGGGAAGGGAGGAGGAGGCCGGGAGAGGTTTGGGGGGGAAGTCTGGAGGAGGAGGCCTGGAGGGGGGAGGCTGTGACCAGGACAGATTTGTCCAAACATAGATTTGTTTCTAAAGAATTCAGATCATAAAGAAAACTGGACTCATTGATAAAACAAGGATTTGATTTTCTTTAGGCTACAACTTGACACCAGAAGTAATGAGATGAATGTGATTGGCTATAAAATAATACCCATTATTATTATTATCATGTTATTATTTATGTGTTTAAAATTTATCATTATTTTATTTTAGTTATCATCATCATCATCATTCTATCATTGTGTAATTAGTATTCTCTTTATTCTGGAGGGTGGGGTGAATGATCCTGTTAGTCAACACTTTGGGAAAGGCGGCTGGAGGTGATAGAATGAACTGGAGTGGTTGGGTGGGATCTCGAGGGAAGGGATTTGTCTGGAAATGGGAGTGCTTACATGAGAAAAGAAAAACCTTTCTCATGTAACAGATCCAAAGTTATGATAGTAGAGGAAACGTAAAAAGAAACAATTGTCTCCAATAAATCGGAACGTTTGTATAGCCCCTCATGTTCCTCCTGCAGGTGATGTTAGTCCACAGGAGCTGAGATCTATCAGTGGCAGATTCAGGCAAAGTGGCTTAAGTGTCTTGCCCAAGGCCACAAACGATAGCAGTCATCAGTGGGAGTCGTGTGAAGTAGGATTTATGGTGGGCTAGAACCCTAAACCTTTCAGGCTCAAAGGCCACTGCTCTACCAAACTGAAGCACTGTCGCTCATGGTTCTTTCATGGGATTAGTAAAAACGCTGTGCAGCAATATAAAAGGCCGGTCAAGCTAAAAAAACTAAGATCGTACGAAAATATTAGTCTCAGGGTTAGAGTGTGTTCAAGAATCCCCAATAATGGAGACTATGGTTACAATTAAATAGTTTAGCTGAAGCGAAAGTTTACCGATGACATCCTAGGGGTTGGAGGAAAGATGTCGAGAGTTTGTTGTAGTGTTGATGTGAGATGCTTGCCAAATAAAGTGTTTATTGGATTTATGCGCTAATGAAGTGAAAACCGTACATGCCGGAAAACAAGATATGCGGAAAATGCTCTGGAGAACATGAGTGTGGACACTGCGAGAAGGAGCAAAGTTGAGTGTTGCATCTGTGGAGGGTGAGATAGTTCCCAGCGTTCGCGTGATGTGAGGCTAGCGAGAGGGCCTGCGGTAGGTGCAAAGAGTCACACAAGGCGTGTCGTAGCTGAGGCGGTTGAAAAGAAAGTGTCGAGTTTTCCAGGAAGTGAGAGTAAATCTGCATCCGAATGTTTTTTTAAGTGAGTATGATGTGTTTTGAACCACTCAGTCCCAAATTTAAAGAAGATACTTTATGTGTGAAAAAGAAAGATTTATTCATCTGGAGTTGTCCCGTATCATTCCCAATGGACATGTAAATCTCTCCTTTGGAGCTAAATAAAGCACATCTTACCTTTTACTCTTCTCTTCTCTTCATGGTGGAGGCATTAATTGTGGTGCCCAGACAGAAAAAGAAACTGAAAGAATAGTGATAATTGTTAAGGCTGCAGGAAAAGATTTCTGGTATTAACGGTCTAGGATTGAAAATGAAGAGCTGTTAAAACCAAGAACCAAACAGAGAACCCTCAAACCTAGCCCATGTTCTCGGTGGTTCCTAATGGTGGGTGACGGTTTTCTGCAGTGGAACGCCAGGAGCCTTCTTGCAAATGGGCACGCATGTAAACCTATCTATGTTCTGCCCTGCAGGACAAACTCTCAGTATATGTGTTCCAAAGAGACCTTGGTACAAACAAATGGAATTTGATTTATTCAAGGACCATACAGCATAAGGAATGACAGGACGAGGTGAGGTTGGAGGCGTAGCTGCTTTTATTAAAACGGCGAAAATCACTGTGTGTTAATATAAATGATGTATGGTAAAAACGTGAATGAATGGGGGAGGAGGCGAAACTACACTATGCCCAGTTTTAAACCTATGAAGGCACAGAGGCAAACAACAATGTTTCAACAAGCAAAATGTTGGCTGAAACTTTTGTACGTCCACCAGTTGGGACAACCTGAGACGCCTGCAGGCACGAGAAAGTAGGGCAGCACTTTGGCAGTTTTGGTTATTTGATTCAATCACACCCTACAGCTCAGGAAGATCTCGACCTTCCATTAAATCTTTTTGAGTTGAAGAGAGCTTGTCTATCAGGCGAGACAAACACCCCTGAGTAAAGATGATGTATGTTAAAACACTTTCTTTTTCAATTGGCTGATGAGACACTTGAGATTGATACTGAGTTTGCTTCAATCTTGTTTGGGACACTAGGAGCAATGGAACCGTTGTTGTCTCAGTCCGTGTTGAACTGGGAAAGTCACCCCTTCTGACCCGTCAACTTAAAGGCTATTGCCGTTTTAGACGTCCCCAGTTGGTGAAAGACTATGGAGCGCATGGAACCAGAAAGATCATTGTGTTTAGAAACCAGAATTTTCTTTCCACCACCAAAGCTGGCTTTTGATAAAAGGGTAGGTAAGACCTGGCTCTGTATTATGCTGGAACAGAAATTCAAACGCACACAGACAAATAAAGAATAAGGTTTATCGGCTGAGTTTTTTGATGTGAGAAGGCGTATGACATGGTGTGGAAAGAAGGCCTTGCTCATTCGTTTGCGCAAAGTTGTATTGTTGGGGTAATTTACACCAAAACTTGGGTTAAAAGCTTCACTGTTTGATGTTGGTTATGATGTTGAAAAATTGGTATTCCGCAGGGAAGCGTGTGAAGCCCAATCCTGTTTAATGTTTTGATAAAATAAATATTTTTGAGGGTGTTGATCGTTTCTTTTGGAACGAAGTCTGTATGCGGTTATGGAGCATTGTGGGTAAGGGGGAAGGAAACTTGAATTTATTGTAAAGAAGCTGCAAAGCGCAATACAGAGGTGGAGAACGTGGATCTAGCTGAGGATTTAAAGTCTCCAATAGTCCACAGTGATGTGTTTCTTCAGCCGTCACAAAGCCGTTTCTCTGAAAACTATATGGAGCGCTTGAAAAAAGTGAAGGAGGAAACAAAGTTTTTCAGGTGTCATTTTTTTTGTCGAATCCCTATTGGAAAAGTTCATAATAATGTTAAAAGTGAATTTTAATTTGATGCGGATGTTATCTGGCCAGATGCGGGAGCAGTCGGGAAATTCACCGTTAAATATAAACCGGGATTTGATGCGTCCAACTCTCCGGATTTATTGGGTGTTTAGCCTTTTTGTTGCTCGTGTGACTACTTTAATAAAACTTGATAGGAACCAAGCTATAAGCCCTACGCGTCATGCAGAGCTCTTAAAACATCTATTTCTGCAATGCAGGTCGTAGTTAGGAGAAATGCCATTTGAGAAATAGTAGATTGAAACTCATGTGGGCGTATTGGGTTGAATTTAGAAGGGCTAATTGGGCGCCACCCAGGAACAAAGGCCTTAAAGAATGTTGGGTAACATTGGACAAAGAGAGATCGCTCTAGTTTTGGGTTGGTAGCAAAGGCCAAAGGCGTCAACTTGCTGAGTTAAGTGGAATTAGTATGTGCCCCTATAACCGACTTGTCAACTATTGCCCCTTGGAAGTTTATTCTCCGCACAGTGATATTAGTCTCCCAACATACAACTCAAAGAGGAAAACAAAAAAGGGCTGGCCCGCCCATATTTCTGTACAAGAACTGATGATGTACATTCTGAGCATTTGTTTGTTTTTACTGATGGATCCAAAAGATCCAGTGAGGTGGACGTATGTTTGCCTTTCTTTGTCCAGTGACTTGACATAGCAGTGAAGCGAAGATTAACATAATAAATCTCTTCTGTGTTTACTACAGAACTTGTCGCAATAAAGCTAGCTTGGAGATGGGTTTTAAAACAACTTTGCAGGCGCTCATGTATCGTTATAGCTTCTGATTGTTTGTTCTGCTCTGTAAAGCATTTAATCTGACTGTAAGTCCAGGCCATCCCTTATGTCTATTCTCTGTGAGGCTCTTTCGTTGTATAGGTTTGGGACTAGCAACGGAAGGTTTCTACTCATCATCTGTACTTCTTCGCAAGTTTTCCCGACGTTTGTCCTCAAACCTGGGGACTTCTTCAGGGAATGAATTCTCGGAGCCGGCGCGTTGGAGATTTATAACCTATGGGTGTGGTTTTTAGCCACACCCTAATCCTGCTTACTAAACTCATAAACATCTACCGGGTCTTGCTTGATGTAGAAGGGAGCAGGTCTAACGACCCTGTGCGGCTAACGGACCCCTAACTCCTTAGGATGTCCACAGACCTATTGTCTGCTGGGAATGCTCAAGTAGGCGGTGCAGGTCTCACCCCTCCTAAACTCTATTAGCATGTCACTGACCCTTGTCCCAAGTGTAGGGCGTTTGTTTTTGGATGTGTCATGATTGCCGAGCCAAACAACTCTTAAACCCTCCTCCTCTGTTAGAGAAGGTTTTTGGTTGTCCTACAAAATGGCTTTCTTTCACTCCTCGCTCAAAACCAATTCTTCTCCCGAGCCCGTATGTGAATCTGTTGTCCTTCACCGTGTGGTTGGAATCTTGAAGGTGGGAGGCCACAGTCCTCGGCCACAGTCGGATGTTCATCTCCACTCAAGGCCTCCAACCACCGCCCTAACTTGGGACAAGGTCAGTGAACTTGCTAATGAGTTAGGAGGGGTGAGACCGCCACTTCCACTTGAGCATCCAGCAGAACAATAGGTCTGTGACATGCTAGGAGTTAGGGTCGTTAGCCTCAGCAGGGTCCGCTAGACCTGCTCCCTTCTACATCAAGCCGACCTGAGATTGTTTATGAGTTAGAATCAGGATTAGGGTGTGGCTAACCACACCCATAGGTTTAAATCTCCAACGCGCGGTCCAGATGAATCATTCCTGGAAGAAAGAACCCAGGTTGGTCGAAACGTCGGGAAAATTGCTCAGAGTTCAGATGATGGGTGAGCATCCTTCCTTTGCTATCCCTACTATTACAACGACGCTCCAGAGGAATGTTACATAGAGGAGGCCTGGTCTAAGTCAGATTAAATGCTGTACAGAGCAGACAATACAATCAGAAGCTATAACCGATACATGAGCGCTGCAAAGTTGTTTAACCCATTCCAGAGCTTGCATTATTGCGACAAGTTCTGTCGTAAACACAGTGAGATTATTTGCTACTTCGCTTCACTGCTATGTCAAGCTCTGGGACAAAGCAGGCAGAACCAGTACGTCCACTCACAGGATCTTTGGATCCATCAGTAAAAACAAACAAATGCCTCAGAATGTTCAGCGATCAGTTTTGGACAAGAAAATTGCGCAGCCTTTTATTGTTTTCTCTTTGAGTATATGTTGGAGACTATATCAACTGGTGCGGAACTAAAACTTCCAAGGGCAAAGTTGGACCAAGTCGGTATTAGGGCACATACTAATTCCATTAACTCAGCAAGTTGAGCTTTGGCCTTTGCTATCCCAACCAAAACTATAGCTATCTCTCTTTCATGTTCCCAACATTCTTTAAGGACTTTGTTCCTGGGTGCGACCAAAATTTGCCCTTCTAAATGTCACCAATAGCCCACATGAGTTTTCAATCTACTATTTACAATGGCATTTCTCCTAACTCGACTGCTGCAGAAATAGATGTTTTAAAGCTCTGCATGACGCGTAGGCTTTTTTTTGTTTTTTTTTTTCGCTTTCCATATCAAGTTTTATTAAAGTAGTCACAAGGAAGCAGACAAAAAGGCTAAACACCCATAATCGAAGTAGGACGCATCACAGCCCGTTTATATTTAACGGTGATTTCCACTGCCTCCCAGTCCTGGCAGATTAACAAGCAACAAATTATTCACTTAACCATTATTTTGAACTTTTCCAATAGGGTTTCACAAAAAAATTACACTAAAAACTTTGTTTCCGTCACCTTTTTCAAGCGTCCCCTATAGTGTCAGTGAACTGCTTTGTGACGGCTGAAGAGAACAACATCACTTGGGACTTTGGAGCAGTTAAATCCTCAGTCTAGTGTCCACTCTCCACCTGTGTATTGCTCTTGCCGCTTCTTTACACTAAATTCAAGGTTTCTTCCCCTTACCACAATGCTCATAATCCGCATCCCAGTCTTCGTTCAGAAGAACGATCCAACACCCTCAAAAAGATTTTATTTATCAAAACCATTAAACCAGGATTGGGCCTTCCACGCTTCCCCCCTCCGCCTTCCCCCATGCGGAATACCATTTTCAAATCATAAACCAAACATCAAAACAGGAAGCTTTTAACCCAATTTTGTAAATTACCCCAATACCAACTTTGCGCAACTGAATGAGCAGGCCTTCTTCACACACATGTAATACGCCTTCTCAACATCAAAAAACTCAGCGGATACCTTTTCTTAAGTTGTCCTTTGCCTTTTGGAATTCTGATTCCAGGCCTAATACAGAGTCATGGTATTCCTACCTTTTACAAAAGCGCTTTGGTTAGTGGAAGAAAATTTGGTTTTCCTAAAACAAAATGTAATCTTTCTGTTTCCATGCGCTCCATAGTCGTTTCCCAACTGTGACGTTTACGCAATTAGTCCTTTAAGTTGAGGGGTCAGAAGGTGACTTTCCCAGTTTCAACACTGGGACTACAAGACTGATTCCAATGCTCCTAGTGTCCCCAAACAAGATTGAACAACTCAGTATTTCATTCAAGTGTCTCATCAGCCATGAATAGAATGTTTTAAAACATACATCATCATTCCCAGGGTTGTTTGTCTCGCTTAGACAGAGCTTCTTCAACTAAAAAGATTTAATGGAAGGTCGAGATCTTCCTGAGCTGTAGGTTGTGATTGATCAAATAACAAACTGGGCCAAAGTGCTGCCCCTACTTTCTCCGAGCTGCAGGCGTCAGGTTGTCAGAGCTGTGAGGATACAAAAGTTTCAGCCAACAATTTTAGCTTTGTTGAAATTGTTGTATTGCCTCTGTGCCATTCTTAGGTTAAAACTGGCATAGTGTAAGTTTCTCCTCTCCCCATTCATTCGTATTAACCATACATATTTTATATGTTAAACACACAGTGATATCAGCGTTTTTAATTAAAAGCAGTACGCCTCCCCTTCACCTCGTTTCCCTGTCATTCCTTATGGCTTGATATGTCTTGAATATAAAATCCATTTGGGGTTGTAGCCAAGTCTCTTGCACACATATGACTGAGGTTAGTCCTGCAGTGGCCAGAAATCTGATGTTTACATTCTTGACCATTTGCAAGAAAGGCCTCCTTGGCGTTACACTGCAGAACGTCACCACCAATAGGAACCCACAGAACATGGCTGTAGGTTTATGAGGTGTTCTCTATTCTTGGTTTCTGTTTAACAGCTCTTCAATTTCAATCCTAGACCCTTTTATACCAGATATCTTCTGCAGCCCTTAAAATTATCACTATTCTTTCAGTTTTCTTTCATGTCTGGCAGCACCAATTAATGCTCCACCATGAAGGGAAGAGAAGAAGAAAAAGGTAAGATGTGCTTTATTTATCTCACAAAGGAGGATTTACATGTCACATTGGCATGGATAGGAGACACCAGTGAATAAAATCTTTCTTATTCCCCACATAAAGTATCTTCTTTAAATTTGGGGGACTGGGGGTTCAAATATCACTTCATTACTCATACATCGAGGCAGGATTTACTCTCACTTCCCTGGAAGAACTCGACACTTTCTTCACCGCCTCTGCGTACGGACACGCCTTGTGTGACTCTTTGCACCTCCGCAGCCTTCCGTAGCCTAATTCGGAACGCTGAAAACTCTTCTCCCTCCACGTTGCACCACTTCAACTTTGCTTTCCTTCTCGCATTGTCCCCACTCATGTTACTCCAGAGCATTTTCGCATATCTGTTCTTCCTGCAAGTACGGTTTCACTTCATAAGCTCATAACTCCAATAAACACCTTATTTGGCAAGCATCTCACATCAAACACTACAGACAAACTCCTCACATCTTTCTCCAAACCTAGTGTCATCGGTAACTGTTCGCTTCAGCTAAACTATTTAATTGTATCCATAGCTCCATTATGGGGGATTCTTGAGATCACACCTTAACCCACTGAGACTATATATTTCTTATCAGCTATTGTTTAGTTGAGGCCTTTATTTGCTGCCACGTTTTTACAAATAAACCATTAAATGGAGACAGTGAGCGACACGTGGCTCAGTTGGTTAGAGCCATTGGCCTTTTGAGCCTGAAGGTTATGGGTTCAAGGCCCACCTAAGTCCTACTTCACGACTCCCACTGATGATTGCTATCGGTGTGTCTTGGGCAAGGACACTTAAGTCCACTTTGCCTGAATCGCCCACTGAAAGATCTCAGCTCCTGTGGACCATCACCTTCCCGGAGGATCATTGAGGGGCGCTACCAACTTTCCCGAATTTATTGAGACATTTGTTTGCTTTTTACGTTTCCGTCTACTACCTTGGATTTACATGAGAAGGTTTTCTTTTTTTTCTTCATGGTTAAGGCCTCTCCCCCATTTCCAGACAAATCACTTCCCTCAAAGCCATCTCCAGTTCATTCAGCCGCCTTTCCCAAAGTTGTTGACTTACCAGGTTCATTCACGCACCCTCCAGATAAAGAATCCGTAAGTCATCAATGATGATTGGATGATGATGATGATAAATAATATTAATAAAATTGATAATATTAACACATTAAATATAACAATGATAATAATAATAATGGTATTATTTTATAGGCTTCACAGGTTCATTCATTACTTCGTTGAAAGTTGTAGCTGAAAGAAATCAAAATCCTTTTCTTTATCAATGAGTCAGTTTTCCTTTATTGATCTGATCTTAGAAAACAAATCTATGTGTGGATATCTGTCCTGGTCACAGCCTCCCCCCTCCAGGCCTCCTCTCCAGACTTCCCCTCCAAACCTCTCCCGGCCTCTCCTCCAGCACCCCTCCCCCCCAGACCTCCCCCCAAGCAACAGCTGTTCAAAGGCGATCTTTTATTCAGATATGTTACAGCTGATTCTCTGGATCAGGAGCAGAATCTTCCCAGTGTGCACAATCCAAAGCATTTCTTTATTTTCATAACAATTCATTCTAGTCCGGTTGGCTTTGTTTAAAGGTAGAGTTGTTTAAGGCATCTGGAAAACTGAGCAAACACAGATTCAGTTAGAAAGAGATTTCCGCATTAACACATTGGATAAAACTGATATGGTTCTGTGGGATGTGGGTCAAGGGTCAGGGTCTGTAGATCAGGGTCTGTGGGTCCAGGGTCTGTGGGGTCAGGGTCTGTGGGTGTCCAGGGGTCAGGGTCTGTAGGGTCAGGGTCTGTGGGGTCAGGGTCTGGAGGGATCAGGGTTTGTGGGATCGGGTCTGTGGGGTCAGGGGTCTGTGGGGTCAGGGTCTGTGGGTCAGGGGTCAGGGTCTGTAGGGTCACGGGTCTGTGGGGTCAGTGGGGGGTCAGGGTCTGTGGGGTCAGGGTCTGTGGGGTCAGGGTTCTGTGGGGTCGGGTCTGTGGGGTCAGGGGTCTGGGTCAGGGTCTGTGAGTCAGGGGATCTGTGGGGTCAGGGTCTGTGGATCAGTGACTGTGGGCTCAGGTGTCTGTGGGATCAAGGGTCTGGGGGATCAGGATCTGTAGGCTCCGGGTCTGTGGGGTCCGGGTCTGTGGGTATCAGGGTCTGTGGGGTCAAGGGGTCAGGGTCGTAGGGTCAGGGGTCTGTAGGGTCAGGGTCTGTAGGGTCAGGGTAGGGTGTGTAGGGTCAGGGGTCTGTAGGACAGTTGTCAGGGTCAATTCTTTCTACAGAAATGAAATGTCAAACCATTTCTCCTTAAATCCACAAACACCTAAGTTTGTGGGATATGTACATATTGTTTCCAGTTCTTCCATCAAGACAGCAGCCCCCCGGAAAACCCCGGCCCAAATGGTGTCTAGAACTGGGAGCAATATCAGACAGGCAACAGCACGACAACGACAAATTATTCAGTTATTGAGATAGAAACTGACACAATGCAGGCAGTTAGGGGAGATCAGGGGTGTAAAGATGTCATTTTCCCTCCTATGACTCACTATGACCACTCCTATGACATCACCTTTAAAGACACTATTTCTGTCTTATAACAAACGTTTTTCCCATAACTTGTTATGGTAATTTTCGCTGAAATAACGGTTCTTTACCAATCCACAAGTTACAGGGGGCACTAGACAGCTGCTCCTCTGGTGGCAGCATCAGGAGTTACAGGGGGCTCTGTCTGCAGAAGCTGCTATCGTGATGGCTGCATCATGGTAGTGCTTGTTTATCACGTATTTTACTGAATATATTTTTTTTCTAAAACACGACAAATAGTAAAATAGTCTCATTATTTTTCTTTGACATAAAGTCATTGGTTTAACTCTATTCTGTGACTCAGATTCAGGTTCCAGGCAAAATAAACCTTTCCTTCTTCTTCTTTGCGTCCATGAAATGGCAGGAACCTGTTTGTGTGCAACAGTAAAAGTGTCCCCCTGTGTCGCGCGACGGGAACCTCGACGACGGCTTTCCTTTACATTTTACATCCAAAAAGCACATCCAGAGTCGAGGGAATATGGCTTTGGGAAATCTGGAATCCTTCCGTGAGGCATCCCAGGACATTTACGTTTGTCGGACAGAGGTCCACAATCTTCTGTTATGGTTGTTTTTATGGACACCTCCTTCCTGTTTTTGATTCTCTGATCGTCTGTTGGCAAAATCCACAACTTTTGTAAGTCCTCGAGACTGTGGTTTCAGGCGGAGACTTAAATACATGCGTCAGGATTATGAGCTGTAGGTCTTTGACCGATGGGGGTCAGGGGTCAGGAGTCAGGAGTCCAAGGGTCAAACGTCAGGGGTTCAGGGGTTCAGTCTAGTCCAGTGTGAGTGGGGGGGTCGGGAAGCGTGGCTGACTGGCTCCGGTCGCCACACCCGGCGCGGAGCAGCGTTGTCGTGGTGGTTGTGTGGTGACGGTGATGGCCGTTGTCATAGTGACTGTCTCTGCCCAGCACCAGGCGCGTCCCTCTCCTCCTTCTGGAACAGCTCCACCTTCAGGATCTTCTCCTTTGTGGATCTGCAAACTGATGTTCTTTGGGAATGTCCGGATCAGCCAGTCCCCGAAGTCACTCATCAGGCATCACCACGTTCTTACGGGAAGATCGGTGTAATTATGTAGCACGTTTTACTCACCAGGTTCTCCAAGCGCTTCTGCAACAGGGGTGTCCCCAACTTTTTAGTGTAACAAAGATGGCCCACTTCCCCAGACTGGTCCAGGAGCCACTGTTTGAGGTTTTATGATTTATCTTAATGAGCTGAAGTTGGCTGAATGGACACTGTGTACAATCCTCAGCAGCTTCATTAGCTCCACAGTAATGGACGTGACCAATCAAAACACCATTGAGTACAGTTAGTACAAATAAAGTAAACGTTAACGTCAACAAATACCATAGAAAAGTTACGGACATGTTTATGGTCGGAGCTAGAGTGGATAGTGACCAGTGCCTTTGTGTTTTATGATCTCAAAGACCAAGACATGATGAAGATCTCTACCCTGGCTATTGCTCCACATCAGAGAGCAGCGCCCCTCCTGTGGACTCACCACCTGCCAGAGGGTCTGCCCTTTTGTGCTATGAGGACTTGGGTGGCATCTCTGGACTGTCACCCCCCCTGACCCAGAAATGGATTAAAGGGGTAGAAAAGGATGGATGGATCTCAAAGACTACTGTGGATATCGAGGCGGAGGGCCACGGACAATGACACTGAGGGCCCCACTATTGGCCCCCGGACCTGGAGCGTTGGACATGCCTGGTTTACAATGTTCTGGTTATTCAGATATTGTTCCAGCTCTTCCCACACAGAACTCACCCGGACCATCAAGGGCTCCGACCAAACCACCCTCCCATCATCATTACCAAAGACCAGCATCAGAGACCCAGCATCAGAGACCAGCACCAGAGACCAGAAGCAGAGACCGCACCAGAGACAGGCACCAGAGACCAGCACACAGAGTCAGCCCCAGAGCCAGCACCAGAGACAGCTTCAGGGACAATGTGAGTTTTTACCTGGAAGACGAAGACGAGGCGAGGCCGGCGCTGCCAGAATCGCCCAAAACTCTTTGGAAAGGTCATACTTTGTGCTCGACCAGGGAGGCTCCTGTAGTCTTTAAATCTGAAAAACGCACGCGCACTCACTCACGCCACGCACGCACGCACACACACACCCACACACACGATTCAGATTCCGTTTTATTGCCAATTCTGCCAGTAAAAAAAACACATTAGCAAAAAGTCTCCAGTGTGCACAGACAAATACAGACATAAAAACAACATTAAAGTAAGGAAATAAAACAAATAAAACAGTCAACAAATGTCACTGTGAAATCGATCGGACTAAAAACAGTTTCAAAAAAGTGCAAAATTCATTAAAGTGCTTGTTCACACTGATAACAGGCTTGTGGATAAAAACTGTTAGCGTAACGAGATGTCTGCATCTCAGAGAGCGTATCTTTGCCAGAGGGAAGAAGCTGGAACAAACGGCTTTTCCGGGTGGCCAGAAGAGTCATTGATAATTCTTTGTGCTCATTAAGAAGTCTGGATTTATTAGAACCTCCAGAACTGGATGACTCACAGCCCACCGGTCCTCTTTGCAGGAGCGGAGCACCTTGTTTTAAAGCTCTCTTTTCTTTATCTCGTGATGTTTACAATCCCACACAGTCAACAGGAACCAACAAGAAAAACTCTCAATGGTGCAGCGATAAAAGTTAAGCAGAATCTTCGGAGTTAGTGGTAAATTCTTAAGGTTACGCAGGAAAGTAAGACGCTGACGAGCTTTCTTAACCGACTCGGTCTGTCTACGACTGAAAGGGTTAAAAACACTGACCCCGAGGTTTTTTGATGCTGTTAGAAAGCTCGTCAGCGTATTTTACTTTTCTGCGGTAAACTTTAGAGACTTTACCACTAACTCTAAGGATTCTGCCTTTACACTTTTATCGCCCTTGCACCATTGGAGTTTACTTGTTGGTTTGTGTCTGTGTGGTTTTGGAAACATCACAGATAAGAAAAGAGAGCTTTTTTTAACAATGGTGCTAACCGCTCTGCAAAGAGGACGTGGGCTGTGAGTTCCTGTTCTGGAGGTTCTTTATAAATCCAGCCTTCTTATAGGAGCTCTAAGAAATATCAATGACTCTTCTGGCCACCCTGATAAGCCTGGTTCAGCTTCTTCCCTTCTGGCAGACGATATCGCTCCTCTGAGATGCGACGTACATCTCGGTTACGCTGAACAAGGTTTTTCTCCACAAGCTGTAATCAGTGTGAACCAGAGCACTTTAAGTGATTTGACTTGTTTTGAAACTGTTATAGGTCGATCGATGTCCCAGGACATTTGTTGACTGTTTTATTTGTTTTATTTCCTTACTTTTAATGTTGTTTTAGTCTGTATTTGTCTGGGGCACCACTGGGACTTTTGTAATGTGGTTTTTTTTTTACTGCAAATGGCCCAAATAAAACGGAATCTGAATCGGTGTGTGTGTGTGTGAGGGCGGGCTGGTTGCGAGCGGGGTTGCTCCCCGTCCTGGTCCCTGTGTGTGTTGCGCGTGCGTTTCAGATTTAAAGACTACCGGGAGCCTCCCTGGTCGAGCAAAAGTATGACCTTTCCAAAGAGTTTTTGGGCGATTCTGGCAGAGCGCTGCTTCGTCATCGTGCTTTCCAGGGTAAAAACTCACAGGTCTCTGATGTGGTCTCTGTGCTGGTCTCTGTCTCTGTGCTGGTCTCTGGTGCTGGTCTCTGGTGCTGGTCTCTGGTGTTGGTCTCTGTGCTGGTCTCTTGGTGCTGGTCTGCTGATGCTGGTCTTGATGCTGTCTTTGTAATGGAGTGATGTGAGGGAGTTTGGTCGGAGCCCTTGATGGTCCCGGTGTGTTCTGGTGTGAGAGAATGGAACAATTTCTGAATCTGAACATTGTAACAAGGCATGTCCAAGCTCAGGTCCGGGCGGCCAATAGTGGCCTCAGTGTCTTGTACGTGGCCCTCTGCCTCGCTAACCCCACAGTAGTCTTTGTGATCCATCATCCATTTCTACCCTTTAATCCATTTCTGGGTCAGGGGGGGTGAAGCTAGAGATTGCCACCCAAGTCTCATAGCACACGCCCCTTGCCGGTGTGAGTCCTCCAGTCCGCGAGGGAGGCTGCTCTCTGAGTGTGGCTTAGCCCATTGATCTTTCATGTCTTTGTCTTTGAGAATCATTAAACACAAATTCCCTGTGTCAATCTATCCAACTTCAAGCTCGACCATAAAACATGTTCGTACTGTTTTAATGGTATTATTTGACTTACTTTTTACTTTTTTTTACAACCTGTACTCATGGTTTTTGATTGTGTCCACGTCCTTTATGGAGCTAATGAAGCTGCTGAGATTGTAAACTATGTGTCATTCAGCCAACTTCAGCTCAGTTATAGATCATCATACACCTCAGGAACGGCTCCCTGGACCCAGTCTGGGGAAGTGGCCATCTTACTAAAAGTTTGGAAACCCCTGTTGCAAAGCGCTTTCTTTGGGAGACCTTGGTGTGAAAAAACGTGCTACATAATTAAACTCTTCTTCCGTAGAACGTTGGTGATGCTGAATGAGTCGATTGTGGACTTGGGTGATCCGGACATTCCAAAAGGCATTCAGTTTGCAGATCACCACAAAGAGGAAGATCCTGGATGGTGGAGCTTAGCTGTTCCTTAAGGAGGATATCAGGGACGGCGCCTGGGTGCTGGGCAGGAGTACAGTCCTATGACAACGTGGCCCATCCACCGCACACGTCAACCACCACGACAACCGTCGCTGCTCCGCGCCCTGTGGCTGACGGGAGCCTTGTTCAAGTCAGCCACGCTCCCGACCCGCCTCCACCACACCATGCTAGAGCTGACCCCTGACCCCTGTACGTCTGCCCCTTGACTCCTGACTCTGACCCCTGACCCATCGTTCAAAGGACTACAGCTCATATCCTGACTCCCATGTATCTAAGTCTCGCCTGACCACTGTCTCGAGGACTTATACAAAGTTGTGGATTTGCCAACAGACGAATTCCAAGAGTATCAAAAACAGGAAAGTTGCCATAAACAACAACCCACAGAGAGATTTGAGGACCTCTGTCCACCCAAACGTAAATTGGTCCTGGGATCCTCCCGGAAGATTCCAGTTTTCCCAAAGCCATATTCCTCGACTTCTGGATGTGTTTTTTGGATGTACGAAGCTGTTAAAGGATGTGAAAGCCATCGTTCATGAGGTTCCCGTCGCTGCGGCAACACAGGGGGACACTTTTTACTGTGACACAAACATGTTCCTGCCATTTCTGACGCATAGAGAAGAAGGAAAGGTTTATATTTTGCCTGGACTGATCTGATTCACCGAATAGAGTTAAACCCAATGACTTTTGTTCAAAGAAGAAATAATGAGACTATTTACTTTGTCGTGTTATAGGAAAAAAATATATTCAGTCGAAAATCCGTGATGAAACAAGCACTACCATGATGCTGCCCATCAGAGTGAGCCGCGTTCTTGCAGTCAGAGCCCCCTGTAACTCCTGATGTGCCACAGGAGGCGCAGGTATGAGTCCCCCTGTAACTTTTGATTGTAAAGAACTTTATTCAGCCGAAAAATTTACCAAAACTCAATTTATGGAAAAACGTTTGTTATAAGACAGAAAAAGTGTCTTTAAAGGTGACTGTCATAGTGATGTCATAGTGCTGTCTAGTGGGATAATGACATCTTACACCCTGACTCCCCTAATGCCTGCTTGTGTCCAGTTTACTCAATAAACAGACTAATTGTCGTTGTTCGTGCCTGTGCCTTCGTTCTGTGAATGGCTCCAGGATCTATGCGGACCATTTGGGCCGGGGTTTCGGGCTGCTGTCTTGATGGTAAGAGACTGGCAAGAAAAATAATGTACAATCCCACAATCTTTAGGTTTTTGTGGATTTAAGGAGAAATGGTTTTGACATTTCATTTCTGTAGTAAATATTGACCTGACAACTGTCCCTACCGACCCCTGAGCCCTACACCACCTGACCTGACGCCTACGACTGACCCTACAGACCCCTGACCTACAGAACCTGACCCCTGACCCCACAGACCCTGATCCCACAGACCTGACCCCACAGACCCTGTTCCTACAGACCCTGATCCCACAGACCCTGATTCCCACAGACCCATGTCCCCACAGACCCTGATCCTACGACCTGACCCACAGACCGGACCCTACAGACCCTGTCCCCCCTGACCCCTGTCCCCACAGACCCTGACCCCCCAGGACCCTGACCCCACAGACCCTGACCCCCACAGACCCTGACCCACAGACCCTGACCCTACAGACCCTGACCCCTGACCCCACGGACCTGACCCCCACCGGACCCTGACCCACATACCCTGATCCACAATACCCTGATACCTACAGACCCTGACCCCCACAGACCCTGACCCTACGACCCCTGACCCTGACCCCACAGACCCTGACCACACGACCCTGACCCCACAGACCCTGATCATACAGACCCTGACCCCTTGACCCTTACATCCCACCAGAAAACCATATCATGATTATTCCAATGGTGTTTATGCTGAATCTCTTTCTACTTGAATCCTTTGTTGCTCCCCAGTTTTTCCCGTTGCCTTTAACGACTTCTACCTTTTAACAAAAGCATCCGAACTTGAAATGAACCATTGTTATGAAACTAAAGAAATGCTTTGATTTTTGCACATGATATTTCCTGCTCCTGTCCAGAGATCATCTGTAACAGATCTTGGAATATTCAAGTCTCCTTTTGAATGCTGTTGTCTGTGGGGGAGGTCTGGGGGGGAGGGGGGCTGGAGGAGGAAGGCCCGCGGGAGAGGTTTGGCTGGGGGAAGTCTGGAGGAGGCAGCCTGGAGGGGGAGGCTGTGACCAGGACAGATTAGTCAACATAGATTTTGTTTCTAAGAAATTAGACTAAAAGAACACTGGATCATTGATAAAGAAAAGGATTTTGATTTTCTTTCAGGCTACAACTTTTCCAAGAAGTCATGATATGAAACCTGTGGAAGCTATAAAAATAATACATTATTAAGTATTATCATTGTTATAATTATGGCTTAATCTTATCATTATTATTATTTATTTATCATCCTCTCATCAATCATCATTTTGTAATTAGTATTCTTGTATTGGAGGGTGGCGGGTTTGAATGAACCTGTAGTCAAACAATTGTGGAAAGGCGGCTTGGAAAGAACAGGAGATGGCTGAGGGAAGTGTTTTGTCTGGGAAATGGGGAGATGCTATACATGAGAAAAGAAACCCTTTCTCATGTAGATCCAAAGGTATAGTAGACGGAAACGTAAAAAAAAAGCAAACAAATGTCTCCATTAAATCGGGAAAGTTGGGGTATGCCCCTCAGCTGAATTCCTCCTGCAGGTGATGAGTCCACAGGGCTGAGATCTTCACGTGGGCGATTCAGGCAAAGTGGACTTAAGTGTCTCCTTGCTCCAAGGACACAAACGATGCAGTCATCCGTTGGGAGTCCGTTGAAGTAGGTCTGTCTGGTGGGCTTGACCATAACCTCAGGCTCATAAGGCCAATGCCTCTTACCAACTGAGCCCACTGTCGCTCATGGTTCTTTAATGGGTATTTGTAAAAACGCTGGTGCAGCAATAAAGGCTCGTCAAGCTAAAACAAACTTAGATGATAGAAAATTATTAGTCTCAGGGGTAGAGGTCGGATCTCAAGAATCCAACCATATGGAGACTATGGATACAATTAAATAGTTTAGCTGAAGCGGAAGTTACCGATGGTCCAAACAAGGTTTGGAGAAGATGTGAGGTTGTCTGTAGTGTTTGATTGTGAGATGCTTGCCAAATACAAGTGTTTATTGATTTTATGGCTATGAAGTGAAACCGTACATGCAGGGGAAAACAGATATGCGGGGAAAATTGCTCTGGAGAACATGAGTAGTGGACCAATGCGAAGAAGGAGCCAAAGTTGACGTGAAGCACCTGTGGGGTGAGAAATAGTTCAGCGTTCCGAGGATGTGAGGTGCGAGGGAGGGTGCGGAGGTGCAAGAGTCACACCAAGGGGTGTCCTACGCAGTGGGGTGAGAAAGTGGTCGCAGTTCTTACCAGGGAAGTGTGCGTAAATCCTCAACGAATGTAGGTGAGTAATGATAGGGTTTTGAACCCTCCAGTTTCCCAATATAAAGAAGATACTTAAGTGTGAATAAGAAAGATTTTATTCATCTGGAGTGTCTCTATCCATGCCCAAGTGTGACATGTAAATCTCTCCTTTGTGAGATAATTAGAGCACATCTTAACCTTTTCCTCTTCTCTTCTCTTCATGGTGGAGGTCATTAATTGTGTGCCCAGACAGAAAGAACAACTGAAAGGAAATAGTGATAATTGTTACAGGCTGCCGAAAGATATTCTGGGTATTAAAGGTTAGGATTGAAATTTGAAGGCTTGTTAAAACAGAACCAAATTAGAGAACCCTTCAAACCTCCAGCCATGTTTGGTGGTTCTAATGGTGGGACGGGTTCTGAGTGGACGCCAGGAGCCTTCTTGCAAAGGTCAAGAATGTAAACATCATATTTCTGCACCTGCAGGACAACCTCAATTCATATAGTGTTTCAAGCAGTCTTGGCTACACCCCAAAGGATTTTCTTATTCATAGGACATACAAGGGCATAAGGAATGACAGGGACCGAGGTGGACGGTGGAGGCAGTAGCTGCTTTTATTAAAAACGGCCTGACATCACTGTGTGTTACATATAAATGATGTATGGTTCACGATATTCATGAATGGGGTGAGGAGAAAACTACACGATGCCAGTTTTTTACTAAGATGGCACCCCAGGGCAAAACAACCTATTTCAACAAAGCTAAAATGTTGGCTGAAACTTTTTGTATCCGTCCACAGCTTGACAACCTGACGCCTGCAAGCACGAGAAAGTAGGGCAGCGCACTTTGGCCCAGTTTGGTTATTTGATTCCAAATCACAAAACCTACAGCTCTAACGGAAGATCTCGACCTTCCATTAAATCTTTTTGATGTTGAACGAGAGCTTGTCTAAGGCGAGACAAACAACCCTGGTAAAGATGATGTATGTTAAAACATTCTATTTCAATTGGCTGAATGAGACACTTTGATTTATTACTGAGTTGTTCATCTTGTTTGGGACACTAGGAGCATTGGAAAAAGTATGTTGTAGTCCCAGTGTTGAAATGGGAAAGTCAACCTTCTGACCCGTCAACTTAACGGACTATTGCGTTAACGGTCACAGGTGGGGATAAGACTAGGAGCGATGGGATACAGAAGATTACATTTTGTTTTAGAAAACCAGAGTATTCATTCCACTCACCCAAGGGCTTTTGTAAAGTTAGGACTACCATGGACTCTTGTATTAGCTGGAAATTCAGAAATTCAAAAAGCAAAGAACAAATAAAGAAATGGTTATCCGCTGAGTTTTTTGCTGTTGAGATAGGCGTATGACATGGTGCTGAAAGAAGGCTGCTCTTCCAGTGTGCGCCAAAGTGTTTGTATTGGGGTAATTTACAAAATGGGGTTAAAGCTTCCCGTTATTTGATGTGTTATGATGTTGAAAAATGGTATTTCCGCAGGGAAGCGTTGTGAAGCCAATCCTGTTTAATGTTTTGTAAATAATATTTTAGAGGGTGTTTTTGATCTTTTCTTTTGGACGAAGTCTGTGATGCGGATTAGGGAGCATTGTGGGTTAAGGGGCAGAAACCTAGAATTTATTGTAAAGAAGCTGCAAAGAGCAAATACAGCAGGTGGAGAAGTGGAACTCTAGATGAGGATTTAACTGTCTCCCAAAGTCCCAAGTGAGTGTTTCTTCGCCGTCACAAAGCAGTTTCACCTGAAAAACTATATGGCGGCTTGAAAAAGTGAAGGAACAAAAGTTTTTAGTGTAAATTTTTATTTGTGAAACCCTATTGGAAAAGTTCAAAAATAATGTTAAAAGTGAATAAATTTGTTGCGTTGTTTATCTGGCCAGGACTGGGGAGGCAGTAGAAATCACCGTTAAAAATATAAAACCGGGCTGTGATGCGTCCCTACTCTCGATTTATGGGGGTTTTGCCTTTTTTGTCTGCTCCTGTGACTACTTATAAACTTGATATGGGAACAAGCTAAAAGCCCTACGGTCAATGCAGAGCTCTTAAAACATCTATTTCTGCATTGCAGGTCGCTGTTAGGAGAAATGCCATTGAGACTTCGTAGGATTGAAACTCATTGGGCGTTTTGGTGAATTTAGAAGGGCAAATTTTGGTCGCACCCAGGTGACAAAGGTCCTTAAAGAATGTTGGGAACATGAAAAGAGAGATAGCTATAGTTTTGTTGGATAGCAAAGGGCCCAAAGCTCACTTGCTGAGTTAAGTGGAATTTAGTATGTGCCCTATACCGACTTTGTCAACTATTGCCCCTTGGAAGGTTATTTCCGCCGCAGTTGATATTAGTCTCCCAACATAAACTCAAAGAGGAAAACAAAAAGGCATGCCGCATTTCTTGTACAGAGAACTGATCGTGAACTTTTCTGAGCATTTGTTTGTTTTATTACTGATGGATCCAAATATCCTGTGACTGAGGACTTATGGTTCGGCCATTTTTGTTCCCAGAGCTTGACATCGCAGTTGAAGACGAAGATTAACCAAATAATCTCTCTGTGTTTACTACGACTTGCCGCAATAACGCTAGCTCTGGAATGGGTTAAACACAACTTTGCAGCGGTCATGTATCGTTATAGCTTTCTGATTGTTTGGTTGCTTGTAAGCATTAATCTGATGTAGACCCGGCTTCCTCTATTGTATATTCTCTGTGAGGCTTTCGTTGTATAGTAGGATAGCAAAGGAAGGTTTCTCACCCATCATCGTACTTCTTAGCCAAGTTTTCCGACGTTTCGTCCTCAACCCTGGCGGATTCTTCAGGGAATGAATTCTCTGGGACCGCGCGTGGAGAATTAATAACCTGATGGGTGTGGTTAGCACACCCTAATCCTGACTACTAATCATAAACAATCTACGGTCTGCTTGAGGTGAAGGGAGCGGGTCCTAACGGGAAAAAACCCTCCATGGCTGAGGCTTAACGACCCTAACTCCTAAGGCATGTCACAGCCTCTTGTCTGCTGGGATGCTCAAGTGGAGTGCACGGTCACACCCCTCTAACTCCTTAGCATGTCATGACCTTGTCAAGTTAGGGCGTTGTTTTTCGGATGTCGTCCATAGAAGCGATGGCCAAAAACAATATCTAATACCCTCTCCTCCTGTTCAGGAGAAAGGTTTTTGTTCCTCACAAACATGGCTTATTTACTCCTCTCTCAAACCAATTTCTTCTCCCGAGCAGAATTTGAACCTCCTGAGTATCCACCGTGTGGTTGGTGGCCTTGAGGTGGAGGCCCACAGTCGGCACAGTCGGCTGTTCATCTCCACCCTCAAGGCCCTCCAACCCACAACGCCTTAACTTGGACAAGGTCAGTGACATGCTAATGGTTAGGAGGGGTGAGACCAGCACTCCATTGAGCATCCCAGCAGACAATAGGTCTGTGGACATGCTACGGAGTAGGGTCGTAAGCCTCAGCAGGGTCGCTAGACCTTCTCCCTTTACCTCACGCCGGACCTGAGAATGTTTATGAGTTAGTATCAGGATTAGTGTGGCTAACCACACCCATAGGTTATAAATCGCCAACCGCGCGGTCGAGAATCATTCCCTGAAGATCGTCCCCAGGTTGAGGACGAAACGTCGGGAAACCTTGCTAAGAAGTACGAAGTTGGTGAGTAAACCTTCCCTTTGCTATCCCCTACTATCACAACGAAAGCCTCACAGAGATTATACAATAGAGGATGCTGGTCTCCAGTCAGTTAACTGCTTTACAGAGAGAACAAACAATCAGAAGCTATAACGATAAATGAGCGCTGCAAAATGTTGTTTTAACCCATTCCTGAGCTAGCTTATTGCGACAAGTTCTGTAGTAAAACACAGCGCAGATTATTTGTTAATCTTCGCTTCACTGCTATGTTAAGCTCAGGGACAAAGAAGGCAGAAACCAGTACGTCCACTCACAGGCTCTTTGGATCCATCAGTAAAAACAAACAAATGCTCGAATGTCATCGATCAGTTCTTGTACAAGAAATTGCGGCCAGCCTTTTTGTTTTTTCTCTTTGAGTTTATGTTGGAGAATAATATCATACTGGTGCGGAAATACAAACAATTCCAAGGGGCAATAGTTGACAGTCGAGTATAGGGCACATACTAATTCCCCTTATACTTCAGCAAGTTGAGCGTTGGCTCCTTTTGCTATCCAACCAAAACTATAGCTATCTTCTTTTCATGTTCCCAACATTCTTTAAGGACTTTGTTCCGGGTGCGGGACCAATTTGCCCTTCTAATTCCACCCAATCGCCCACATGAGTTTCAATCTGCTATTTCTCAATGGCATTTCTCCCAACTCCGACCTGCATTGGCAGAATAGATGTTTAAAGCTCTGATGACGCGTAGGGCTTTAGCTTGTTCCATATCAAGTTTTATTAAAGTGGCACAGGAGCAGACAAAAAGGCTAAACACCCATAATCGAGAGTAGGACGCATCAAGCCCGTTTTATATTTAACGGTGATTTCCTACTGCCTCCCTGTCCTGGCCGATAACCAACGCACAAATGTATTCACTTTTAACATTTATTTTGAACTTTTTCCCACATAGGGTTTCACAAAATAAAATTCACCTAAAAACTTTGTTTCTTCACTTTTCAAGCGCTCCACTAGCGCGCTTTCAGTGAAATGCTATGTGACGGCTGAAGAAACATCACAACTTGGGACTTTGCGAGACCAGTTTAAATCCTCGTCTAGAGTCCACTTCTCCACTGTGTATTGCTCTTTTGCTGTTCTTTAAATAAATTCAAGGTTTCTTCCCCTTACCCACAATGCTCCATAATCCGCATACAGACTTTGTCCAACAAGAACGATCAACACCCTCAAAAATATAGTTATCAAAACATTAAACACCCCCCCCCCCCCCCCCCCCCCCCCCCCCCCCCCCCCCCCCCCCCCCCCCCCCGGGCTTGGGCTTCCAGCTTCCCTGCGGAATACCTTTTCAACAATCGTAAACAACCATCAAACAGGAAGCTTTTTAACCAATTTTGTAAATTTACCCCAATACCCAACTTTGCGCAAACTGATGAGCAAAGGCCCTTCTTGCCCGACACCCAGTGTCATTACGCCTTCTCAACATCAAAAAACTCAGCGATAAACTTTTCTATTATTTGTCTTTGCTTTTGGAATTTCTGAATTCCAGATTAATACAGGAGTCCATGGTATTCCTACCTTTACAAAAGCCGCTTTGGTGAGTGGCACACGAAAATTCTGGTTTCTAAAACAAAAATGTAATCTATCTGTTTCCATTGCGCTCCATGTCCTTTCCAACTGTGCAGTTAAGCAATAAGTCCTTTAAGTTGACGGTTCAGAAGGTGACTTTCCGTTTCAACACTGGGACTCCCACAGACTGTTTCCAATGCTCCTAGTGTCCCAACACATAGATTGAACAAATCTCAGTAATAATTCAAGTGTCTATCTGCCAATTGAAATAGAATGTTTTAACATACATCATCTTTACCAGGGTTGTTGGTCTTTCGGCCTTAGACAGTGCCTCTCTTCAACTCAAAAAAGAATTTAATGGAAGGTCGAATCTTTCCTGAGCTGTAGGTGTGATTAATCAAAATAACCAAACTGGGCCCCAAAGTTGCTGCCTTCTTTCTCGTGCTGCAGGCGTCAGGTTGTCAGAGTGTGGACGGATACCAAAAAGTTTCAGCCAATACATTTTAGCTTTGTTGAAATTGTTGTTTGCCTCTGTGCCATTCTTAGTAAAACTGGCTAGTGTGTTTCTTTTTGTTTTTCCTCACCCCACTATACGTTTAACCATACATCATTATATGGTAACCACACCGTGATTTCAGCCGTTTTTATAAAGCAGCTACGCCTCCACCTTCACTCGTTCCTGTCATTCCTTATGCCTTGTATGTCCTTGAATAATAAAATACTATTTGGGGTTGTCGCCAAGTCTCTTGTAACAATATGACTTGAGGTTTGTCCTTGCAGGGCAGAAATATTTTTTTTTTTTTTTGATGTTTACATCTTGACCATTTGCTAAGAAGGCTCCTGGCGTTCCATGCAGAACCGACACCACCATTAGGAACACCAGAACATGGCTGTAGGTATGAGGGTTCTCTATTTTGGTTCTTGTTTTAACAGTCTTCAATTTCCATCCTAGACCTTTAATACCAGAAATCTTTCTGCAGCCTTAACACTTATCACTTTCTTTCAGTTTTTTTTCTGTGGGCAGCACAATTAATGACCTTCCCCATGAAGAGAAGAGAAGGAGAAAGGTAAGATGTGCTTTTTATTCACAAAGGAGAGATTAATGTCACATTGGCAGGATAGAGACCTCCGATGAATAAAATCTTTCTTTATTCACACATAAGTCTCTTCTCTTTACATTTGGGACTGGAGGGTTCAAAACACTATCATTACTCATACATTTCGATGCAGGATTTACTCTCACTTTCCCTTGGAAGACACTCGACTACTTTCTTTCACCGCCTCTGCGTAGGACCGCCTTGTGTGACTCTTTGCACCTCCGGCAGGCCTCTCGCTGCCTCACATCCTCGGATCGACTTGAAAATTTCTCCCTCCCCCAGTTGAAAAACTTCAACTTTGCTCCTTCTTCGCATTGTCACATCATGTTCTCCAGTGCATTTCCGCCTATCTGTTTTCCTGCATGTACGGTTTCCATTCATAGTCATAAATCATAAACACTATATTTGGCAAGCATCTCACATCAAACACTACAGAAAACTTCACATCTTTCCTCCAAACCTAGTTTCATCGGTACTTTCGCTTCAGCTAAAACTATTTAATTGTATCCATAGTCTCCATTATTGGGTTTCTTGAGCTTCCACACCTTAACCCCTGAGACTAATTATTTTTCTTTCATTAAGCTTGTTTAGCTTGAGGCCTTTATTTGCTGCCTAGCGTTTTTACAAATAACCATTAAAGAACCATGTGAGCTGACAGTGGCTCAGTTGGTAGGCATTGGCCTTTGAGCTGAAGGTTAGGTTCATGGCCCACATAAGACTACTTCACGACTCCCACTGTGACTGCTATCGTTGTGTCCTTGGGCAAGACACCTTAAGGACCATTTGCCTGAATCGCCCCAATGGAAAGATCTCAGCTCTGTGGACTCATCACCGTGCAGGAGGCTCAGTTGAGGGGGTCCCAACTTTCCGTTTTATTGGAGACATATGTTTGCTTTTTTACGTTTCCGTCCTATACCTTTGGAACTTACATGAGAGGGAAAAAAAAAAAAAAAAAAAGGTTTTCTTTTCTCATGTAAGCATTCCCCCATTTCCAGACAATTCATGTCCACAGCCAATCTCCTGTTCATTCAGCCCGCCTTTCCCAAAGTGTTGACTTACAGGTTCATTCACGCACCCTCCTGATAAATGAATTAATTACAACACTGATGATGATGATGATGATGATAAATAAATAATAAGAATGATAATTATTAACAATAAATATAACAATGTAATAATAATAATGGATATTCTTTTATAGGGCTTCACAGGATCATTTCATTACTTCTTTGAAAGTTGTAGCCTGAAAGAAAATCCAAACTCCTTTTCTTTAATCCAATGAGTCCAGTTTTCTTTATGATCTGAGAATTTCTTCGAAACAAATCTCTGTTGACTAATTGTCCTGGTCACGCCTCCCCCTCACAGGCCTCCTCCTCCGACTTCCCCCTCCCACCTCTCCCGGGCCTCCTCCTCCAAAGCCCCCCTCCTCCCCCAGACTTCCCACCAGACAACAGCCAGTTCAAAGGAGACTTTTATTCCAGTTTCTGTTAAGATGATTCTCTGGAAACAGGAGCAGAATCATCATGTGTGCAAAATCAAAAGATTCTTTTATTTTCATAACAATTCATTTCAGTCGGTTGCTTTTGTTTAAAGGTAGAAGTCGTTAAGCAAACGGGAAAAACCGGTCGCAAACCAAGATTCCGTTGAAGAGATTTCAGCATAAACACATTGGAATAAAACATGAGTATGGTTCTTTGGGATGTCGGGTCAAGGGTCAGGGTCTGTAGGATCAGGGACTGTGGGGTCAGGGTCTGTCGGGGTCAGGGTCTGTGGGGTCAGGGGTCAGGGTTGTAGGGTAGGGGTCTGTGGGTCAGGGGTCTGTAGGACCAGGGCGAGGGATCAGGGTCTTGTGGGGTCCGGGTCAGTTGGGGTCAGGGTCTTGGGGTCAGGGGTCAGGGTCTGTAGGGTCGGGTTGTGGGGTCAGGGTTTGTGGGTTCAGGGTCGTGGGGTCAGGGTCTGGTGGGGTCAGGGTCTGTGGGGTCAGGGGTCAGGGTCAGGGTCTGTGGGTCAGGGTCTGTGGGTCAGGGTCTGTAGGGATCAGGGTCTGTGGGATCAGGGTCTGTGGGGTCAGGGTCTGTGGGAATCAGGGTCGGTAGGATCAGGGTCTGTGGGTGTCAGGGTCCTGTGGGATCAGGGTAGTTGGGGTCAGGGGTCAGGGTCTGTAGGGTTCAGGGGTCGTGTTGGGTCGGGTCTGTAGGGTCAGGGTCCGGGTGTGTTGGGTTCAGGGGTCTGTAGGGACAGTTGTCAGGGTCAATATTTTCTACCAGAAATGAAAGTCAAACCATTTCTCCTTAATCCAAACACTAAAGTTTGTGGATTGTGTACATATTTTCTTTCAGTCTTCTTCCAACAAGACAGCAGCCCGAAACCCCGGCCCAAATGGTCGCATAGAAACTGGGAGCCAATCACAGAAACGAGGCCACAGCACGACAACGACAATTATTTGTAATGAGTAGATATGACACAATGCAGGCCAGTTTGGGGAGATCAGGGGTGTCAGCTGTTCATTATCCACTATGACAATCACTATGAGGCCATCCATATGACCTTCCCCCAAAACCCCTTTACAGACACATTTTCTGTCTTAATAACAAACGTTTTTCCCATAAATAGTTTTGGTAATTTTTCGCTGAAATAAGGTTCTTTACCAATCACATGTAACAGGGTGGGCATAGACGCTGTCCCTCTGGTGCAGCAGCAGGAGTTACAGGGGGCTCTGGACTGCAGCCGCTGCTCACTATGATGGCCGCATCATGGTAGTGCTTGTTTCATCACGTACTTCTACTGAATATAAATTTTTCTAAAACCCGACAAAAGGTAATAGTCTCATTATTTCCTTCTTTGACCAAAGTCCTTGGGTTAACTTCTATTCTGTGACTCAGCATCCAGTTCCAGGCAAAAATAAACCTTTCCTTCTTCTCTTTAGCGTCAGAAATCGGCAGGAACATGTTTGTGTGAAAGTAAAAAGTGTCCCCCTGTGTGCCGCGCGACGGGAACCCTCAGAACGGTTGGCACTTCATCCTTTACACTTTTAATCAAAAAACTCATCCCCCAGCGTCCGAGGAATATGGCTTTGGAAATCTGGAATCTTCCGTGAGGATCCAGGAATTTACGTTTTGTGGACAGTGGTCCTCAATCTCTCTGTGGTTGTTTTTATTGGCACTTCCTGTTTTTGGGATTCTCTGATGTCTGTTGGCATCCACAACTTTGTAAAGTCCTCGAGACTGTGGTTCAGGGCGAGAACTTAAATACATGAGTCCATGATTATGAGCTGTAGGTCCTTTGACGATGGGGTCAGGTGGTAGGAGGCAGGAGTCAAGGGTCAAACGTCAGGGGTCAGGGGGGTCAGCTCCTAGCCAGTGTGAGTGGGAGCGGGGTCGGGTGGTGGCCTGACTGGCTCCGTCCGCCACAGGGCGCGGAAGCAGCGGTTGTCGTGGTGGTTGTCGTCGGTGACGGTGATCGGCCGTGGTCATAGTGGACTGTCTCTGCCAGCACCAGGCGCCGTCCCTGCTCCTCCTTCAGGAACGCTCCACCTCAGGATCTTCTCTTTGTGGATCTGCATAACTGATGTCTTTGGAATGTCCGGATCAGCCCAGTCCACGACTACACTATCAGCATCACCACGTTTACGGAAGAAGAGTTTATTATGTAGCACGTTTTACACACCAAGGTCCTCCCAAGCGCTTTGCCACAGGGGTGTCCAATCTTTTGTAGATGGCCACTTCCCCAGAAGGGCCAGGAGCCCGGTTCTGAGGTTTATGATTATCTATAACTGAGCTGAAGTGGTGAATGACAAATGTGTACCTCTCAGCAGCTTCATTTTTAGCTCCAGTAATGGGGATGACACCAATCAAAATCATGAGTCCAGTTGTACAAATAAAGTAAAACGTAAAGTCAAATATACCATAAAACCGTAGACATGTTTTAGGTCTTGAGCTGAAGTTGGATAGATGACACAGTGACTTCTGATGTTTTATGATCTCCAAAGTACCCAAAGACATGAAAGATCAAAGGCTTGCCTCACACTCAGAGAGCCGGGCCCCCCCCGGGGCCTCCTGTGGACTCCCCCACCTGGCAGAGGGGCTGGTGCTATGAGACTTGGGTGGAATCTCCTGGACTGTCACCCCCCTGACCCAGAAATGGATTAAAGGGTAGACAAATGATGGATGGATCTCAAAGACTATGTGGGTTAGCGAGGGCAGAGGGCCACGTACATGACACTGAGGGCCATATTGGCCCCGACCTGAGCTTGGACCATTGCTGGTTTACAATGTTCAGATTCAGAAATTGTTCCATTCTCTTCACACCAGAACACACCGGACCTCAAGGGCTCCCGACCTAAACACCATCCTCTCTCATTACAAAGACCAGCATCAGAGACCAGCATCAGAGACCCCAGCCAGAGACCAGCAGAGAGCCCAGCACCAGAGACAGCACCAGCGACCAGCCCAGGCCCAGCCCAGAGACCAGCACCCAGAGACCAGCATCGCGGACCATGTGAGTTTTTACTGGCAGTCGATGCCGAGGCGAGGCGCGCTGCCAGAATCGCCCCACAACTCTTTGGAAAGGTCATATCTTGTGCTCGACCCAGGGAGGCTCCCTGTAGTCTTTAAATCTGAAACGCACGGGCGCACACACACCGCACGGCCGCACGCACCCACACACCACACACACGATTCAGATTCCCGTTTTTTTGCCATTTGCAGTAAAAAAAACCACATTAGCAACAAAGTCTCCCGTGGCCAGACCAAATACCGGACATAAAACAACATATAAAAGTAAGGAAATCAAACAAATAAAACCAGTCAACAAATGTCACTGTGAAATCGAAATCGACCCTAACAGTTTCAAAAACAAAGTGCAAATCATTAAAATGCTCTGTACACATGATACAGCTTGTGGATAAAAACTGTTAGCGTAACGAGATGTGCGTCAGATCTCAGAGAGCCCGATATCCTTCTGCCAGAGGGAGGAAGCTGGGAATACAAGGCTTTTCCAGGTGGCCAGAAGAGTCATTGTCATTCTTAGAGCTATATAAAGAAGTCTGGATTTATAAAGAAACCTCCAGAACCCAGGGAAGCTCCACAGCCTCGGTCCTCTTTTGCAGAAGGCGGAGCACCTTGTTAAAGTCATTGTCTTTATCTGTGATGTTTCCAAACCACACAGACACAGAACCAACAAGTAAACTCCTCAATGGTGCAGGCGAAAAGGTAAGCAGGAATCTTAGAGTTAGTTGGTAAATTCTCTAAGTTTTGCGAAGTAAAGACGCTGACGAGCTTTCTTAAGACTCGGTCTGTTCTAACGACTGAAATGGGTTATTAAAAACACCTGACCGAGGTTGGTACGGTCGTTGTAATTGTCGTTACAGAAAGCTCGTCAGCGTCTATACTTTCTGCGTAAACCGTAGGGATTTACCACTACTCGAGATTCTGCTTAACTTTTATCGCTGGCCACCATTGAGAGTTTACGAGTTGGTTCTGTGTCTGTGTGGTTTGGAAACATCACAGATAAGAAAAGAGAGCCTTTAAACCAAGGGTGCTCCGCCTTGCAAAGAGGGCCGTGGGCCTGGGAGCTTCCTGTTCTGGAGGTTCTTTATAAATTCCAGCCTTCTGAATAGAGTCTAAGAATTATCTATGACTATTCCGGCCACCCTGGAAAAAGCCTTGTCCAGCTTCTTCCCTCTGGCAGAAGATACGCCTCTTGAGATGCAGGACATCTCGTTACGCTTAACCAGTTTTATCCACAGCTGTTATCAGTGTGAAACCAGAGCACTTTAAGGTTTGCCCCTTGTTTTAAACTGTTTTAGTTCGGATTCGATTTCACAGGACATTTGTTGAGATGTTTTATTTGTTTTTTTTATTTCCTTACTTTTTAATGTTGTTTTTATGTCTGTCTTTGTTGTGCACACTGGCGACTTATTGCTTACTGTGGGTTTTTTTTTTTTTACTGCAAAATGCAATAAACGGTAAATCTGAATCGTTTAGTTGGGCCCCTTTTCTTTTAGGTTTGTGTGTTGGTGTGTGCGTGCTGTGCGTGCGGTGTGTGTGTGCGCGTGCCGTTTTCAGATTTAAAGGACTACAGGGAGGCCTCCCTGGTCGAGCACCCCCCCAACGTATGACCTTACAAAGAGTTTTGGCGATTCTGGCAGGCGGCCTCCGCCTTCGTCATGTTTCTTCCAGGTAAAAAATCAACATGGTCTCTGATGCCCTGGTCTCTGGTGCTGGTCTCTGGTGTGTCCTCTGGTGCTTGTCCTCTGGTGCTTGGTCTTCTGGTGTGGTCTCTGCTGTGGTCTCTGTCGTGGTGGTCTCTGATGTGTGGTCTCTGATGTGTGGTCTTTGTTAATGAGTGATGGGAGGGTGTTTGGTCGGAGCCCTTGATGGTCCGTGTGTTCTGGTGTGAAGGAGACTGGCAAAATATTCCTTAATCTGAACATTGTAAACCAGGCTGTCCAAGTCAGGTCCGGGGGCAATAGTGGCCCTCAGTGTAATAGACGTGGCCCCTCTGCCCTCGCTAACCCACAGTAGTCTTTGAGATCCATCATCCATTTTCTACCCTTTAATCATTTCTGGGTCAGGGGGGTGACCAGTCAGAGATGCCACCAAGTCTCATAGCACCAGCCCCTCTGCAGGGGTGTGAGTCCACCAAGGAGGGCCGGCTGCTGTCTGAGTGTGGCATAGCCTTGATCTTTCATGTCTTTGTCTGTGAGATCATAAACACAAATTTCACTGTGTAATCTATCCAACTTCAGCTCAGCCATAATAAACCATGTCCGTAACTGTTTTATGGTATTATTGACTTTACTTTTACTGTATTTGTACCCCAAACTGTACTCATGGTTTTTGATTGTGACACGTCATTATGAGCTAATGAAGTGCTGAGATTGATAAACATGTGTCATTCAGCCCAACTTCAAGACAGTTATAGATAATCATAAAAACCTCAGACCAGGCTCTCTGGACCCATGGTCTGGGGAAGTGGCCATCTACTAAAAGTTTGGACCCCCCCTGGTTGCCAAAGCGCTTTGGGAGTCCTTGGTGTGGTAAAACGTGCTACATAAAATTAAACTCTTCTTCCCGTATAGAACGTTTGGTGTTTTGATGGAGGGACTTCGTGGACTGGCTGATCCGGACATTCCCCCAAAGGACATCAGTTTGCAGATCCACAAGTAGAACGATCCTTGAAGGTGGAGCCTGTTCTGAAGGAGGAGAGCAGGGCGGCGCTGGTGCCTGGGCCCGAGAGAGACAGTCACTATGACAACGGCCCATCACCCGTCACCACGACAAACCACCACGACAACCGCTGCTCCGCGCCTGTGGCGACGGAGCCAGCTCAGCCACGCTCCCGACCAGCCCTCCCACTCCCCACTGCTAGAGCTGGCCCCCCCTGACCCCTGACGTTTGACCCTTGACTCCTGACTCCTGACCCCCTGACCCCATCGTCCAAGACCTACAGCTATAATCCGACTCATGTATTTAAGTCTCGCCTGAACCACAGTCTCCGAGGACTTTACAAAGTTGTGGATTTGCCCAACCGCGTCAGAGAATCAAAAACAGGAAGTGCTCATAAATAACAACCACAGAGAGATTGAGGACCTTATGTCCACAAACGTAAATGTCCTGGTCCTCCACGGAAGATTCCAGATTTCCCAAAGCCCATATTCCTCGAACTCTGGATGTGTTTTTTGGATGAAAAAGTGTTAAAGGATGAAGCCATCGTTTGAGGTTTCCCGTCTGCTGCGCAACAGGGGGGACACTTTTTTACTGTTGCACACATAACATTGTTCTTGCCATATTTCTGACGCCAAAGAGAAGAAGGAAAAGGTTTTTATTTTTGCCTGGAATGATCTGTGTCACAGAATAGAGTTAAACCACTTACTTTTGTTCAAGGAGAAATATTAGCCTTATTTACTTTGTCGTGTTTAGAAAAAATATATTCAGTAGAAAATACGTGATGAAACAAGCACTACCATGATGCTGCCATCAGATTTGAGCAGCTCGTTCTGCAGTCAGAGCCCCTGTAATCCTGATGCTGCCACCAGAGGGCGCAGCGTCTAGTGGCCCCCTGTAAACTTGTGATTGTAAAGGAACCTTATTCAGCGAAAACTTACCAAAACTAATTTATGGGAAAAACCGTTTGTTATTAAACAGAAAAAGTGTCTTTAAAGGAGATTGATCATCGTGATGTCATAGTGATGTCAAAGTGGGATTTAATGACATCTTACACCCGCTGATTCCCCTTAATGCTGCATTGTGTCCAGTTCTACTCAATAACCCAGAATTAATTGTACGTATGTCGTGCTGTGCCCTAGTCTGTGAATGGCTCCAGTTCTATGCGACCATTTGGGGCCGGCGTTTTCGGGGGCTGCTGTTCTGGATGATGAGACTGGAGAAAATTATGTACCAAATCCCCACAAATTTAGGTTTTGTGGATTTAAGGAGAAATGGTTTTGACTTTCCATTTCTGTAGAAATATTGACCCTGACAACTGTCCCCTACGACCCCTGACCCTAAACACCCTGACCACGACCTACCAAGACCCTGACCTCCAGACCCCCTAGACCCTACAGACCCTGACCCCTGACCTCCACAACCCCTGATCCCACCGACCCCTGACCCCCCAGACCCTGATCTACAGGACCCTGATCCCACAGCCCTGATCCCCACAGCCCTGATCCCACAGACCCTGATCCACAGACCCTGACCCCACAGACCCTGACCCTAAGACCTGACCCTGACCCCTGACCCACAGACCCTGACCCCACAGACCCTGACCCCACAGACCCTGACCCCACAGACCCTGCCCCACAGACCCTTGACCTACAGGCCCCTGACCCCTGACCCCACAGACCCTGACCCCACGGACCATGACCCCACAGGACCCCTGATCACAGACCCTGAACTACAGACCCAGACCCCACAGACCCCTGACTCCTCCAGACCCTGACCTGACCCCACAGACCCTGGACCCACCAGACCCTGACCCCCCAGACCCTGCTCCTTCAGACCCTGACCCTTGACCTACATCCCACAGATCCATATCATGTTTTATCAATGTGTTATGCTGAAATCTCTTTCTAACTGATCTTGGTTGCTCCCGTTTTCTCCGTTGCCATTTAAACGACTTCTACCTTTAAAACAAAAGCACCGAGCAGAAATGAATTGTTATGAAAATAAAAGAATGCTTTTGAATTTGCACAACTGATGATTTCTGCTTCCCTGTTCCAGAGAATCATCTGTAACCAGATCTGGAATAAAAGTCTCCCTACTTGAACTGCTGTTGTCTGTGGGGGAGGGTCTGGGGGGGAGGGGGGCTGCGGAGGAGGCCGGGGAGAGGTTAGGAGGGGGAAAGTTCTGGAGGAGGGATGCTGGCGGGGGCGTGGCGGTTGTGACCAGGACAGATAGTCACATCGAATTTGTTTCTAAGAATTCAGGATCATAAAGAAAATGGACTCATTGATAAGAAAAGGATTTTGATTGTTCTCTTCAGGCTAAACTTCAAAGAAGTAATGAAGAATGTGAAGCCTATAAAATAATACCCTTATTATTATTATCATTGTATTATTTATGTGTTCTATTATCATTTATTATATTTATTTATCAATCCTCATTCTCATCACTCATTGTTGTAATTGTTTTCCTATATCTGGCGAGGGTGGCGGTTTGAGGGTGAATGAACCCTGTAAGTCCAAACACTTTGGGGAAAAGGCGGCTGGATGGCATGACAGGAGATGCAGTGGGTAAGTGATTTGTCTGGAAAGGGGAGATGCTACCTGAGAAAAGAATCCTTTCCGCATGTAAGATCCCAAAGGTAGTAGACGGGAGGGAAAGTAAAAGCAAACTAAATGTCTCCAATTTATCGGAAAAGTTGGTATCGCCCCCTCATGATCCTCTGCAGGTGAATGGTCCACAGGAGCTGAGTCTTCAGTGGGCGGATTCAGGCAAATTGGATCCTTAAGTGTCCTTGCCCCAAGGACACAACGAACGCAGTCATCAGTGGGAGTCGTGAAGTAGGTCCTGATGGTGGGCTTGAACCCCATAACCTTCAGCTCAAAGGCCACTGCTTACCAACTGAGCCACTGTCGCTCAGGTTCTTTTAATGGTATTTGTAAAAACGCGTGGTGCACCGCACAATATAAGGCCGTCAAGCTAAACAACTTAGAGATACGACAATTATTAGTCTCAGGGGTTGTAGAGGTGTGATCTCAATGATTCCCAAAATGGAGATATGGATACAAATTAAATCGTTTTAGCTGAAGCGAACAAGTTACCGTATGACAACTAGGTTTGGAGAAAGATGTGAGGTTTGGCTGTAGTGTTGCTGTGAGATGCTTGCCAAATAAAGTTGTTTATTGGATTTAGGCTATGAAGTGATAAACCGTACATGCAGGGAAAACAGATATGCGGAAAATGTCTGGAAGAACCATGAGTTGTGGACAATGCGAAGCAGGAGCAAAGTTGAAGTGTTGCAAGCTGTGGAGGGGAGCATAGTTCAGGCGTTCGAGGGATGTGAGGGTAGCGAGAGGGCTGCGGAGGTGCAAAGAGTCACACAAGGCGTGTCCTACGCAGAGGCGGTGGATGGAAGAAGTGTCGAGTTCCTTGCCAGGGAAGTGAGAAGTGAGCGTAAATCCTGCATCGAATGTAGTTCGGCTAGGAGTAATGATAGTGTTTGAAACCTCCAGTCCCAAATTTAAGAGATACTTTATGTGTGACTAAGAAAGATTTTATTATACTGAGTGTCTCTATCCATGCAATGTGACATTGTAAATCTCTCCTTTGTGAGATAAATAAAGCACATCTTACCTTTTCTCTTCTCTTCTCTTCATGGTGGAGGTCCATTAATTGTGCTGCCCAGACCAGGGGAAAAAAAAAGGAAAACGAAAAAGAATAGTGATAATTGTTAAGGCTGCGAAAGATATCTGGGTATTAATGGTCTAGGATTGAAATTGAAGAGCTGTTAAACAAGAACCCAAAATAGGAGAACACCTCAAACCTACAGCCCCTGTTCTGTGGTTCCTAATGGTGGTGACGGTTCCTGCAGTGGAACGCAGGAGCCTTTGCAAATTGTCAAGAATGTTAAACTTCATATTTCTGCCTGCAGGACAAACCTCAAGTCATATGTGTTCAAGAGACTCTGGCTACAACCCCAAATGGATTTTTTATTCAAGGACCATCCAAGCATAAGGAATGACAGGTACTAGGGGTGAAGGGTTGGAGCGTAGCTGCTTTTAGTAAAAACCGGCTGAAATCACTGTGTGTTAAATATAAATGATGTATGGTTAAACGTATGGAATGGGGTGAGGAAGAAACTACATATGCCAGTTGTTAACTAAGAATGGCACAGAGGCAAACAACAAATTTCAACAAAGCTAACAATGTTGGCTGAAACTTAGTATCCGTCCACAGCTCTGACAACCTGACGCTGCAGCACGAGAATAGTAGGGCTGCACTTTGGCCCAGTTATTGGTTATTTGATTCAATCACCAACCCTACAGCTCAGGGAAGCTCTGACTTCCCATTAAATCTTTTTGGAGTTGAAGCGTAGCTCTGTCTAAGGCGCGAGACAAACAACCCTGTAAAAGATGATGTATGTTAAAACGATTCTATTTCAATGGGCTGATGAGACATTGAATTATTACTGAGTTTGTTTTCAATTTGTTTGGGACATAGGAGCATTGGAAACAGATGTTGTCTAGTCCAGTGTTGAAACTGGGAAAGTTCACTTCTGACCCGTCAAACTTAAAGGCCTATTGGGTTAACGTTCACGAGTTGGGGAAGACTAAGGCGCGCATGGAAACAGAAAGATTTCATTTTGTTTTGAGACAACCAGAATTTTCTTTCCACTCACCAAAGCGGCTTTTGTAAAGGTCGGAATACCATGGACTCTGTATTCTGCCTGGAATCCGAAAATTCCAAAGAACGGACAAATAAGAAAAGGTTATCGCTGCTTTTTTTGATGTTGAGGAAGGCGTATGACATGGTGTGGAAAGAAGGCCTGCTCTTCAGTTGCGCAAAAGTTGGTATTGGGTGGGTAATTTACAAAATTGGGTTAATAGCTTCCTGTTGATGTCTGTTATGATGTTGTAAACTGGTATTCGCAGGGAAGCGTCTGTGAAGCCCCAATCCTGTTTAATGTTATGATAAATAATATTTTTTGAGGGTGTTGATCGTTTCTTTTGAAGATTTAGTCTGTATGCGGATTATGGAGCTATTGTGGGTATGGGGAAGAAAAGAAACCTTGAATTTATTGTTTAACGAAGCTGCAAAGAGCAATACAGCAGGTGAGAAGTGGACTCTAGACTGCGGATTTAAACCTGTCTCCCCAAAGTCCCAAGTGATGTTGTTTCTTCAGCCGTCACAAAGCAGTTCACTGAAACTTATGGACGCGCTTGAAAAAGTGAAGGAAACAAAGTTTTTTAGGTGTAATTTTTTTTGTGAAACCCTATTGGAAAAGTTCAAAAATATGTTTAAAATCGGAATACTTTGAGTTTTATTGCGTTGTTTTCTGGCCAGGACTGGGGAGAGGCGAGTAGGGTAATCACCGTTAAATATAAACCGGGCTGGATGCGTCCTACTCTCCGAGTTTGGGTTTGTTTAGCCTTTTTGTCTGCTCTGTGATCTACTTTAATAAACTTGATATGGAACAGCTAAAAGCCCTACGCGTCATGCAGAGTTTTCTTAAAACATCAATTTCTGCAATGAGGTCGAGTCTAGGAGAAAATGCCCATTGGAAATAGTAGATTGAAACTATGTGGGCGTATTGGCGTTGAATTTAGAAGGGCAAATTTGGTCGCCACCCAGAACAAAGGTCCTTAAGAAGTTGGGAACATGTGCAAAGGAGCGACTAGCTATAGTTTGGTTTTGGATAGCAAAAGGCCACGCTTCAAACTTGATCTGAGTTAAGTGGAATTAGTATGTGCCCTTATACGATTGGTCAAACTATTGCCCTTGGAAGTTTATTTCGCCACCAGTTGATTATTAAGTCCTCAACATAAACTCAAGAGAAACAAAAAGGCCTGCCGCAATGTTCTTGTCCAAGAACTGATCGATGAACATTGTCTGAGCATTTGTTAGTTTTTATGATGGATCCAAAAGATCCTGTGAGTGGACGTACTGCGTTCTGCCTTCTTTGTCCAGAAGCTTGACATAGCAGTGAAGCGAAGATTAACAAATATTCTCTCTGTGTTTACTACAGAACTTGTCGCAATAGCTAGCTTCTGGACTGGGTTTAAAACAATTTGCAGCGTCATGTCTCGTCTTCGTTCTGAATTTTGTCTGCTCTGTAAAGATTTAATCTGACTGTAGGACCAGGCATCCTTATTGTCTATTCTCGTGTGAGGGCTTACGTTTGTATAGTAGGGATAGTCAAAGGAAGGTTTCTCACCATATATCATGTACTTCTTAGCAAGTGTAATCCCGAGTTCGTCCCTCAACCTGGGGACTTCTTCCGGGAAATGAATTTCTCGGAGCACCGCGCGTTCGAGATGTATAACTCTGGGTGTGGTTAGCCACACCTCTAATCCTGATACTAACTCATAACCATCTACGGTTGCTTGATGTAGAAGGGGAGAGGTCTAACGACCCCTGCTGAGGTAACGACCCTAACTCCTTAGCATGTCACAGACCCAATTGTCTGTGGGTATGCCTCAAGCTGGAGTGCCAGGTCTCACCCCTCCTAACTCATTAGCATGTCACTGACCTCTGTCCCACGTTTAGGGCGTGTTTTTAGGATGTTCGTCATAGATGCGAGCAAAACAAAATCTTAACCCTCCTCCTCTTACGAGAAGGTTTTTGTCTCCTCCCACCAAAAATGGCTTCTTTCACTCCTCTCTCAAACAATTCTTTCTCCCGAGCCAGAATTTGGAACCTCCTGTGTCATCCACCGTGTTGGTTGGAGGCCTTGAGGTGGAGGCCACAGTCGGCCACAGTCGGCATGTTCATCTCCCACCCTCAAGGCCTCCAACCACAACGCCCCTAAATTGGGACAAGGTCCGTGACAGGCTATGAGTTAGGAGGGGGTGAGACCCTGCACTCCACTTGCGCATCGCCAGCAGCAATAGGTCTTTGACAAGCTAAGGAGTTAGGGTCGTTAGCTCAGCAGGGTCCGTAGACCAGCTCCCTTCTACCTTCAAGCAGACCTGAGATTGTTTATGGAGTTAGTATCAGGATTAGGGTTGGCTACCACGACCCATAGGTTATAAATCTCCAACGCGCGGTCCCCGAGAATTCCCTTCCCTGCGACGTCCCCAGGTTGAGGACGACAGTCGGGATAACTTGCTAAGATATTACAGATGCTGGGTGAGAAACCTTCCTTTGCTATCCCTACTATACATCGAAAGGCCTCACAGAGATTACAATAGAGGATGCTGGTCTACAGTCATGGATTAAATGCTTTACAGACAGACAAACAATCAGAAGCTATACCGATACATGAGCGCTGCAAAGTTGTTTTAACCCATATCCAGAGCTAGCTTTATTGCGAAAGTCTGTAGTAAACACAGGCGAGATTATTTTTATTTCGCTTCACTGCCTATGTCAGCTCTGGGACAAAGAAGGAGACCCAGTCCGTCCACTGCTCAGGATCTTGGATCCATTCAGTAAAAAACAAACAATATTCTCAGAATGTTCATCGATCAGTTCTTGTACAACGAAAATTGCGGCAGCCTTTTTTGTTTTCTCTTGAGTTTATGTTGGAGGACTAATACTCAACTGGTGCGGAAATAAACTTCCAAGGGGCAAATAGTTGACAAAGTCGGTTATAGGGCCAAAACCCCATACTCATCTTGTTTTGCTTTTTTACGTTTCTTTATTCTTTTCTTTTTCAATTACACTGCAAGTTGGCTTTGCACTTCGCTATTCAACCAATACTATAGCCTATTATCTTTTCATGGGTTCCCAACATTCTTTAAGGACCTTTGTTCCTGGGTGCCGACAAATTTGCCCTTCCTAAATTCACCATACGCCCACATGAGTTTCAATCTACTATTTTCAATGGCATTCTCCCTAATCGACCTGCATTGCGAAATAGATGTTTTAAGAGTCTGCATGCCGCGTAGGGCTTTAGCGGGTTCATATCCAGTTTTATTAAAGTAGTACAGGAGCAGACAAAAAGGCTAACACACCAATAATCGAGAGTAGGACGCATCACAGCCCTGGTTTATATTTAACGGTGATTTCCTTCTGCCTCCCCCGTCTGGCCAGATAAACAACGCAACAATTATTCACTTTTACTTTATTTTGTACCTTTTCCAATAGGGTTCACAAAAAAATTACACCTAAAAACTTTGTTTCCTTCACCTTTTTCAAGCGCTGGTCCATATAGTTTTCAGTGAAACTGCTTTGTGACGGCTGAAGAAACACATCATTGGGACTTGAGACAGTTTAAATCCTCAGTCTAGAGTCCACATCTTCCCTGCTGTATTGCTCTTTGCCAGTTCTTTACATTAAATTCAAGGTTTCTTCCCCTTACCCCCCCCAATGCTCCATATCCGCATACAGACTTGTTCAAACGAACGATCCAACACCCTCAAAAATATTATTTATCAAAACCATTAAAACAGGGATAGGGCTTCACACGCTTCCCTGCGGGAATACACATTTTCAACATCATAACCCACATCAAACAGGAAGCTTTTAACCCAATTTTGTAATTTTCCCCCAATACCATTTGCGCAACTGAATGAGCAGGCCTTCTTTCCACACCATGTCATACCCTTCTCAACATCAAAAAATCAGCGATATCTTTCCTTTTATTAGTCTTTGCTTTTGGAATTTCTGATTCCAGGCTTAATACAGAGTCCATGGTATTCCACTATACAAAGCCGCTTTGGTGAGTGGAAGAAACTTTGGTTTTCTAAACAAAATGTAATCTTTCTGGTTTCCCATGCGCTCCATAGTCTTTCCCAACTGTGAGTTAACGCAATAGGCCTTTAATTGACGGGTCAGAAGGTGGACTTTCCCAGTTTCAACAATGGGATACAACGGACTGTTTCCCAATGCTCCTAGGTCCCAAACATAGATTGAACAAACTCAGTAATAATTTCAAGTGTCTCTCAGCCAATTGAAATAGATTGGATTAACATACATCATCTTTACCAGGGTTGTTTGTCTCTCGCCTTAGACAGCGCTCTCTTCACTCAAAAAGATTTAATGGAAGGTCGAGATTTCTGAGTGTAGGTTGTGATTGATCACATAACCAAAATGGGCCAAAGTGATGCCCATACTTTCTCGTGCTGCAGGGCGTCAGGTTGTCAGAGCTGTGGACGGATACAAAGTTTCAGCCAAACATTTTAGCTTTGTTGAAATTGTTGTTGGCCTCTGTGCCATTCTTAGTTAAATTGGCAAAGTGTAGTTTCTCCTCACCCCATTCATACGTTTAACCATACATCCCATTTATATGTAACACACCAGTGATTTCAGCCGTTTTAATAAAGCAGCTACGCCTCCCACCTTCACCTCGTTTCCTGTCATATCCTATGCCTTGTATGTCCTTGAATAATACAAAATCCATTTGGGGGTTGTAGGCCAAGTCTCTTGAACACATATGACCTTGAGGTATGACCTGGCAGGGCCAGGAAATATGATGTTTTACATCTTGGACCATTTGCAAGAAGGCTCCTGGCGTTCCATCTGCAGAAACGTCCACCACCATTAGGAACGACCAGAACATGGCTGTAGGTTGAGGGTTCTCTACTTTTGGTTTCTTGTTTAACAGCTCTTCAATTTCAATCCCTAGACCATTTAATACCCTCAGATCTCTTCTGCGCATTAACCCAATTAACACTATTCTTTCAGTTTTCTTTTCTGTCTGGGCAGCACAACTTAATGACCCTCCCACCATGAAGAGAGAGAAGAGAAATAGGTAAGATGTGCTTATTTATCTCACAAGGAGAGATTTACATGTCACCCTTTGGCATGGTAGAGACACTCAGATGAATAAAATCTTTCTTATTCACACATAAATTATTTTCTTTAAATTGGGGATGGAGGGTTCCCCAAAACACTATCATTACTCACTTCATTCGATGCAGGATTTACCTCTCAAATTCCCCTGGAAGATCCGAACTTGTCTTCACCGCCTCTGCGTAGGACACGCCTTTGTGTGACTCTTTGCAACTCCCGCAGCCCTTCGTAGCCTCCATCCTCGGAACGCTGAACGATTCTCCCCTCCACAGTTGCAAACACTTCCAACTTTGCTACCTTCTTCGCATTTGTCCACACTCATGTTCTCCAGAGCATTTTCCGACATATCTGTTTTCTGCATGTACGGTTTCCCTTCATTGCTCATAAATCCCAATAACCACTGGTATTTGGCATGATCTCACATCAAACACTACAGACAAACTCTCACATCTTTCTCCAACTAGTTGTCATCGGTAACTTTCGCTTCAGCTAACTATTTAATTGTATCCTATTTCCATTATGGGGCTTTTGAGATCACACCTCTAACCCCTGAGACTAATATATTTCTTTCATCTACAGATGTTTAGCTTGACTGCCTGGTATTTGTGCACAGCGTTTTTACACATAACCATTAAAGAACCTGTGAGCGACGTGGCTCAGTTGGTAGAGCTAGGGGCCTTTGAGCCTGAAGGTTATGGTTCAAGCCCCACATAAGACCTACTTCACGACTCCCACTGATGACTGCTATCGTTGGTCCTTGGCCATGACACTTAAGTCCAACTTTGCCTGAAGCGCCCCACTGAAAGATCTCAGCTCCTGTGGACTCATCCACATGCAGGAGGATCAGTGAGGGGCGATACCAACTTTCGATTTATTGGAGAAATTTGTTTGCTTTACGTTTCCGTCTACTACCTTTGGATCTAACATGAGAAGGTTTTCTTTTCTCATGTAAGCATTACCCATTTCGCAAATCACTTCCCTAGCAATCTCTGTTCATTCCCAGCCGCCTTTCCCAAGTGTTGTACTTACTGGTTCATTCACCGCCACCTCCAAGGATAAAGAATACTAATTAAACAATGATGTGATGATGATGATGATAAATAAATAATAATAATGATATATTAAACACATAAATAATAACAATGATAATAATAATATTGGTATTTTTTTTAAAAAAATTTTTTTTTTTATAGCTTCACAGGATCATTCATTTACTTCTTGAAAGTTGTAGCTGAAAGAAAATCAAAATCCTTTTCTTTATCAATGCGTCCAGTTTTCTTTTATGCTCTGAATTCTTCGAAACAAATCTCTGTTGACCTAATCTGTCCTGGTCCGCCTCCCCTCAGGCCTCCTCCTCCGACTTCCCCCTCCAAACCTCTCCGGCTCCTCCTCAGCCCCCCCTCCCCCAGTACCTCCCCACAAGACAACAGCCAGTTCAAAGGAAGACTTATATTCCTGCTCTGTTACAGATTATTCTCTGGTAAAGGAGCAGCATCATCAGTGTTGCTAAAATCAAAAAGCATTGCTTATTTTCATAACAATTTCATTTCAGTCGGTGCTTTTATTTAAGGTAGAGTCGTTTACGGCAAGGCAAAACTGGAGCAAAAAGATTCAGTTAGAAGAGATTTCGCATAAACACATTGGATAAAAACCATGATATGGTTCCTGTGGGAAGTCGGGTCAAGGGTCGGGTCTGTAGGATCGGGTTCTGTGGGGTCAGGGTCTGTGGGTCAGGGTCTGTGGGGTCAGGGTCAGGGTCTGTAGGCGTCAGGGTCTGTGGGTCAGGGTCTGTAGGATCAGGGTTGTGGGATCAGGGTCTGTGGGGTCAGGGTCCTGTGGGGTCAGGGTCTGTGGGGTCAGGGGTCAGGGTCTGTTAGGGTCAGGGTCTTGGGGTCGGGTTTCTGGTGGGGTCATGGTCTGTGGGGGTAGGGTCTGTGGGGACCGGAGTCTGTGGGGTCGAGGGGATCAGGGGTTCCGGGGTCTGTAGGGTCAGGGTCTGTGGGGTCAGGGTCTGTAGGATCAGGGTCTGTGGGATCAGGGGTCATGTGGGATCAGGGTCTTGTGGGATCCGGGTCTGTGGGATATGGTCTGTGGGGTCAGGGTCTGTGGGATCAGGGTCTGTGGGGTCAGGGGTAAGGGTCTGTGGGTAGGGTCTGTAGGGTCAGGGTCTGTAGGGTCAGGGGTCAGTGTGTGTAGGGTCGGGAGTCTGTAGGGACCGTTGTCAGGGTCAATATTTTCTACAGAAATGAAATGTCAACCATTTCTCTTAAATCCACAAAACCTAATGTTTGTGGGATTTGTAATATTTTCTTCCCAGTCTCTTCCATCAAGACAGCAGCCGGAAACCCCCGGCCCAAATGGTCGATAGAAGCTGGGAGCCAATCACAGAACGAGCTACCAGCCGGACAACGACAATTATTCTGATATGAGTAGAACTTGAGCCAAAAGCCAGGCCAGTTAGGGAGATCAGGGGTGTAAGGATGTCATTCTCCCCACTATGACATCGTGTGTGTGTGACATCACTATGACATCACGTTAAAGACCCTTTTTCTGTCTTATAACAACCGTTTTTCCCATAAATTAGTTTTGGTAATTTCGCTGATATAAGGTTCTTTACATCACAAGATAAGGGGCACTAGACGCTGCTCCCTCTGGTGGCAGCATCAGGAGTTAACAGGGGGCTCCTGGACTGAGACGCTGCTCACTCTTGATGGCAGCATCATTGGTAGTGGCTTGTTTCATCACGTATTTTTATGAATCTATTTTTTCTAAAACACGACAAGTAAATAGTCTCATTATTTCTTCTTTGAACAAAAGTCATTGGTTTAACTCTATTCTGTGGATCAAGATCAGTTCAGGCAAAAATAAAACCTTTCCTTCTTTCTCTTTGCGTCAGAAATGGCAGGAACTGTTGTGGTGCAACAGTAAAAGTGTACCCCCTGTGTGCGCGCAGACGGGAACCTCAGAAACGATGGCTTCATCCTTTACACTTTTACATCCAAAAACCACATCCAGAGTCGAGGTAATATGGCTTTGGGAAATCTGAATCTTCGTGATGGATCAGGACATTTAGTTTGTGGACAGAGGTCCTCAATCTCTCTGTGGTTGTTTTTATGGCACATTCTGTTTTGATTCTATGAGTCGTCTTTTGGCGAATCCCCACAACTTTGTAAAAGTCCTCGAGACTGTGTTCAGGGCGTGATTAACTACAGTGAGTCAGGATTATGAGCGTGTAGGTCTTTGACGATGGGGTCAGCGGGTCAGGAGTCAGGGAGTCCAGGGTCAAGTCAAGGGGGTCGGGGTCAGGCTCTAGCCAGTGTGAGTGGGTAGGCGGGTCGGGAGCGTGGCTGACTGGCTCCGTGCCACAGGGCGCGGAAGCATCGGTTGTCGTGGGGTGGTTGTCGTGGTGAACGGTGATGCGTTGTCAGTAGTGACTGTCTCTGCCCCATCACCAGGCGCCGTCCCTGCTCCTCCTTCAGGACAGCTCCCCTCAGGCTCTTCTCTTTGTGTATCTGCAAAACTGATGTCATTGGGAATGTCCGGATCAGCCAGACCACGAAGTTCACTCATCAGCATCACCACGTTTCCGGGGAAGAAGAGTTTAATTATGTAGCAGTTTTACACACCAAGGTCTCCCAAAGCGCTCTGCAACGGGGGTGTCCCAAAACTTTTTAGTAAGATGGCCACATCCCAGACTGGGTCCCAGGCGCCTGTTCTGAGGTTTATGACTTATCTATAACTGAGCTGAAGTTGGCTGAATGGAACTTGTTTACAATTCCAGCAGCTTCATTAGCTCCAGTAATTGGGCCGTGGGACACAATCAAAAAACCAAGAGTACAGTTTGTACAACTAAAGTAAATGTAAAGTCAAATATACCATGAAACACAGTTTCGCCATGTTTTATGGTCTGAAGCTGACGTTGGATCAGATGACACAGTGATTTGTGTTTATGTTTTTATCTCAAAGACAAAGACATGGAAGATCAAGTGCTTGCTCACACTCAGCGCGCAGCCGCCCTCCTGTGGATCCACCCCTGCAGAGGGGCTGGTGCTATGAGACTTGGGTGGCATTCTCTGACTGTCACCCCTGACCCAGCAATGGATTAAAGGGTCGCAAAGTGGATGATGGATCACACAGACTATGTGGGGTTAGCGAGGCAGAGGGCCCACGTACAATGACACTGAGGGCCCACTATTGGCCCCCCGGACCTGAGCTTGGACATGCCTGGTGTACAAGTTCAGATTCAGATTATTGTTCCATTTCTTCACACCAGAAACACACCGCCCAACAAGGGCTCCGACCAAACACCCTCCATCACTCATTTACCAAGACCAAGATCAGAGCCCAGCATCAGAGACCAGCACCAGAGACCCAGCAGCAGAGACCAGCACCAGAGACCAGCACCAGAGACGCACCAGAGACCAGCACCAGAGAACCAGACAGAGACCAGCCATCAGAGACCATGTGGAGTTATTACCTGGGAAGACGATGACGAAGGGAGGGCGCTGCCAGAATCGCCCAAAAACTTTTGAAAGGTCATACCTTTGTGCTCGACCCGGGCGGTCCTGTAGTCCTTTAAATCTGAAAACGGCACGCGCACACACACACCGCACGCACGGCACGCAACACACAACTCACACGATTCAGAATCCCGTTTATTTGCCATTTGCAGTAAAAAAAACCACATTAGCAAAAAGTCTCCAGTGTGCACAGACAAATTTCAGACATAACAAACTATTAAAGTAAGGAAATAAAAACAAATAAAACAGTCAACAAATGTCACTGTGAAATCGATGACTAAACACAGTTTCAAAAAAACAAGTGCAAATCATTAAGTGCTCTGTTCACCCACTGATAAACAGCTTGTGGATAAAAAAACTGTTAGCGTAACGAGATGTCCTGCATCTCAGAGAGCGGATAATTCTTCTGCCAGAGGGAAGAAGCTGGAACTAAGGCTTTTCCAGGGTGGCAGAAGGTCATTGATAATTCTTAGAGCTCTATCAGAAGTCTGGATTTATAAAGAACCTCGAACGCGAAAGCTCAAGCCCACGTCCTCTTTGCGATCGGAGCACCTTGTTTAATGCTCTCTGTTTCTTATCTGTGATGTTTCCAAATCACACGTCACAGAACCAACCAAGTAAACTCTCAATGGTGCAGCCGATAAAAGTATAAGCAGAATCTTAGAGTTAGTGGTAAAATTTCTGAAGTTACGCCCAGAAAGTAAACTGACGCTGACGAGCTTTCTTAACGACTCGGTTGTCTACGACCTGAAATGGTGGTTTAAAAACACTGACCCCCCCCCGAAAGCTGGGGGGTCATATAGTTCGTTAAGAAAGTCGGGTCAGCGACTTTACTTTTGCGTAAACTTAGAGAAATTACACTAACTCTAGATTTGCTTTAACTTTTATGCTGCACCATTGAGAGGTTTATTAGTTGGTTCTGTGACTGATGTGGTTTGGAAACATCACAGATAAGAAAGAGAGCTTTTTAAACAAGGTGCTCCGCTTCTGCAAAGAGGGACCGTGGGCTGTGAGCTTCCTGTTTGGAGGTTTTCTAAATCCGACTTCTTAATAGAGCTCTAAGAATTATTCAAGGACTTTCTGGCCCACCCTGGAAAAGCCTTGTTCCTGCTTCTTCCCTTCTGGCAGAGATATCGCTCTCTGAGATGCAGGACATCTCGTTACGCTAACTAGTTTTTATCCACAAAGCTGTTATCAGTGTGCACCAGAGCACTTTAATTGATTTGCACTTGTTTTGAAAACTGTGTTAGTCGATCGATTTCACAGTGACCATTTTGTTGACTGTTTTATTTGTTTTATTTCCATACTTTTTATAGTTGTTTTATGTCTGTATTTGTCAGTGTCACTGAGACTTTTTTGCTAATGTGGTTTTTTTAACTGCAAATGGCAACTAAACGGAATCTGAATCGTGTGTGTGTGTGTGTGTGCTGGTTGGTGCGTTGCGTGTGTGTCTGCTTGTGCGCGTGCGTTTCAGATTTAAAGAATACAGGGAGCTCCTGGTCGAGCACAAAGTATGCCTTTCCCAAAGAGTTTTGGGCGATTCTTTGGGCCCCCCCGCGCGCCTTAGCCTTCGTTCATCGTTCTTCCAGGTAAAAAACTTCACATGGTCTCTGATGTGGTCTTGGTGCTGGGTCTTGGTGAGGTCTCTGGTGCTGGTCTCTGGTGCTGGTTCTCTGGTGCTGGGTTCTGCTGCTGGTCTCTGGTGCTGGTCTGATGGCTGGTCTCCTGATGCTGGTCTTTTGTAATGAGTGTTGGGCGGGTGTTTGTCGGCGACCTTGATGGTCCGGGCCCGCGTTCTGGTGTTTGGTGTGAAGAGAATGGAACAATATCTGGATCTGAACATTGGTAAACCAGGCAGGTCCAAAGTTCAGGTCCGGGGGCAATAGTGGCCTCAGTGTCCTTGTACGTGGCCCTCTGCCTGCTAACCCACAGTAGTCTTGAGATCCATCCATCCTATTTTCTACCCTTTAGATCCTATTCTGGGTCAGGGGGGGGGTGAGTCCGAGATGCCACCCCAAGTCTCATAGCACAGCCCTCTGCAGGTGGTGTGTCCACAAGGAGGCGGCTGCTCTCTGAGTGTGAGCCTAGCCTGATCTTTCAAGTCTTTGTCTATGAGATCTAAACACAACTCACTGTGTCATCTACTCCAACTTCAAGCTCAGACCAGATAAAAACATGTCGTAAACTGTTTTATGGTTATTCTTTGACTTTACCTTTTACTTTATTTGTAAAACTGTACTCATGGTTTTTGATTGTGTCACGTCATTACTGGAGCTTAATGAAGCTGCTGAGATTGTAAACATGTGGTACATTCAGCCAACTTCAGCTCAGTGATAGAATAATCTAAACCTCGAACCAGGCTCCTGGACCAGTCGGGGAAGTGGCCATTTACTCTAAAAAAGTTTGGACCCCCCTGTTGGCACAGCGCCTTTGGTGAAGACTTGGTGTGTAAAAACGTGCACATAATTAAACTTTCTTCCGTAGAAGTTGGTGATTGTGATGAGTGACTTTCGTGTGGACTGGCTGATTCCCGGACATTCCCCAAAGACTCAGTTTGCAGTTCCACAAAGTGGAAGATCCTGATGGTGGACGCTGTTTTCCTGGGGCCCCGCCCCGCCCCCCCCCCCCGGGGGGGGTCGGAGGAGCAGGGACGGGGGGGCGCCTGGTGTGGGCCAGTGAACCAGTCCTATGGACAACGGCCATCACCGTCACCACGACAACCACCCCGACAACCGCCTGCCCCGCGCCCCTGTGGCGACGGAAGCCAGTCAGCCACCGCTCCCGATACCCGCCACCCACTCTAACGTAGGTGCTGACCCCTGACCCCCTGACCGTTTGACCCTTGACTCCTGACTCCTGGACCCTGACCCCATCGTCAAAGACCTACCGCTCATAATCGCTGACTCATGTATTTAAGTCTCGCCCTGAAACCACAGTCTCGAGGACTTTACAAAGTGTGGATTTGCCCAACAGGGGCACGACAGAAATCTAAAAACAGGAGTGCCATAAAACAACCACAGAGCGATTGAGGAACTCTGTCCACAAAGTAAATGTCCTGATCCTCCGGAAGATTCCCGATTTCCCGAGCCATATCTCGACTCTGGATGTGTTTTTTGGATGTAAACGAGTAAAGGATGAAGCCATCGTTCTAGGTTCCCGTCGCGCGCATCACAGGGGGACACTTTTTTTCTGTTGCACACAAACATGTTCCTGCCATTTTGTCGCAACGGAGCAGATAGGTTTTATTTTTGCCTGGAATGATCTGCGTCACAGATACGAGTTAACCAATGACTTTTGTTCCAAAGAAGAAAAATGAGACTATTACTTTGTCGTGTTTTAGAAAAAATAATTTTCAGGTAGAAACATACGTGATGAAACCATGCACTACCCATGATGCTGCCATCAGAGTGTAGCTGCGTCTGCATTGTCAGCGCCCCCCTGTAAACCTCCTGATTGCTGCCACCAGATGGGAGCAGCGTCTAGTGCCCCTGTAACTTGTGATTGTAAAAAACCTTATTTCAGCGAAAAAATTACCAAAATAATTATGGGAAAACGTTTGTTATACGACAGAAAGTGTCTTTAAAGGGTGATGTCTAGTGATGTACATAGTGATGTCATAGGGATAATGCCAATCGACACCCCTGATCTCCGACCTAACTGCCTGCCATTGTGTCAGTTTCTACTCAATAAAAGAATAATTGTCGTTGTCGTGCTGTGCCTGTTCTGTGATTGGCTCCCAGTTCTATGCGACCCTTTGGGCCGGGGTTTCGGGCTGCTGTCTTGATGGAAGAGATGGAGAAAAATATCGGTACAAATCCCCCAAACTTAGGTTTTGTGGATTTTTAAGGAGAACTGGTTTGACATTTTTTGTTAGAAAATATTGACCTGACAACTTGTCCCTACAGGACCCTTGACCCTACCCACCCGACCCCTGACCTTACGACCCTGACCCTACAGACCCCTGACCCCTACAGGACCCATGACGTGACCCCTCAGACCCTGATCCCACAGACACCTGTCCCCACGACCCTGATCCCACAGGTCCCTGATCCCAACGACCCGGATCCCACAGACCCTGATCCACGGACCCTGATCCTACAGACCCTGACCCCACCAGACCCTGACCCTTACCAGACCCTGACCCCTGACCCCTGACCCCACCGACTAACCCACAGACCCGTGACCCCCACAGACCCTGACCCCACAGACCCTGGACCCCACAGACCCATGACCCTACAGCCCTGACCCCTGACCCACAGACCCTGACCCCACGACCCTGACCCCACTGACCCTGATCCCACAGAGTCCTGATCCCTACAGACCTGACCCACAGACCCGGACCCTACAGACCCCCTGGACCCTGACCCACAGGTGACCCTGACCCCACAGACCCCTGACCCCACAGACCTGTCCTACAGACCCCTGACCCTTGACCTACATCCCACAAGAACCATATCATGTTTTATCCAATTGTGTTTATGTGAAATCCTTTCTAACTGATTCATGGTTTGCTCCAGTTTTTCCCGTTGCCTTTAAACGACTTCTTACCTTTAAACAAACAGCACCGATGAAATTGAATTGTTATGAAAATAAAGAAATGCTTTTGATTTTGCGACACTGATGATTCTGTCCTGTTCAGAGAATCATCTGTAACAATCTGAATAAAGTCTCCTTTGAATGTGTTGTCTGTGGGGGAGGTCTGGGGGGGGAGGGGGGCTGGAGAGGAGGCGGGGGGCGGTTTGGAGGGGAGTCTGGAGGAGGAGGGCCTGGAGGGGGATGCGCTGGTGAACCAGGACAGATTAGTCAATAGATTTGTTTCTATGAATTCAGATCATAAAGAAAAAACTGGATCTCTCATTGATAAGGAAAGGAATTTTGATTTTCTTTCAGGCTACATACTTTTCAAAGAAGTAATGATGACTGTGAAGCCTATAAATAATCCATTATTATTATTATCATTGTTATTATTTATGTGTTAATAATTATCATTATTAATATTTATTTATCATCATCACATCCTCATCATTGTTGTAATTAGTAGTTCTTTAATCGGAGGGTGGCGGTGAATGAACTGTAAGTCAACACTTTGGGAAAGGCGGCTGGATTGCTGAACAGGGAGGATGGCTGAGGAAGTGTTGTCTGGAAATGGGGGATGCTTACATGAGAAAAGTAAACCTTTCTCATGTAAGCTCCAAAGGTAGTAGAGGAAACGTAAAAAAGCAAACAAATGTCTCCAATAAATCGGAAAAGTTGTATCGCCCCTCACTGATCCTCCTGAGGTGATGAGTCCACAGGAAGCTGAGATCTTTCCAGTGGGCGATTCAGCAAAGTGGACTTAACTAGTGTCTTGCCCAAGGACAAAGATAGCAGTCAACAGTGGGGTCGTGAAGTAGGTTTATGGTGGGCTTGAACCATACCCTTTCAGGCTCAAAGGCCACTCTCTACCAAATGAAGCCACTGTCGCTCACTGGTTTTTAAATGGTCAATTTGTACAAATCGCTTCGCTGTGCAGGCAAATAAAGGCCGTCAAGCTAAACAACTAGATGATAAAGAAAATATTAGTCTCCGGGGTTTAGAGTGGTGTGTGATCTCAAGAATCCCCAATAATGGAGACTATGGATACAATAAATAGTTATTGCTGAAGCGAAAAGTTTACCGATGACAACTAGGTTTGGAGAGAAAAGATGAGAGAGTTTGTCTGTGTGTTTGTGTGAGATGCTTGCCAAATAAAGTGTTTAGTGGATTTATTGAGCTATGAAGTGGCAAACAGTACATGCAGGAAAACAGATATGCGGACAATGCTTGGAGAACATGAGTGTTGGACAATGCGAAGAAGGCGCAAGTTGAATGTGTTGCAACTGTGGCAAGGGAGAATTGTTTCTGCGTTTTTCCGAGGATGAGAGGGGGGGCTTTATCGGAGCGGGTCCTGCGGGAGGTGCAAAAGAGTCCACCACAAGGCGTTGTCCTACGCAGAGGCCCGGTTTGCAGAAAGGTGTCGAGTTACTTCCAGGGGACGTGAGAGTAACATCCTGCTTGATGTAGTGAGTAAAAGATTTGGGTTTTGAACCCTCCTGTCCCAAATTTAAGAGATCTTTATGTGTGAATATGAAAGATTTTCTTTCATCTTGGTGTCTCTTCCATGCCAAGTTGTGACATTGGTAAATCTCTCCCTTTGTGAGATAAATAAAGCACATCTTACCTTTTCTCTTCTCATTCTCTCATTGGTGGAGGTCATTAATTGTGTGCCCAGACAGAAAGAAAACTGAAAGAATAGTGATAATTGGTAACTAGGCTGCAGAAAGATATCAGGGTATTAAAGGTCTGGATTGAAATGAAGAGCTGATTACAAAGAACCCCAAATAGAGAAACCCTCAACCCTACAGCCCATGTTTGTTGGTTCCTAATGGTGGTTGCGGTTCCTGCAGTGAACGCAGGAGCTTCTGCAAATGGTCAAGAATGTAAACATCCTATTCTGCCTGCCGGACAACCTCAAGGTCATATCTGGTCTGTTTTTGAGTTTTTTGGGCGTGTTCCGAGACTTGGCTACAACCCCAAATGGATTTTAGTATTCAAGGACAACAAGCATAAGGAATGACAGGGAACGAGGTGAAGGGTGGAGGCGTAGCTGCGTTTATTAAAAAACGGCTGAAATCACTGTGTGTTACATATAAATGAAGTATGGTTTTAAACGTATGAATGGGGTCGAGAGAAATTACACTATGCAGTTTAACTACAGAATGGCACAGAGGCAAACAACAATTTGACAAAGCTAAATGTTGGCTGAAACATTTGTATCCGTCCACAGCTCTGAAACCTGACTGCCTGCAGCGTGAAAGTAGGGCAGCACTTTGGCCAGTTTGGTTATTTGATTCACTCACAACGCTACAAGCTCAGGGAAGATCTCGACTTCCATATAAATCTTTTTGAGTTGAAGAGTTGCTCTTGTCTAGCGAGACAAAAACTACCTGGTTAGATGCTGTATGTTAAACCAATCTATTTTCAATAGGCTGATGAGAACTTTGAATTATTACTGGTTTGTTCAATCTTGTTTGTGGACACTAGGAGCTTTGGAACAGTCTGTTGTGTCCCAGGTGTTGAAAACTGGGAAATCACCTTCTGACCGTCAACTTAAAGGCCTATTGCGTAACGTCACAGTTGGGAAAGGACTATGGAGCGCATGGAACACAGGAAGATACATTTTGTTTTAGAAAACCAGAATTTTCTTCTCCATTCACCAAGCGGCCATTTTGTAAAGGTAGGATACCATGGACTCTGTATTATGCCCTGGAATCAGAAATTCCAAAGCCAAGACATATAAAAGGTCAAAGGTTATCGCTGGTTTTTTGATGTTGAGAGGCGTATGACGATGGTGTGGGAAGAAGGCTGCTATTAGTCTGCGCAAAAGTTGGTATGGGGGTAATGTACAAAAATGGGGGTTAAAAGCTTCCTGTTGATGTTGTTATGATGTTGAAAAATGGTATTCCGCAGGGAAGCGTGTGGAAGCCAATCCTGTATAATGTTTGTTAAAATAATAGTTTTGGGGTGTTGATCGTTCCTTTTGAACGAAGTCTGTTATGCGGATTATGGAGCATTGTGGGGTAAGGGGAAGCAACCTTGAATTTATTGTAAAGAAGCTGCAAAGAGCATACAGCAGGTGGGAGACAGTGGACTCTAGACTCCGAGGATTTTAAAACTGTCTCCAAGTCCCCAAGTGATGTGTTTCTTCAGCGTCACAAAGCAGTTTCACTGAAACTATATGGAGGCTTGGCAAAAAGTGAAGGAAACAAAGTTTTTAGGTGTAATTTTTTGTGAAACCCTATTGGAAAAGTTCAAAAATAATGTTAGAAAGTGAATACTTTGTTGCGTTTGTTTCTCTGGCCCAGGACTGTGGAGCGCTGTAGGAATCACCGTTAAATAATAAACCGAGGCTGTGATGCGTTCCTACTCTCGATTATGGGTTGTTTAGCCTTTTAGTTCTGCTCCTGTGACTTACTTAATAACATTGATATGGAACAAGCTAAAGCCCTAGCGTCAGGGCCCAGAGCTCTTAAAACAGCTATTTTGCAATGCAGGTCGTGAGTTAGGAGAATTGCCAGCGAGAAATAGTCAGATTGAAACTCATTTTGTGAGGGCGTTGATTGGGTGATTTAGTAAGGGCAAATTTGGTCGCACCAGGAACAAAGGTCCTTAAAGAATGTTGGGAAACATGAAAGAGATGGCTGCTATAGTTATTGGTTGGATAAGCAAAGGCCAAAGCTCCAACTTGCTGAGTTAAGTGGAATTAGTATGTGCCCTATAACCGACTTGTCAACTATTGACCCTTGGAAGTTTATTTCCGCACCAGTTGATATTAGTCTCAACATTAAACTCAAACGGAGTGAAACAAAAAGGCTGCCGCCCAATTTCTTGTACCAAGAACTGATCGAATGAACCATTCTGAGGCATTTTGTTTGTTTTTACTGATGGATCCTAAAGATCCTTGTGAGTGGAACGTATGGTTCTGTCTTCTTTGTCCAGAGCTTGACTAGCAGTGAAGCGAAAGATTAAACAAATAATCTCTCTGTAGGTTTACTACAGAACTTGTCGCAATAAAGCTGCTCTGGAATGGGGTTTTTGAAAACAACTTTGCAGCGCTCATGTATCGTTATCGCTTTGCTTGTTTGTCTGCTATGTAAAAGCATTTAATCTGACTGTAGTACCAGGCATCCTCTATTGTATATTCTCTGTGAGGCGTTGTTTGTTATTGTAGGGATAGCAATGGAAGGTTTCTCACCCAGCATCTGTATACCTTCTTAGCAAGTTTTCCGACGTTTGTCCTCAACCTGGGGACTTCTTTCAGGGAAAGGAATTCTCGGAGGCCGCTTTGCGCGTTGAGATTTATAAATATGGGTGTTGGTTGTAGCCACACCCTAATCCTGATACAAACTCATAAACAATCTACGGTCCTGGCTTGATGTAGAAGGGGCAGGTCTAACGACCCAGCTGAGCGCTAACGACCCTAATCTCCCTTAGCATGTCACAGGACCTATTGTCTGCTGGGATGCTCAGTGGGAGTGCGAGGTTCTACCCCTCCTAACTCATTAGCATGTCCTGACCTTGTCCCAAGTTAGGGGGTTGTTTTTGGATGTCGTCATAGTATGCGAGGCAAAACACAAGCTAATCCCTCTCCTCTGTTTTAGAGAAGGTTTTTGTTTCGCTCACAAATCTGGCTTCTTTCACTCCTCTCTCAACCAATTCTTCTCCCGAGCCAGAATTGGAAACTCTGTGTCATCCCCAGTTTGTGGTTGGCAGGCTTGATGTGGAGGCCACAGTCGGCCACTGTCGGGCTGGTCATCCTTCCACTCAAGGCCTCCAACCACAAGCCCTAACTTGGGACAAGGACAGTGACATGCTAATGCGTTAGGAGGGGTGAGACCTGCCATCACTTGGAGCATCCCAGCAGACAATAGGTCTGTGACCATGCTAAGGAGTTCGGCGTCGTGCGCCTCAGCAGGGTCGCTTTGTCCTGCTCCCTTCTACATCAAGCCAGACCTGAGATTGTTTATGAGTTAGTATCAGGATTAGGGTGTGCTAACCAACCCCTAGGTTATAAATCTCCATCGCGCGGTCGAGAATTCATTCCCTGAGAAGTCCAGGTTGCGGACGAAAACGTCGGAAAACTGCCTAAGAAGTACAGATGATGGGTGAGAAACCTTCCTTTGCTATCCCTACTATACACGAAAGCCTCACCAGAGAATAACAATAGAGGGATGCCTGGTTCTATCAGTCACGAATAACAAGCTTTACAGAGCAGACAAACAATCAGAAGCTATAACGATTAATGAGCGCTGCAAAGTTGTTTTAACCATTCAGAGCTAGCTTTATTGCGACAAGTTCAGTAGTACACACAGAGAGATTATTGTTAATCTTCGCTGCACTGCTATGGACAAGCTCTGGGACAAAGAAAGGCTGAATCCATACGTCCTACTCACTGGATCTTTGGATCCATCCAGTAAAAACAAACCAAATGCTCAGAATGTTCAACGATCAGTTCTTGACAAGAAAATTGCGGCAGCCTTTTTGGTTTTTCTCTTTGAGTTTATGTTGGAGACTAATAACACCTGGTGCGAAATATAAAACTTCAAGGGGCAATAGTTGACAAAGTCGGGAATAGGGAACTAATTCCACTAACTCAGCAAGTTGAGGCTTTGGCCTTGTATCCAACCACAACTATAGCTATCTCTCTTTTCATGTTCCCAACCATTCTTTTAAGGACTCTGTTCTGGGTGCGACCAATTTGCCCTTTAAATGTCAACCCAATACTCCCACATGAGTTTCAATCTACTATTTCTCAATGGCATTTCTCCTAAACTCGACCTGATTGCTGAAATAGATGTTTTTAAGAGCTCTGCATGAGCGTAGCGGTTTAGCTTGTTCCATATCAAGTTTTATTAAAGTAGTCACAGGAGAAACAGACAAAAAGGCTCAAACAACCCATAATCGAGGTAGGTGCATCCAGCCGGTTTATTTTAACGGTGATTTCCTACTGCCCTCCCCAGTTCCGGGCCAGTAAAAACGACATCATAAGTATTCACTTTTAACATTATTTTGAACTTTTCTAATAGGGTTTCACAAAAAAAATTACACCTTAAAAACCTTTGTTTCCTTCACTTTTTCAAGCGCTCCATCTAGTTTCAGTGAAACTGCTTTGGTGACGGCTGGAAGAAAACAATCACTTGGGACTTTGGTGACGTTTAAATCCCTTCAGATCTAGACGTCACTTCTCCACTGCTGTATTGCTCTTTGCAGCTTCTTTCAATTAAATTCAAGGTTTCTTCCCCCTTCCCCCACAATGCTCCATACATCGCATACCGACTTCGTTCAAAGAACGATCAAACACCCTCAAATATTCTTTATCAAAAACATTAAACAGGATTGGGCTTCACACGCTCCCTCGGTATACCATTTTAACCATCATACACATCAAACAGGAGCTATTAACCCAATTTTGTTTAACTTACCCCAATACAAACTTGCGAAACTGAATGAGCAGGCCATTCTTTACACACCTTGTTCATAAGGCCTTCTCACATCAAAAAAAATCAGCGATACCTTTCTTTATTTGTCTTTGCCTTTTGGAATTTCTGATTTCCAGGCCTAATACAGAGTCCATGGCTTATTCCTACCCTTTAACAAAGCCGCTTGGTGAGTGGAAAGAAAATTCTGGTTTCTAAAACCAAAATGTAATCTTTCTGTCCATGCGCTCCATAGTCTTTCCCAACTGAGACGTTAACGATAGGCTTTAGTTGAGGGTCAGAAGGGGACTTCCCCAGTTTCAAAAATGGGACTACTAACAGATGTTTCAATGGCTCCTAGATGTCCCAAACAAGATTGAACAAACTCAGTAATAATTCAAGTTTCTCATCAGCCAATTGAAATAGAATGTTGTAACTACCTCCTCTTTCACCAGGGTTGTTTGTCTCGCCCTTTGAACAGAGCTCTCTTCAACCTCAAAAAGAGTAATGGAAGGTCGCGATCTTCCTGAGCTGTTAGGTTGTGATTGAATCCAAATAACCAAAATGGGCCAAGTGCGGCCCTACTTTCTCGTGCTGGCGTCGGTTGTCAGGCTGTGGACGGATACAAAAGTTTCAGCCAAAACATTTTAGCTTTGTTGAAATTGTTGTTTGCCTCTGTGCCATTTCTTAGTTAAACGGGCATAGTGTAGTTTCTCCTCACCCCATTCATACGTTTACCATACATCATTTATATGTAAACACACAGTGATTTCCGCCGTTTTTCTATAAAGCAGCCTACGCCTCACCTGTCACCTCGTTCCTGTATTCTTATGCTGGTATGTCCTTGAATAATAAAATCCATTTGGGGTTGGTAGCCAAGTCTCTTGAACACATTTGACTTGAGGTTTGTACTGAGGGCAGAAGATTTGATGTTTACATTCTTCGACCAATTGCAAGCAGGCTCCTGGCGTTCCATGCCCAGAACCGTCACACCATAGGAACCACCAGAACATGGCTTTAGGTTTGAGGGTTCTCTATTTTGGTTCTTGTTTAAACAGCTCTTCAATTTCAACCTAGACCTTTAATACCCGATATCTTTCTGCAGCCTTAACAATTATCACTTTTCTTTCAGTTTTCTTTTCTGGTCTGGCAGCACAATTCTGACCCTCCACCATGAAAGAGAAGAGAAGAGAAAAGGTAAGTGTGCTTTTATTTATCTCACAAAGGAGAGATTACCATGACACCTTGGCATGGATAGAGAACTCAGATGACTCAAATCTTTCTTATTCACACATAAACGTATCTTCTTCTAAATTTGGGATGGTGGGATCAAAACACTATCATTATCACTACATTCGATGCAGGATTTACTCATCACTTACCTGGATGAACTGACACTTTCTTCCACCGCCTTATGCGTTGGACACGCTTGTGTGACTCTTTGCACCTCCGGCAGCCCTTCGCTAGCCTCACATCCTGGAAACGCTGAACTATTCTCCCCTCCACAGTTGCAAACACTTCAAACTTGCTCCTTCTTCGCATTGTCACACTCTTGTTCTCCAGAGCATTTTTCGCATATCTGTTTTCCTGCATGTACGGTTTCACTTCATAGTATAAATCCAATAAACACTTTATTTGGCAAGCATCTACATCAAACACTACAGACAAACGTCTCACATCTTTTCTCCATAACCTAGTTGTCCATCGGTAAACTTTCGCTTCAGCTAAACTATTTATTTTTAATCCATAGTCACCATTATTGGGATTCTTGAGATCACACCTCTAACCCTGAGGGACTTATATTTTCTTATCCTCTAAGTTTGTTTAGCTGGACGGCCTTTATTAGCCTGCCACATGTTTTTACAAATAACCATTAAAAGAAACCCGTGAGCGACATTGGTCAGTTGGTAGAGCATGGCCCTTTGCGCCTGAAGGTTATGGGTTCAAGCCCACCATTAAGACCTTTCTTCACGATCCACTTGATGACTGCATCGTTGTGTCCTTGGGCCAAGACACTTAAGGTCCACTTTGCCTGGAATCGCCACTGAAGATCTCAGCTCCTGTGGGATCATCACGCAGGTGGATCAGTGAGGGGGCGATACCAACTTTCCGATTTCTGGGAGGACATGTGTTTGCCTTTTTACGTTCCGTCTTATACCTTTGGATCTTACATGAGCAAAGGTTTTCTTTTCTCATGTATGCATCTCCCATTTCCAGAAACCAGAATCACTTCCTCAGCCATCTCCTGTTCATTCCAGCCGCCTTTCCTCAAAGTGTTGACTTACCGGATCATTCACGCCCACCTCCAGATAAAGAATACTAATTACAACAATATGATGATGATGTGTGATGATAAATCAAATAATTAATAATGATAATATTAAACCTAAATAATAACAATGATAATAATAATAATGGTATTATTTTATAGGCATTCACGGTTCATTCATTACTTCTTTGAATGTGGTAGCCTGAAAGAAATCCAAAAATCCTTTTCTTTAGCCATGAGTCCAGTTTTCTTTCTTATCTGAATTTTAGAAACAATTCCTAGTTGACTATTGTCCAGTCACAGCCTCCCCTCAGGCCTCCTCGTCCCAGACTTCCCCCGCCAAACCTCTTCCCTGCCTTCCCCTCCAGCCCCCTCCCCCCCAGACCTCCCCCACAGACAACAGCAGTTCACAGGCGACTTTTATTCCAGATCTGTTTACAGATGATTCTCTGGAACAGGAGCAGAATCACTCATGTGCAAAATCCAGAAGCATTTCTTTATTTTCATACAAACCCCCCCCCCCCCCCCCCCCCCCCCCCCCCCCCCCCCCCCCCCCCCCCCCCCCCCCCCCCCCCCCCCCCCCCCCCCCCCCCCCCCCCCCCCCCCCCCCCCCCCCCCCCCCCCCCCCCCCCCCCCCCCCCCCCCCCCCCCCCCCCCCCCCCCCCCCCCCCCCCCCCCCCCCCCCCCCCCCCCCCCAATCATTTCAGTCGGTTGCTTTGTTCAAGGTAGAAGTCGTTTAAGGCAAACGGGAAAAACTGGAGCAAACAGATTCAGTTAGAATAGATTTTCAGCATAAACACATTGGATAAAACATGATATGGTTCTGTGGGATGCTAGGGTCAAGGGTCAGGGTCTGTAGGAATCCGGGTCTGTGGGGTCAGGGTCATGTGGGGTCTAGGGGTTGTGGGGGTTAGGGGTCAGGGTCTGTCGGTCAGGTCTGTGGGGTCAGGGTTCTGTAGGGACAGGGTTGTGGGATCAGGGTCTGTGGGTCAGGGTCTGTGGGGTCAGGGTCTGAGGGGTCAGGCGGGGTCAGGTGTCTGCCCCCCCCCCCCCACCCACCCCCCCCCCCACCCCCCCCCCCCCCCCCCCCCCCCACTAGGGTCAGGGTCTGTCGGGGTCAGGGTCTGTGGGGTCAGGGTCTTTGTGGGGTCAGGGTTGTGGGGTCAGGGTCTGTGGGGCAGGGGTCAGGGGTCAGGGTTCTGTAGGGTCAGAGGTCTGTGGGGTCAGGGTCTGTAGGATCAGGGTCTGTGGATCAGGGTCTGTGGGGATCAGGGTCTGTGGGATCGGGTCTGTAGGATCAGGGTTCTGTGGGGTCAGGGTCTGTGGGATAGGGTCTGTGGGGTCAGGGGTCAGGGTCTGTAGGGTCAGGGGTCTGTAGGGTCAGGGTCTGTAGGGTCAGTGTCAGGGTGTGTCGGGTTCAGGGTCTGTAGGGACAGTTGTCAGGGTCAATATTTTTCTACGAAATGAAATGTCAAACCATTCTCCTTAAATCCACCAAAACCTAAAGTTTGTGGGATTTGTACATATTTTCATTCAGTCTTCCATCAAGACAGCAGCCCGGAAACCCGGCCCAAAATGGTGCATAGTAATCGGGAGCAATTCAAGAACGAGGACCAGCACGACAACGACAATTATCTGTTATTGAGTAGAACTGACACCCAATGCCAGGCGTTAGGGGAGATCAGGGGTGTAAGATGTTCTTATCCCACTAGACATCACTATGACATCACTATGGAACACCTTTAATGACATCTTTTTCTGTTCTTATAACAAACGTTTTTCCCATAATATTAGTTTGGTAATTTGCGCTGAAATAAGGTTCTTTACAATCACAAGTTGACAGGGGGCACTAACGCTGCTCCCTTCGGTGGCAGCAATCAGGGAGTTACAGGGGGCTTTGCAACTGCAGACGCTGCTCACTCTTATGGCAGCATCATGGTCGTGCTGTTTCATCACGTATTTTCTAATGAATATATTTTTTCTAAAACACGGACAAAGTAAATAGTCCATTCTTTTACTTTGGAACAAGTCCTTGGTTTACCTCTATTCTGTGATCTAAGTTTCAGTTCCAGGCTAAAAAAATAAAAACCTTTCCTTCTTCTTTTGCGTCAGAAATGGCAGGACAGTTTGTGTGCACAGTAAAAAGTGTTTCCCCCTGTGTGCGCGCGACGGGAACCTCAGAACGATGGCTTCATCCTCTACACATTTTACCATCCAAAAAACACATCCAGAGTCGAGGATATGGCTTTGGGAAATCTGGAATTTCCGTGGAGGATCCAGGGACATTTTCGTTTGTCGGACAGGGTCCTCAATCTCTCTGAGGTTGTTTTTATAGGCACTTCCTGTTTTTGATTGTTTCTGATGTTTGTTGGCAAATCCACAAACTGTTGTAAAAGTCCTCGAGACTGTGGTTAGGGCGAGATTAAATTACATGAGTCCAGGATTATGAGCTGTAGGTCATTGACGATGGGGTCAGGGGTCAGGAGTCACGGAGTCAATGGTCAAACGTCCGGGACAGGGGTCAGGCTCCTAGCAGTGTGAGTGGGAGGCGGGTCGGGCGCGTGGCTGACTGGCTCGTCGCCACAGGGCGCGGAGCAGCGGTTGTGTGGTGGTTGTCGTGGTGTACGGTGAGGCGTTGTCATAGGACTGTCTTCTGCCCAGCACCAGGCCGCCGTCCCTGACTCCTCCTTCAGGGAACAGCTCCCACCATCAGGATCTTTCTTTTGTGGATCTGGCAAAATGGTTTGTCTTTGGGAATGTCGGGATCAGCCAGTCCACGACGTCACTCATCAGCATCCAACACGTTCTCGGGAAGAAGAGTTTAATTATGTAGCAGTTTTCCACACCAGGTCTCCCAAAAGCGCTTTGCAACGGGGTGTCCAAACTTTTTAGTAAGGATGGCATTCCCAGACTGGTCCAGAGCCTGGTTCTGAGGGTGCTATGATCTCTCTCTAACTGAGCTGAAGTTGGCTGAAAGACAATGTTACCAATTCAGCGCTTCATTAGCTCCCCAGTAATGGACGTTGACACATCTAAAAACCATGGTACAGTTTGTACAAATAAAGTAAAAGTAAAGTCAAATAATACCATAAAACAGTTACGACATTGTTTTATGGTCTGAGTGAAGCTTTGGATAGATGACACAGTGAGTTTGTGTTTTGATCCTCAAAGACAAAGACCATGACAAGATCAAGGCTATGCTCACATGCAGAGCGCAGCCGCCCTCCTGTGGGATCACCACTGCAGAGGGGCTGGTGCTATGAGACTTGGGTGGCATCTCTGATGTCACCCCCTGACCCAGAAATGGATTAAAGGGTAGAAAATGGTGGTATGGATCTCAAGACTATGTGGGGTTATGCGAGGCAGAGGGCCCGTACAATGACACTGAGGGCCACTATGGCCCCCCAGGACCCCTGGAGCTTGGACATGCCTGGTTTACAATGTTCAGATTCAGATATGTTCAATCTCTTCACACCAATGAACCACACCGATCCATCACCCGGGCCTCCGACCAAACACCCCCTTCCCATCATCATTACAAAGACCGCATCAGAGACCAGACATCAGAGACCAGCACAGAGACCAGCAGCAGAGTCCAGCACCAGAGAACCGAGCACCCGGAGACCAGCACCAGAGGCCCAGCACCAGAGACAGCACCCGAGACCAGCATCAGAGACCATGTGAGTTTTTTTTTTTAAAACCCGGGAAGACGCATGGGACGAAAGGCGAGGCGCGCTGCCAGAAATCGCCAAAATCTTTGGAAAGGTATACTTTGTGCTCGACCAGGGAGGCTCTTTAGTTCTTTAAAATATGAAACGCACGCGCACCACCACACTACGCAGCACGCACGCAACACACACACACACACGATTCAGATTCGGTTATTTGCTTTGCAGTAAAAAAAAACCACATTAGCAAAAAGTCTCAGTGTGCACCCGACAAATACAGACATATAAACAACATTAAACGTAAGGAAAATAAAACAAATAAAAACAGTCAACAAGTTGTCACTGTGAAATCGAACGACTAAAACACAGTTTCAAAAACAAGTGCAAAATCATTAAAGTGCTCTGTTCACATGGATAACAGCTTGTGGATAAAACTCTGTTGGCGTAACGGGAAGACCTGCATCTCAGAGAGCGATATCTTTCTGCCGAGGGAGAAGCTGGAACCAAGGCTTTTCCAGGAGTGGCCAGAAGAGTCATTGATAATTCCCTTAGAGCTCTATTAAGAAGTATGGATTTATAAAGAACTCCAGAAGGAATCTCACAAGCCCCGGTCCTCTTTGCCAGAGCCGGAGCCCCTTGTTTAAAGTCTTTTTCTTTCTCTGTGATAGTTTCCACAACACACAGACACAGAACCAACAAGTAAACTCTCAATGGGTGCCGCGATAAAAGTTACGCAGAATTCTTAGAGTTGTGGTAAAATCTCTAGTATACGCAGTAGTAAAGACGCTGACGAGCTTTTCTTTAATCGACTCGGTCTGTTCTAAACGACCTGAAATGGGTTAAAAAACATGACCGATTCTTAGCGGGTAGTCGTTAAGAAAGCTCTGTCAGCGTCTTTACTTTCAGCGTAAACCTTAGTGAATTTACCACTAACTTAGATTTGCTTAACTTTTAACGCTGCACCAATTGGAGTTTACTTGTTGGTTCTGTGTCTGTGTGGTTTGGAAAACATACATGATAAGAAAAGAGTAGCTTTACAAACATGGTGCTCGATCTGCAAAGAGGACCGTGGGCCTGTGAGCTTCCTGTTCTGGCGGTCTTTCTAAATCCAGACTTCTTAATAGAGCTCTAAGAATTATCAATGACTTTCTGGCCACCCTGGAAAAGCCTTGTTCCCGCCTTCTTCCCTCGGCAGAGATATCGCTCTTGAGATGCAGACATCACGTTACGCTAACAGTTTTTATCCACAAGTGTTATCAGTGGTGTACAGAGCCACTTTAGATGATTGCATCTTGTTTTGAAAAACTGTTTTAGTCGATTCGATTTCACCAGTGACATGTAGTTGGACTGTTTTATTTGTTTTTATTTCCTTACTTTTTAATGTTGTTTTATGTCTGTATTTGTCTGTGCACACTGGTAAGTTTTTGATTATGTGGTTTTTTTTACTGCAAATTGCAAATAAAGGGAATCTGATCGTTGGGTGTGTGTTGTGTAGTGTGTGCGTGCGTGCGTGTGTGTGGTTGTTGCGCGTGCGTTTCAGATTTAAAGACTACAGGGAGCCACCCTGGGCGAGCAACAGTATGACCTTTCCCAAGATGTTTTGGGCGATTCTGCACGCGCCTCGCCTTCGTCAGCGTCTTTCCGGTAAATTACCAACTCACATGGTCTCTGTGCTGGTCTCTGGTGCTGGTCTCTGGTGCTGGTTCTCTGGTTGCTGGTCTCTGGTGCTGGGTCTCTGGTGCTGGTCTCTGCTGCTGGTCTTGGTGATTGGTCTCTGATGCTGGTCTTGATGAGGTCTTGTAATGATGTGATGGGGAGGGTGTTTGGTCGGGAGCCCATTGATGGTCCGGTGTGTGTTCTGGTGTGAGAACGAGAATGGAAACAAATTCTGAATCTTGAACATTGTAAACCAGGCATGTCCAAGCACAGGTTCCGGGGGGCCAATAGTGGCCCTCAGTGTCATGTACGTGGCCCCTCTGCCTCGCTAACCACAGTAGTCTTTGAGATCCATCCATCCAATTTCTACCCTTTAATCCATTTCTGGGTCAGGGGGGTGTGACCGTCAGGAGATGCCCACCCAAGTCTCATTGCACCAGCCCCTCTGCAGGTGGTGAGTTCAAGGTGAGGGCGGTCTGCTCTTCTGAGTGGTGAGCATAGCCTCTGATCTTCATGTCTTTGTGCTTTGAAGATCATAAAATCAAAATTCACTGTGTCATCTATCCAAACTTCAGCTCAGACCTAATACATGTCGTAACTGTTTTATGGTATTATTTGACCTTTACTTATTCTTTATTTGTACAAACTGTACTACATGGTTATTGATTGTGTTCAGTCCATTACTGGAGCTAATTGAAGTTGCTGAGTATTGTAAACATGTGTTCATTAGCCAACTTCAGCTCAGTATAGATAATTCATAAACCTCAGAACCAGGTCTGGACAGTCTGGGGAAAGTGCCATTCTTACTAAAAAGTTTTGGACACCCCTAGGTTGCAAAGCGCTTTGGGAGAACTTGTTGTTGTAAAACGTGCTAAATGAATTAATCTGCTTCCCGTAGAACGTGGTGTGATGCATGATGATGGACTTCGGGATGGCTGATCCCGGACATTTCCCAAAGACATCAGTTGCAGATCACAAAGAAGAGATCCTGATGGTTGGAGTGTTCCTGAAGGAGGAGCATGGACGGCGCCTGGTTGCTGGGCTGAGGACAGGTTCACTTATGGGGGACAACGGGCCATCACCGTCACCACGACAACCACCACGACAACCGCTGCTCCGGCCCTGTGGCGACGGAGCCAGTCAGCCACGCTCCGACCCGCTCCCACTACTCTGCTAGGAGTTGGACCCTGACCCTGACGTGTGACTCTTGGACTCTGATCCTGACCCCTGACCCCATCGTCAAAGCCTACAGCTCCTAATCCTGACTCATGTATTTTAAGTCTCGCCCTGACCACCAGTCTCGTGGACTTTTACAAAGTTGTGGATTCTTGCCTCACAGAGATCAGAGAATCAAAAACAGGAAGTGCCATAAAATAACAACCACAGAGAGAAGAGATTGAGGCCCTCTGTCCACAAACGTCAATGTCCCTGGATCTCACGGAAGTTTCCAGATTCCCAAAAAGCCATATTCCTGACTTCTTGGATGTGTTTTTTGGGATTGGTAACAGTTGTAAGGATGAAGCCATCGATTCTGAGGTTCCCGTGCGGCGCACACGGGGGACACTTTTTACTGTTGCCACACAACATGTTCCTGCCATTTCTGAGCAAAGAGAAGAAGGAAAGGTTTTTTCTTTTTGCCTTGGAAACTTGATCTGGGAGTCACAGAAATAGAGTTTAAACCAATGACTTTTGTTCAAATGAAGATATAATGAGACTATTTTTACTTTGTCGGTGTTTTAGAAAATATAATAGTAGAAAAATACGTGATGAAACAAGGATACCATATGCTGCCATCAGAGTGAGCTCAGCGTCTGCAGTCAGAGCCCCCTGTAAGTGATGCTGCACCTGAGGGAGCAGCGGTCTAGTGCCCCTGTAATTGTGATTGTAAAGACCTTATCTTCAGCGAAAAAATTGACCCAAATACTCTAATTTAGGGAATAAACGTTTGTTATTAAGACAGAAAAAGTGTCTTTAAAGTGTTGTCTAGTGATGTCATTGTGATGTCATAGTGGGATAATGAATCTTTACACCCCTGATCTCCCCTAACTGTCTGATTGTGTGCAGTTTCTACTCAATAACAGAATAATTGTCGTTGTCGTGCTGTGCTCGTTCTGTGGATTGCGTCCAGTTCTATGCGACCATTTGGGCCCGGGGTTTCCGGGGCTGCTGTCTTGATGGAACGAGACTGGAAGAAAAATATGTTACAAATCCCCACAAACTATAGGTTTTGTGGATTTAAGGAGAAATGAGTAGGACATTTCATTTCTGTAGAAAATATTGACGCCTGACAACTGTCCCTACAGACCCTGACCCTAACACCCTCGCCCTGACCCTTACAGGACCCTGACCCTACAGACCCCTGCCCCTACAGATCCTGACCCCTGACCCACACAGCCCAGATCCCACCAGACCCTGACCCCACAGCCCCTGATCCTACAGAACCCTGATCCACAGCCTGATCCCACAGACTGATCCCACATGACCTGATCTACAGACCGACCCCACAGACCCTGAACCCTACAGACCCTGACTGCCCCCTGACCCCACAGGACCTGGACCCACAGACCCTGACCCACAGGACCCTGACCCCACAGACCCCTGACCCACAGACCCTGGACCCTACAGCACCCTGACCCCTGAACCCACAGACCCTGACCCACAGACCCTGACCCCACGACCCTGATCCCACCAGACCTGATCTACAGACCCTGACCCCACCAGACCCATGACCTACAGACCCCTGACCCCTGACCCCCACCAAGACCCTGACCCCACAAGGACCCTGACCCCACGGACCCTGACTCCTACCGCCCCTGACCCTGTGTCCCCTACATCCCCAGAACCATATCATGTTTTATACCAATGTGTTTATGCTGAAATCTCTTTCTAAACTGAATCTTGTTTGCTCCCAGTTTTTCCCGTTGCCTTAAAGGGACTTTCTACTTTAAACAAAAGCCAAAGCCGAACTGAAATGAATTGTTATGAAAATAAAGAAATGCTTTGCTTTTGAACTGATGATTTCTGCTCCTGTTCCAGAGAAATCATAAGTAAAGATTCTGCCATTAAAGTCTCCTTTGAACTGCTGTTGTCTGTGGGGGACGGGTCTGGGGGGGAGGGGGGCTGGTAGGAGGAGGCCGGGAGATGTTTGGAGGGGGAAAGTCTGGAGGAGGAGGCATGTAGGGGCGAGGCTGTGACCAGGACAGAATAGTCAACATAGATTTGTTTTAAGCATCACGATCATAAGAAAACAGGACTCATTGATAAAGAAAAGGATTTTGATTTTCTTTAGGCTACAAATTTTCAAAGAAGTAATGAAGGAACTGTGAGACGCCTATAAAATAATAACCATTATTATTATTATAATTGTTATTATTTATGTGTTACTATTACATTATTAATATTTATTTTATCATCATCATCATCTCATCATTGTTGTACTTAGTATTCTATATCTGGAGGGGTGGCGGTGAATTAACCTGTAAGTTCAACACCTTTGTGAAAGGCGGGTGGAATGAACAGGAGAATGGGCTTGAGGGAAAGAGATTTGTCTGGAAATGGGGAGATGCTTACATGAGAAAAGACAAACCTTTCTCATTGTAGATCCAAATGTAGTGGACGGAAGTAAAAAGCAAACAAAGTCTCCCAATAAAATCGGAAGTTGGTCTGCCCCTATGATCCTCCTGCAGGTGATGAGTTTCCACAGGAGCTGAGATCTTTCAGTGGGCGATTCAGGCAAAGTGGACTTAAGAGGTCCTTGCCAAGGACAACAACGATAGCAGTCATCAGTGGGAGTCGTGTGAAGTAGGTCTTATGGGGGGCTTTGACACCCATACCTTCAGCTCAAAGGGGCCATATGCTCTACCAATGAGCCCACTGTGGCTCCACTGGTTCTTTTTAATGGTTATTTGTAAAAACCGGGCTTGTGCAGCAAATAAAGGGCGTCAGCTAATAACAACTTAGATGATAAGAAATAATATTTGTCTCAGGGTTAGAGGTTTGTGATCTCAAGAATCCCAATAATGGAGACTATGGATACAATTAAATCGTTTAGCGAAGCGAAAAAGTTACCGATGCACAACTAGGTTTGGAGAAAGATGTGAGGTTTGTCTGTAGTGTTTGTTGTGAGATGCTTGCCAAATAAAGTGTTTAATGGATTTCTAGAGTATGAAGATGAAACGTACATGCAGGAAAACGATATGGGAAAAAAGCTTGGAGAACAGAGTGTGGACAATGCGAAGAAGGAGCAAAGGTTGAAGGGTTGCAACTGTGGCGGGTGAGCATAGTTCAGCGTTCGAGGATGTGAGGCTAGCGAGAGGGCTGCGGATGGTGCCAAAGAGTACACAAGGCGTTGTCCTCGCAGAGGCGGTGAGAAAGTGTCGAGTTCTGTAAGAAGTGTGAGTTAAAGCCTGATGAATGTAGTGAGTTATGATAGTGTTTTGAACCCTCCGTCCCAAATATTAAAGAAGATCACTTTTGTGTGAATAAGACGATTTTAATTCTCTGAGGGTCTCTATCCATGCCAATGTGAATGTAAATCTTCCTTTGTGAGATAAATAAGCAAATTTACCTTTTACTCTTCTTTCTCTTCATGGTGAAGGTCATTAATTGTGCTGCAGACAGAAACGGAAAAACTGAAAGAATAGTGATAATTGTTAAAGGCTGCAGAAAGATATCTGGGTATTACAAGGTCTCGGATTGAATTGGAAGAGCTGTTAACCAAGAACCAAAAATAGAGAACCCCTCAAACCTACAGCCATGTTCTGGTGGTTCCTAATGGGTGGTGACGGTTCTGCAGTGGACCGCCAGGAGCCTTCTTGCAACCATGGTCAAGAATGTAAAACATCATATTTCTGCCTCTGCTAGGACAAACCTCAAGTCTATGTGTTAAGAGACTTGGCTACAACCCCAAAGGGATTTTATTATTCAAGGACATACAAGCATAAGGGAATGACTGGGAACGAGGTGAAGGTTGGAGGCGTAGCTGTTTTATTAAAAACGGCTGGAAATCAATGTGGTTACATATAACTGATGTATGGTTAACAACGTATGAATGGGGTGAGGCGAAGAAACTACACTATGCCAGTTTTAACTAAGAATGGCACAGAGGCAAACAACAATTTTCAAACAAAGCTAAAATGTTGGCTGAAATTTTGTATCCGTCCACAGCTCTGACAACCTGACGCTGAGCACGAGGGAAATAAGTAGGGCGCACTTTGCCCCAGTTTGGTTATTTGATTCAATCACAACCTACTGCTCAGGAAGATCTCGGACCTTCATTAACATCTTTTTGAGTTGAGAGGAGTCTGTCTAAGGCGAGAGCAAACAACCCTGGTATAAGATGATGTATGTTAACAACCATTCTATTTCAATTGCTGATGAGACACTTGAATTATTACTGAGTTTGTTCAATCTTGTTTGGGACATCTAGGAGCATTGGAAAAACAGTCTGTTTGAGTCCCAGTGTTGTGCAAACTGGGAAAGTCACCTTCTGACGCGACAACTTCTAAAAGGCCTTATTGCCACGTTTACGTCACTGTTGGAATGACTATGGGAGGATTGGAAACCAGAACAAGATTACATTTTGTTTAAGAAAAAACCAGAATTTTTCACTCACCAAAGCGGCTTATGTAAAGGTAGGAATACCTCGGACTCTGTATATGCTGGATCAGAAATTCCAAAAGCAAAGACAAATAAAGAAAAAGGTTATCGCTGGTTTTTTGATTGTTGAGAAGCGTTTATGAATGGTGTGGAAAGAAGGCCTGCTCCTTCAGTTGCCGCAAAAGTTGGTATTGGGGGTAATTTACAAAAATTGGGTTAAAAGTTCCTGTTTTGATGTGAGTTGTTATGGATGTTTGAAAATGGTATTCGCAGGGAAGCGTGTGAAGCCCAATCTGTTTATTGTTTGGATATATAATATTTTTGAGGGTGTTGATCGTTCCTTTTGAACGAAGTCTGTATGCGGCTTATGGAGGCATTGTGGGTAGGGGAAGAAACCTTGAATTTATTGTAAGAATGCTGCAAAGGCAATACAGAGGTGGAGAAGTGGACTCCTAGACTGAGGATTTAACTGTCTCCAAAGTCCCAAGTGATGTGTTTCTTCGCGTCACAAAGCAGTTTCACTGAAACTATATGGAGCGCTTTGAAAAAAAGTGAAGGAAACAAAGTTTTTAGGTGTAATTTTTTTGTGAACACCTATTGGTAAAAGTTGCAAAATAATGTTAAACTGTTGAATATTTGTTGCGTGTGTTTATCTGGCCCCAGGACTGGGGAGGCTAGTAGCGAAATCACCGTTAAATCTACAGGGCTGTGATGCGTCCTACTCTCGATTATGGGTTGTTTAGCTTTTTGTCTGCTCGTGGACTACTTTAATAAAACTTGATATGGAACAAGCTAAAGGCCCTACGCGTCATGCAGAGCTCTTAAAACCATCTATTTCTGCAAGCAGGTCGAGTTAGGAGACAAAATGCCCATTGAGAAATGTAGATGGATACTCAGTGGGGTATTGGTGTGATATTTAGAAGGGCAAATTGGTCGCACCCGGAACCTACGGTCCTTAAAGAAGGTTGGGAACTTGAAAAGAGAGATAGCTATGTTTTGGTTTTGGTTAGCAAAGGCCAAAAGCTCCAACTTGCTGAGTTAAGTGGAATTAGTATGTGCCCTATACGACTTTGTCAACTATTGCCCCTGGGAAGTTTATTTCCGGCACCAGGTGATATTAGTCTCCAACATAAACTCCAGAGAAAACAATAAGGCTGCCGCAATTTCTTGTACAAGAACTGATCGATGAACATTCTGAGCATTTGTTTGTTTTTTTCTGATGGATCCAAAGATCCCTGTGAGTGGACGTTACTGGTTCTTGCCTTTCTTTGTCCCAGAGCTAGACATCGCAGTGATACGCGAAGTTACAAATAATCTCTCTGGATTTACTACAGAATTGTCGCAGATATAAGCTAGCCTCTGGAGATGGGTTAAAACCAAACTTTGCAGCGCTCATGTATCGTTTATAGCTTCTGTTGTTTGTCTGCTCTTGTAATGCAGTTTAATCTGATGTAGACCAGGCATCCTCTATTGTATATTCTAGTGAGGCTTTGTTGTATAGTAGGGATAGGCAAAGGGAAGGTTTCTCACCATCATCTGTACTTCTTAGCAAGTTTTCCGACGTTTCTCCTCAACTGGGGACTTCTTCAGGGAATGAAGTCTCGGAAGGCCGCGCGTTGGAGATTTATATCACCTATGGGTGTGGGTTTAGCCCCACCCTAATCTGATTCTGAACTCATAAACAATCAACGGTTCTGTTGATGTTGAAGGGAGCAGTCTAGACCTGCTGAGGTAACGACCCTAATTCCGTTGCCTGTCACAGAACCTATGTCTGCTGGGTCAAGCTCAAGTGGACGTGCAGGTCTCACCCCTCCTATCTCATTAGCATGTCAACTGACCTTTTTGTCCAAGTTAGGGCCGTTGTTTTTAGGATGTTTCGTCATAGATGCGAGGCAAACACCAATTCTTAACATCCTCCTCTGTTAAGAGAAGGTTTTTGTTTACTCACAAAAAATGGCTTCTTTCACTCCTCTCTCAAACCAATTCTTCTCCCCGAGCCAGAATTTGACCTCTGTATGTCATCCACCGTGTGGTT